AACAGCAAAAGCTACTCTCCCACCTCCCCGCTGGGGCAAAGCTCTCGATTGCTCTTGACTGCTGGACCTCACCATTCCAACAAGCGTTTATGGCGATCACAGGGTATTTTGTGGATATCGATTGGGTATATCATGAGATACTTCTAGGCTTTATGCCGGTTCATGGCCAGCATACCGGCGCTCACTTGGCAGAGGTTCTCCTCGGTGTTCTTTCTGACCATGGGATCGTTGATAGGGTGATTGCAATTACTACTGATAATGCGTCAAACAACAAAACCATGGTTGAAAGTCTTTGTGAATCGATCCGACAGATAGATCTCCCGGATTCCACTGAGATTATACGGGTTCCATGCCTTGCCCATGTGATTCAGCTGAGTCTAAAAGATCTTCTTGGCTTGATGAAGGCCAATCCAAAGAATGATAAAACCGCGACCGTATGGTCAGAAGAAAATGGGAGCATCCTTCAGCAAGCAAAGCTACAGAAGGGAATTATTTATACACTTGCAAAGGTATATATCTAACCTCTATAAAGGTATCTTATATTAATCATGATTATAGGTTCGCGCTTTTGCTGTATTCATCAATGCTAGCCCACAGCGACGGGAGGCCTTTCTGAATCTCCAGAGCGACGGAATAAAGCTGGCTCCAATCCAAGATGTCCGCACTCGGTGGAATTCCACATATCTTATGCTCCAGCGTGCCAAGCGCCTTCAGACAATATTCCAGCGGTATTGTACAGAGCACCAGCGCCCTGAGTTCCACATCAGTAAAGGGGAGTGGCGCCAAATCGATTACCTACTCTGTATCACAAAGCCTTTCTACAAGTGGACGGTCGGTCTATCAAAGATCAAGACAACAACCATTCACAATGTTTTTATGGTATATAACCGGCTATTCACACATTTTGAACAATCCCAGGCCCGACTTCGTCGTAAGAAGGTGCCCTGGAAGAAGGCTATGCTAGCGGCTCTTGAAGCTGGAAGGGAAAAGCTTTCGGTATACTACCAATTAACAGAGGAAGCCCATGGTAGCTTATACGCCATAGGTACCATTCTTGCTCCCCAGTATAAGCTCAAGTTTTTTGAAGGCCCAGAATGGTTAGGTCAGGTTCAGCTCAATGATACTATTTCCTCTTGGCATGATATATACAAGTCTTCGCTTTATAGCCATCTTGAAGACTATTCGAAACATCAGCCAGAAAGGGAAGTACCACCCACAGCGATACCTTCGGCACATTATACAGAGGATGAAATGGCAAGCCTTCTCGCTGAGGATCAGCCACCGCCCCCACTACCATCAAAAGCCACTGGTTGGGAAGAAGAACTTAAGGGATATCTCAATCTTGGTAAGTTTATACTATCCTTTTACTATTTTACGAACCACGTTACTAACTCTCTATAGAATGGAGCGCAACGAATCCATGCCATTTCTGGAGGGAGAATGCGCGTAACTTTCCGACACTCGCAGGACTTGCACGGGACGTCTTTTCGATCCCAGCCACAGGCGCAGGTGTTGAGCGTCTCTTTAGTACTGCTCGCGATATTTGCCATTACCGACGGGGCTCTTTAAATGAATCGACGATTCAAGATCTAATGATGCTCCGTTGTTTATCAAGGTTTGACATTAGAGATGAAGAAACTGAGGATACTGTTCAACCTGAATCCGTTCTTAACCAAGACGAAAGAACAGAGATTGACGAACAAAGGGAGGTAGGACTTCCTGACTATACGCCAGAGCCAATCAGTGATGGTGAAGATGGCGAAGACAGTGTAGACGATGAAGCCGACAACGTTAATCCAGACAATATGGATACCGCCACAGAAGAGGCAGAGCCAGATCATTCTATACGCCACCAATTACCAGTGATTCCGTTCAGTCAACAACGTCCCCAAAGAGAACGCAAGCGACGAAGAGATGATGATTTGTATACTTATACATAATAGAGATAGATTAGTATAGAATTTTTTAACAGCTGTTAAAATATCAAATTCTACTGTCTATCAGAAATTGCGCTCTAGATATAGCACTGCAAATCTACTATTTTTGTCCTAATACCAAGCCCAAAGTATTATTATCTCTATTCTTTGAGTAATTAAAATACCCAAAAAAACAGTGGCATTCTTCATAAGTTATGCAGGTCACATTTTTCTACATGTTTGCACTGTTTACAGTCCCATGGGAGTCCCATCAAAGTCCCATGGGAGCGGACTGGACTGCTTAGTCCCATTCTTGGCACTCCCATGGGACTTGATGGGACTCCCATATGGTCCCATGGGATAGTCCCATGGGACCACTCCCATGGGAGTTGGCAAGGTCTATTCGAAACTAAGTAGGAGCTTACGGTAATTCTAGTCTCGGTCGATAAAGTACCCTATAATTACTATAAATGCCTACTAAAAAGGCGATATCTAGCAGTCGAGGGCAATTAAGAGCTTTGTATCTTATAGTAAGGTAACGAGAATTGAATATTACTCCTTATTGACCAATTTCTTAAGCCGGCGTTAAGTAGTGCGAGGATAGAGTAAAGTAGGTTTAGCTAGAGCCTTTTATACCATTCGAATCAAGGAAGCAAATTGCTTCCTCTTAAGTATCCGGAAAGGGAGGTTCAGACTAGTAAGACATTCAATCTGCTCTCTTTCCCATTTATTATTCGAGAATTTTAAGTTATAAGATAACTTCAGTGCCTAATATATAATATATTAGTTATCTTAAAGGGTATAATAATATAAGACTTACCGGTATATACTATATAGTCTCCTTAATCGACTGTTATATAGCCTTACTTTTACTACCCTTTTAGTATTTGCCTAAGGCTAGATACCGCTTAAGTATATTAGTACCGCTTTGCTTTATACTTAGATAAGGCAATATAACCCTATATATCCGATATATAACTAAAGGTTCGCCTATAATATGATATACTACCTAGTCGAAGTTCTCCTAGATATCTGATATATATTTTATATCCTATTATAGCCTTTGTTATATCTCAGTACTGCTACCGCGTACTGTAGTACGCTACTACTCGATAAACTTTACTTTAGACGCGTTGTTTATCGCGTTATAGAGGATAAACTGCTTTCTCCGATCGGGGCCGACGCGTTTGAGAGAGCAATCAAGAATAGCCGGTTAAGTGAACTTAGACTCTATTAGTAAGATAGAAGTCTATTAGCTGTTAAAGAGACTAGGATCAATATTTGGATTAAGGTTAGGATCAAATATATCGGCGACGTAGGAGAGGTCTAGTTAGGAGCTCGGAGGAAGTGAAGAAGGCCCTACGGTATAGGCATTAGGTTAGGATATGGTTAATATGATATAAGGGATAATATAACGACTATAGGAGAGTGAGTGATCTGAACTTACAATAGGTAACTTGCGACCGTGTGAAACGAGAATTACTAGTAAAAGGGGTGCTTTGTATAGATCTGATAGATCGTAAATTGAGTGTAGACCCACTATATATTATAAGCTGATTGGCTATAAGTGTCTTTGTCTATAGGCATACCCGTGGGCACGCCCGTGGGCACGCCCGTGGGCACGCCTATAGGCACGCCTATAGGAACATACCTAAACGCCTATCTTGAGTTACAATCGAAGGATTTAAAACTCCCAGAATAATAACATAAGTCTTTAAGTGATATAATTGACAGAATTTAGTGATATAAGCTTATAAAATAAGAATTATACTAATTATCTTTCGATCTACCTATAAGAAATATACTAGAGTAAGAGATAAAGTAGAATCCATAAGTAGTATTTTACTTATAGAAAATGCTAGGTATATACTACTGACTTGAATATATATCTTCAAGCTGTTACAGTATGATTTGATAAGTTAATAAAAATACCACACAACATAATATATTTCGATTAAAATTTTATTCTAATTCGTATCATATATATACTAGTTTCTTATATATATAGATATTTCAGTAAAATTTATAGATGTTGTAGATTAAAACTGCCATTTTACATAGAGTTGGCAAAACAGGTGTAAATAACAGTTATTTATTATGCAAAGTCAGCGAGTTATACGTCCATTTTGGGTGACTTTATACAATGGTGGGCATCGTGGGCATACCCGCCGTGGGCATACCCGTGGGCCTTGGGCGTTATGGACGGGCACTCGAAAATCCAAATAGCCCAAGGCCCACCGTGGACGGGCCTTGGGCACCTCCTAGGTGCCCATGGACGGGCGATGTCGCAGTCTAGAAAGGGCAAGATATGAAGCTATTATACCAGGCTTTCTTATCACATAGTACGATCGCCTACAAATTACGATTAAAACCTATGGAATCACCGAGAAAAACCTATACAATTTCGATAAAACTGGGTTTAGAATTGGCGAAGGAAAGACTGAAAAGGTTGTCTCAGCCCGGGGCAATTCATCGAATTCTACCGGTGGGTAAACCGAATCGCTTACCGGTATTGAATGTGTCTCTGCGGATGGTTAGGTTATGCCGCTATAGTTCTTAGTGAAGGGCCAATATTATATGGAAAGCTGGTTTATCGAAACCAATCTACTAGATAATTATACGATCGTTCTAACCCCAAATAGTTGGACTGACGAGATCGTTAGCTTCGTATAGCTTCAGATCTTCGATAAATTTACGTCGTTCCGTGTTAAAAAAGGGGAATATCGTCTTCTTTTAATAGATAATCATAGTTCACATTTGACCTATAACTTCATTGAATTTTGCTGGCAAAAACGAATCATTCCTTATTGTTTTATTCCACATACGACACACGGTTGCTAACCTCTTAATGATACGCCCTTTCAAGTCTTAAAGCATTATTATAAACAGTCGAATAATAATGCTGTCTTCTGGGGTGGTGATCCGAAGTATAAGGCTGAATTCTTCGCCGGGATCCACGATATACGGATAAAATTATTAACGAAGCGCACTATTCGATATGGCTTCCGAGAAACTGGTATTTAGCCAATTAATTCGGACAAAGGCCTTGAGAAATTAGGCTTAGTTGACGATGGTCTTCCTAATATGCCTAGTTTTATCATTCATGATATTGCTTCCGGAACTACACCACCACCACCTTCAAGTTCACTACCAAATTCACCGCCGGCGACCGTGCAAAAGCTAAGAAAAGCGAGCACTAAGGTCATAAAACATATCCAAAATGATACTACAATTTCTCCGAAGGTGCGAGATAGTCTTTCTCGGATTTTGGCGGGTGGGCTCGCTCTTGCCGAGGTTGGTGCTCAATTCGCGGAGGACAATGTGCGGATTCTACGGCGGAAAAGGCTGTCGAATACTGCTAGAACAAAGCGCAGGCTTCCGGAACTAGGCCCTCGCCTAGTTAAGGACTGTAAAAAGCATATTTCCGACCGTGCCGACCGAGAAAGACTACAAATGTTCAACCGGTCGAAGAAAGCATGGCGGGACGCCGCTATTTTAAAAGCAATTGAGGACGGCGACATTGAGGATACAGGTGAAATTCAGGAGGATCCCGATACAGAAATGGCCCCAGAATGGATAGATAATCTTTATTATGTTGATACTACTGGGGACGTTATTTAAATTCAATGAATTAGATGGACAGGTTGGAAAAGTTATCATTGCGCCCGGGTTATCATTGCGCCCGGGAACCCGGACACCGCCTGGTGGCCGCGTTCGACGACCCGATTATATAAATAGGGGTGGCCCGGGCGGAGGTTTGGGCGAGGGTGGTATCCGCCCTCCACCCTCCAAATGTTTTTAATGGGGTCTAGGAAACATTATAAGTGCCAGCTTAGTCCAATGCTAAGACCTACTTGCCAAAGGTACCGGAATTACGGGGTATATAATATTCTTGGGATCATAAAGACCCAGGTACGTACTAGTTACTTTGTGATAATGCCTTGCTCTAACCTTAACTATTTTTCGATATGATGGATAAGAAGAAAAGTTTATATAAGCAACAAGGCACTTTGGCGGAGTGGTTAACGCGATGCCCTGCTATGCATGAAAATGTTAGTCTAGGCATTTCCCTCGGGAGCGTGTGTTCGAATCACACAGGTGTCGTTTTTTTGCTGTTATTTAACAGCCCCTCTAACCCCTCGGGTAGCCTCGTACTAGCAGGAGGGTGGGGCCGGTAGTGAAAAGGTCCTTATTTGGAAGTTTTCGTGACCTTTACGGGAGATCTTACCCTATGCTTGCTACTTATTACTCCTACTTAACATCTTGAGGCTGCATGTCGCGAACCAAATAATATCTTAATATCATGCGGGATGTGGCCACAGACTTTAATGATTTGGTCTTTAACTTGGAGTGGTGCCTCTCCGTTGGTATTGACCACCATAGCACTAGAAAAAAAGTTCCCATCATCCAATCTTTGTCTGTTTGATACGTACGAGGATCTCGTGTTCATAGATACCTTCATGGATACCCCGTAAGCGACATTCGCTTCATATAGCAACCTCCCATATGGCTGTCTGGTTGCAAGCTGTAGTAGAATGGGTGAATACCTGCATAGATACTACTCGAAATCCAGAATCTAGGTCCTTTCACGCCGCTCATACACTTCTTCCAGTTGTTACAAGGTGTGATATTTATCTCTCGTTCTTGCTCTCGGCATGCTTACGGATTTCTCAGCTTGACAGGATTCACCACATGGCTGGTAAGGGATCAAGAATAGCGACAGTACTAGTAAGAGGATACTGGGATCTCTTGTGGCTCTGGGCACGTGTGGTAAAGACACCTTTTCTCGCGGTTCGTGTTTTCTAGGTTCTAGGTTTTAATGCATATACTATATCTGTAAATATATAGGAGCGCAGTTATATATATCTGTACCGCATACATTAGGAATCGATCACACGGATCGAGGTTAGTAGGTACAATATGGGTGTCTTTTATAACCTAATCTACACGCAATAAAATCTCTATCAATTAATTAACAGAATTATAGGAGGGATTTGAAAGAAAGAAAATTAGGTGATAGGTCACATATCTACGTGGCCATTGACATAATATATAGGAAAGCGGGGTTGATAATAGTAAAAGTCTCTTATCATTTGCCTTATTTCATTCAAATTTAACGCCAATTTTGTGTGTGACAACGAACTTGATCGGATATAGAGCTGGCACGTGTTGAGTGGAACTTCCGCTTTCCCTTAATAGGTTTGGCGAAAGGCGACCGGGAAACCAGCAAATGCAAGCCGTTTAGCGAATATATGCTTTGTCGAGGCTGTTTCGTTGATTCTGCGATTTGCGAAGCCAAGTAAAAAACGACTAGCACTGGCAAGGTCATTAAATCCTACCAACCAGGGCTGAAAGCTAATATAACTAATCCATTCATTTGTCCTCGGCACATCGAACCCTCCCTGTAGTTGCAGGCAAACGAAAATGGGGCCACCGAAAGGCGAGAAAAGAGCGAGAAGAGAGTGGTGGGGGCAAACATCTTGACAGACCATCTTTGCAACGTTATCATGTTGTTCGTGAGCGACCTCGTGTAACGGAGGTAAGTATAAATAGTCGACAACTTCTGCTCGAATTTTACCTCCGCACAAATTGCGAGCTGATCTCTCGAACGTTTTTAAATTCTTCTCTCTAATTAAATCGAGGTCATTTGAATAACCATGAGCCAAATCCTCTTCAAGGCTCCAACAGTGCTCAGCCGCCACTATCAGATTCGATCTCTATCGACCCAGCTCAGAAAGCTCACAAGCCACCCAACGTCCATCCGTCCATCATGGGATGAGATCAAGTGTGCACGCCTTTCTCCTCAGAATCTAGAGGTTGCAATGCGCAGCCTCCATCGGGGCGGTCTCGTGGTTATCGAAAATGCTATTCCTCACGATTGCCTCGACCGACTCAACAAAAAGATGATTGAAGATGCCTACTCTCTTCAGTCCAGGAAAGAACACAGTCCATTCAACTACAACCCCGGAAATATCCAACAAGACGCTCCTCCGGTAAGGGAGTACTTCGAACCCAGTATTTTCATGAGTAAGTCCCCAAAGCCCAAACTACCCCTTCAGTCCATAGCCCCTAACTCTCACTCAGACCCCATCGCCACGCAAATAACCTCGTCGGCACTGGGACCTCGTCCAAAATGGACATTTTGCTCGGGAAATACTGCAATGCCTCCAACTGCAGAGAACCCTCCGATGTCTCAGCCTGTCCATTCAGACGCAGACTTTGCTCACCCAACTCATCCTTTCGCATACGTCATCAATGTTCCCCTCATCACCATGACCCCGGAGAATGGCTCCACCGAGGTATGGCTGGGGACACACACTGATGCGGGTCTACATGTTCAAGAAGGATTACATGGCGAGCGTGCTAGTGGTCGCATCAAGCTTGATGAACTAGAGAAGCGCCGTCTAGACCGTCCGCCGTGTCAACCTGTGGTACCAAAAGGTTCTTTGGTCGTCAGAGACCTTCGCCTTTGGCATGCTGGAGTTGGGAACCAGACCGAGGACCCTCGAGTCATGTTGGCAATGAGTAAGTTTGAGTTCTTTCTTCCTTATGTTCTCTCCGAAAATATTTCTAACATGGACAGTTCACTTTGCCTCGTGGTATAGGAACCCTATGAAACTTGAATTTGCGGATAATATGAAGCCTATGATTGAGGGCCAGACCGAGTTGGAGATTCCTGTGAACTGGGTGAGTAGGTCGGAAGCACTTTCGCGCTATCTGAACCGTGGCTTTGGCAATGAGTACGACTTCAACCAGTACCCTTGAGCCGAAGGAGATTGCTGGTGTTGATAACTGATGGGGAAAAATTGGGAGAATGGATTTCTGGTGGACGACTACGAAAGAGACAGAAGGAGAGAGAACCTATCAAGCAAGGGAGCAGGTCCTGACAAATGGGATGTGCAGGCCTTTAGGCAGCCACACACCCCAGTAGTCGTGTGCCGGAGAAACGATTCAGAAGATTCAGCGAGAGTTTTTTTCTATTGTTATCTAACATAAAATAGCATCATTGGTCAATGGGTCGTGTTTGAAGGCGGAGAAAGAGCCTCTGCTATAATGGAAACTGGCCATCCAGTCACCTTCCCCCACTTTTCTAACTCTTGTGCCATTTCCACCCGCTTCTGGGTATCATGAAGCCAAGGGGAGCCTGGAAAGAAAGTGGTCAGAAGAAATATCCCGAGAAAACGTTTGAAAAGACCTACAAAATGCGATTGGACCAAAAGCATTGACCCAGACTGGTGCTGAGTCGCTTGAAAGAGCCAGGGCACAAATTTCAGTTGCATGATATTCCAATTTTCGCTGCAGACATTCCATATCATTGATACGTTGTAGAGCTTTCAGGGGTTGAGCGACAGGCTGGGCCAGCCATAGAATTCCCATGGCGGTATGGTAGTAATGGAGAGTGGAAACTTGGGAAGTTAGAAGCTGAAGGGAACATAGGCTGAGTATTCTCACCATGCCAGCTTCGAATTGCCCAAATAGATGGGAAATTCCTCTGTTTCCCGAGCTCAGGGGTTTGTATAGTGTCAAAAGATGACGGCAGTGATGATTTCCACTTATCAAGATCGGATTTCATAGCTTCCCATTCGAAGGGGGTCAATGCTTGTGAGTCGACCGAAAGACACCGGTTGATGATCTTGCCGAGCAAGAATGTGATATGATTAGCAAAGTCCGCATCCTCTGTAGGTTCTGATGGGGCATTTTGGTCAGAAAGAGTAATCATTAGACCACGTTGCTCTATGAGAGCCACTGTGATATCTTCTCGTAGGTAGTTCCAATAGCCAGCGCTGAGTAGGTCTGTCGTGAGATGGATATGCCGACTTGCCAGTAGTGAATAACATCCCTGCAAGTGACTCTGAGAGCTAACGTTCTCTGAAGACGTTTTTAAGCCGTTAGCGACTGTCTTTCCAGAGCAAGCTTTAGGAGCCAGGAATTTCGACAAGCTACTGACGTGTGATAATTTCGTAAGATCGCAAAAGACAGATGGCGGCAAGTGTTTCACCAAGTGGAATTCCATTAATATCTTTAGTCAGGGAGATTAATCTCCGCACACTGTCATAGTGGTAGAATTCAGCAATCTCGAGATACCTGTCTTCCGCTAGGGTGCGATGTTGGTTGGCAGCAGCAAATGCGAGAATGGCGCTGAGCAATAGCGGATTATATCGAGCCCTGATGGGAACGACATCCTTGAAATGGCGCTTGCTGTCATTCAGATCATACCATGCGGCCAAGGTTCCTATATAGTGGCGGAACAATTTGGCAACTTGCTGGTCCTGTAAGGCATATTCAGGATGTTCTGTAGAGGGATATTCGGTTTCATGGTGAGCAGATGAGCTCAAAGGGCTTGGCTGATAGACTGGAACCCCCGGGGCTCCTATCGTGTCTTTTTCTTGAATCCAATGACAGTTACGCACAATGCGTTGACATGGTGAACATTTTGGTCGTTTCCCATCGCCTTTCGTTATATCATAACGACTCCGCGGTTAGTGAGTGATAGCTTTCTAAGGTTCGATACATGCAGGACTAACATTTGACCCGCCGTGACCTGCAAGTTTGGCTGAGTAGTCGTGAATTAGTAATCGGTTTCGAGGCTGCTGGGTGATTCGTAGCGGTAGAAGTGATATGTGGCTTGAAAAATGAAAGATAATTATGGAACAAGTCAATTGACTCACCAGCCTAGAGAAATAAACCCACATTAATTCCCGAGATCCAAAGCCGTTCCACCGGGTATAGACGTACGATTGCGTTCAAGTGGCCTCGGCATTTACGTTTAACAAGGCCTGGGCACACCTGATTCAACTTGAAAGATATGTGTGGGGAATAATACACTCAGTTTTTTGTTCCTGGGGATGTTTTGCGAGCTTCGCTTTTGCCATTTTAACCCCACTTTATTACCCCGTGATCGCATGTCGATGTTGTATGGTCTTGGCTATGACATCACCTCGCGCTTTAACCGACATGTACTCCATAGTACTTTCGATAGATGGGGTTCTACTGGGGTGGGAATCAAGTTGACTACTCTGAGCTAGTTAAAGAACAAATAGGGAGAGGCGAATAACGAAAGGCGAGATATCGCAAGGTCGAAATCAACGCCTTCATTCCTTTTAAAATGTCACTATGAAGGACGCTATGCCTGTTTTGTTTAGTCTGCCACAGATTGCTGGTCTTGACTGTGATTTGATTGGACGCAAAATCCTCGGCTAGATGAGGTTGGTAGCGGATATGACCAACATCGTAGAAGACTCAATCGGAACAGGGGACGTGAAACGAATTTCGATCCCTGTTGTATCGAATGAACTTCAGGAATATTACTGAAACAGTATGTCCACTAACACAAGGTTGAAAAGACCGAGGTCATACTAAAGGCTCCAGGAGATCCTCTTGGCCACAATCCAGCTTGTTTCTAAGGGAATTAATTCTAGCTCCTAGAGGCTTCATAGTTCGCAGGGTATGGAGCAGATATGGATGCAAAACATGGACTGCACAGCCAAACACTCGCGTAAGTGCTGTAGCAATCTATATCTTCTATTTTAGCAAAATACACATTTTACTTTATCTATCACACTGTTTATAACTGGCAGCTACAGCCATTATGATACAAGCAAATAACAAGGAAAAGTCAACCCCTCAGCTTGCCTAGATATACACCTGCAATGGTACGGTATATTCCACCGTCCACAAAGCGCGTGGATCTTTGTTTCCTTAGATGTGCTTTTGCTGCTCGGCTCGCAGCTCAAGATTTGCATAGGTCCGGCGGAGAACGAGACAGCATATTCTTCAGGTTTCACAATTGATATTGAAGTCAGCGGACCAATTTTTCCACTTTCGTATCAACAGCCAAAGATCAAATACCGCTTTATGGCGACGTCGAATTTCACTGGCGCTCACAGGACGACCCCAGGCCTGTGAAACTGCGCTGCGTATCAATTGCCGAAATTTCCTTTGATAATCTGTATTTCGCGTGACAAGACAAGATTCGGTAGCTTGTATCATAACCTCGGCGGCATTGAGAATATCTTCGCCACACTTATCTTGCAGACGCTCCACAATCAACAGTACCGGAAAGCTCCCTTGAAGCAACTGAATACCGAAGAAGTAGGGCATGAAGCTGATATCTGGGTCAAGCTGCAAGATTTGCCGCAACCAAAAAGCCGCATCTAATGAGTGTGAGATGGTTGATGTGAATGCCGAAGAAGTCCAAAGCTCCTTGTCTTCCAATAAGAATTGCCAGTCCCACTTTCCCACTAGCGATATATGGAGAGCTTGAACTAGGTATGACGAGTAAGCAACCACCGTTTGTGTTTGCCAAGTGCAATCCTGGACTAACTGCCCGTCGATAAGTTGGTCTGACACTGCGGTGTCAACGGTTGAAGACGCTGAAGGTACCAAAAAAGCGGACAAACTAGTCTGATAGATCTCGAGGTGGCGTAGTACTTCGGCCTCTTTAATTTCGTAAGCCTTATTGTCTTGTAGCCGCAGATTGTTGAGCTCTATCACCTCTCCGGTGATGGTCATAAGTGGAAGGAAAAATCCAAAAATAGAAGAGTCGCGACAGCGAAAATCAGGGAAGACCTGAGGTTCGCTCTGGCGAGGGCTCTGCGGATGGAATTCCTTGTTGTGAACAATACTTCCTTGCCATGAGGTTTCATCCAGTGGAAGTAGCAGATTCTCACACTCTGCATCAAGGAAATGTGGCGGACGATTGTGACACAATGCAAGATGACGATCAATCATGTAAAGCAGCCACCATGCTCGTCTTCGCTCTTCGCGGTACTCCTCCGTTAAGACGGGGAAGCCTTGATAATGGATTTGCTCACATACGCAATTCAGACTTGACTGTGAACCACCAAAATGGAAAAAGCTCTGTTTATTTGGCCAATCTGATAGCTCGTCTTCAGAGAATTGAAGCGAGGCATTTCTTTGCTTATCAAAATTCGGCGTGAATTTCGCCTCCTGATTTAGTTTGAGCTGTCGAGCTAAACCAAAGGCCGCCTTCCACCTACAAAGAAATCAGGAAACAGGCCGTGAGCGGCAGGCAGAGTTAACTTACCACCTCATGCTTTCCTCGCTGTGTTCGGTCGAGACAATCGAGGCAATATGAATGCAAGTGATCACCTTATCCAGATGAGTAATACGTTCCACCAGTGAGGGCTCCTGATTCTTGGGCGAGAGATTGTCTGAAAATTGAAACAATGTTCTCGTCAGATCGCCGAGGAACTGGCAAATATTGCGTTGTTTTGAGGGTGAGACAGATAAAGAAGCCCGATGATCAATAGCAGCCATCCAAAGCATACTCGTCAAAAGTGCAGGGCTGCTGACCCGGAATTTATCGGTCAGAAAGGAGGTTTTGCGCAAGATGTTTGGAAATGGGTTGGTGAAATATAGCTCAAGTAAATGGCAGACAAGTTGTGGAGGGAGGCCTGATTTCAAAAAGGCATCACCGTGTTTAACACGGGGTATTTTATCAAGGGCTGTGAAGTTGGCTCAATTTTTGGGACAAGGTGGCTTGTTGTTGGTTGGAATAGTGTCGGTGGATGAGGCCCCTGGCTAGGAGTGTGAGGAGCTATGTCGACTGGATCACATATGCCCGGCAGTGGTGGCAGAGGCCCATAATCTTCCCCGCTCAAACGAGGCAAATCCTTCAATAAATCAGCCGTTGGTAGCCATTCCTCCGTGACATCCACCCCTAATCCTGCGTGTACCTGTGAAAAATCCGTCACGGAGCTATAGTCTTCCATGCTCTCTTCCATGCACAAAGCCAAGAGAGCATCGATTTCGTCGGTTCCGGGCGACGACAGTTGGGTGACTGATGACAGGATAGTGGAATCCATGGGTGATACAGTCAGGTCTGACACAGGACTACAGCTTTCATCGGTCTGTCTTTCGTTTATATGACTTTGCGGTGCGTGTATTCTGTATGCCTTGTTCGCATTTGCTAGCTTGGATCGTGCCACCCGACCTCTTTTCTGTAGCTTGCGTGTAATGTCACAGTCTATGCCCTTGCGCAGGCAGCGTGAGCACGGGAATGGGGATGCCAGATCGCATCGCACACGGCGGATGTGGCACGCGTCACAGGCGACTTGATTTCGTCGCCATCTTGGGCTGCTTTTCAGGGGTCTAAAAGGTGCAGGGACTGGGAATGATTGAACATTTGCCAACTGGGGGTTGCTTTCAGGATACATCGGCATGCTGTATGATGCAGTTGATTCTGGGTGATGGTTGTTGAAAACACTTTTGCCCATTGGTTTTGCGGGGTATTAAATCACTCATAGTGGAACTGGACAGTCTACCTGTCAGTAAACTATTCTCCATTTCTCCGTCATTCTTCTTCTGTTGTGATCGTCTTGCTTGGGAAGAAAAATGGCTGTATGGACTTGCGGGTCTTAGTTACCCGTTTCTCTCCCTTTTGGGTAAACTTTCCCGCGCAGTATCTCTCGGCCCGGAATGATATGTCCGGCTCAGCCGAAATGATGATTGGCTATCCGAATTTACCTAGTTTAGCGCTAGTCCCTTTTGCTTTTGCTAGTGCCCTATCTTCATACATAGCCGTGGGGGTAGTCTTCGCTCGCTAATTGTCTCTCTGAAGGGATGGGTAAAGTTGACATCTGAGAACTCCTCGTCCCGGTGAATGCAACAAAAGGGTGCATTTAGCCACATGAATGTGACTTCAACCGAATCCAATTAGTGTAGGCAAGGCGCAATATCACGAGTTGGACGTCTCCGCCAAGCTATTACCTAGGGAAACGATTTTTTGCCACATTTGAACACCGCATTTCGTCTCCACCGTGTCCTCATCCGGGGTTAGGACAATATGGGGACGGGAGCATAAGATTCCTGGGGTATTAACCGCGGCTACGTGGAAGACTGAGGTATTTAAAGCTCATTACCACCACGCTTCCAACAACTACTTTCACAAGAACTACTCTCACACTGTCCTATTTGGTCCATTTCAGTCTTTTGTTATTACTCATTCCGTTACATCTCTTCATCGATAATGATTGCCTCCACAAAGAAGCCCTACTTCGGGCTTACCGGAGGATGGCTTACCTTTTGGCTCACTGTGGGTTGGCTACATTTCTATACCTGGTCCTAGTCGGAGGAATGCTAATACAAGTAACATCTCAGGTAGCCTGTGCCACTGATATGATGTTATTTGGATACGATCAAGGAGTGTTTAGTATGTTACCTTCCCCTTTTCACCTTTATACTAAGCGCTTTGGATACTAATGGTCTATTTCTCCAGGTGGTGTTGTGGTTACCCGTGACTTCTTAGAAGTCCATGATCTTGTCGGCCCTACCAAAACCACAGTCCTCTCCACGGTTGCTGCCATTTATGACATCGGTTGTTTCTTCGGAGCCATACTTGCCTTTACAATAGGCGAGCGACTGGGCCGCAAAAAATCCATTCTTTTGGGTACTGTCATTATCGCCGCCGGCACCATCCTTCAGACATCATCTTATAGCCTACCGCAAATTTTCATTGGCCGAATTGTGCTAGGGTAAGTGGCTCACAGATACTCTGCCACGATGCATGATCCTAATATATCCAGTCTCGGGAACGGAATCAACACCGCAACGGCCCCTATTTGGCAAACAGAAACGGCACAAGCGAAATGGAGAGGAAAACTTGTCATCCTGGATCTTGGGTTGAATGTCGGCGGGTACTGTATTGTTAATTGGATAAACTATGGTCTCTCCTTCCGCGGGGGTGCCATTGCATGGCGCATGCCGATCGCTCTACAGCTCACTTTCGTCATTATCTTGCTTGTAACTATCCCCTGGCTTCCGGAATCCCCAAGGTATGATACCAAAGCCCTTTGACGCAGACGTTGAATATGGTTTTGACAAGGACCTAGATGGCTCATGACACAAGCCCGCGAAGATGAGGCGATCGAAGTACTTGCGTGTGTCGAGGCTACATCCATTGACGATCCAGTTATTATAACCCAACGTGATGAGATTAAATTCAGCATCACATACGAAAGAGAAAATGCTGTCCGATGGCGCGATCTTGTGCTCCAAAGAAAAACCGATAATACCAAAATTCTTCGTCGGTTGCTTCTCGGTGCCGGCACACAGGCCATGCAGCAGCTCCAAGGTACTTTTATGATCCAAACACGCCTATCTGGTTTTACACTTTTCACATACTGATATAAATGGCACATCAAAGGTATCAACATCATGAGTTACTATCTCCCGTTAGTCCTCATGAACTCGGTCGGACTTTCAGATAGGATGGCCCGTCTGTTGACGGCTTGCAACGCGACCTCATATTTTATTTTCTCGTGTGCCGCAGCCACAATAGTAGAGCGAGTCGGCCGTCGAGGCTTGATGATGTTATCTGGGTTTGGCCAGTTCCTTTCCTTCCTGATTATCACAATTCTCCTTTACTTGGCCGAGAAGAATACAGTATACGCTACTGCCTCCGTTGCATTCTTCTTTGTCTATCATATTGCCTTTGGAATGGGTATGCTAGGTGTTCCATGGCTGTATCCCACTGAAATCAACTCACTCCCCATGAGAACGAAGGGAGTAGCAGTTTCGACAGCAACCAACTGGTGCGTTTTTCAAAACACATTCTCATCGAAATAAACCGCGATTCTCATGGTGTGTATTTTCTAGGATCACTAATTTTGCTATTGTCGAGATTACACCTATCGGTATTCAAAGCATTGGATGGAAATTTTGGATTGTGTGGACCGTCCTCAATGCGATCTTCCTGCCAATTATTTACTTCCTGTATCCAGAGACAGGTGAGTCCAAACCCAAGAAATTATGCTTTTATCATGTATATGCTAATCCTTCCCAGCAAACCGGAGACTGGAAGACATTGATGCGTACTATCGCTCCAACCCACCACTCATCGTGGCCGGTGATGCAGATGCCATTTCGACAAAAAGACCGCTTCAGTTCATCTATCACGAAGATGAAGAAGTTCAAAAGAATGCGAAGGAGGCTGCCACTGGTGCTGTCGAGTACGAAGAACACGTAAATTAGGCGATGTAACTAGCTTATAGGGGTGATAGTAAGTGCACAAATATTATCATAGAGAATTACATACGGCTTTCCCAATTGAGACAATCGGCTTCTATGTGCAATTCATATAAAACATGTGTGGATTTCCAACGTATACGACTTTCGGATACTTATTTCCCACAAGGAGGACAGCACTCATTTGAGGATTAAGTGTGTGGCCCTGGGAAGAGCCACTCCTCTACGCTCCATATTTGGGGATCCAGAGCGCGTACTGTCATCCTGTCTGGTCTCTGTTTCAAATTCGAGGACATCTACTTCTTATGATTCGGCCTTTGCCACTCCGTGGACTTCTCAGTGGTGGGTAGGCGGAAATCCTGCGGAGAACAATTGCCTGAATAGCACCGAATTCGGTAGTTTACTTATTCACCAATTCTTCCCCGGAATATCACTACATAGCCCAAGCCTTGAACTTATCCTGAATTTCTTGTATTGGTCCTTCACCTCCAACATTGAGTTATCACCAGGAATTTGGGCCGCTTTGACCTAGCGTTATTAACACCGAAGGCAAAGTGTGGCGGAAAAATTGGAATAAGACCATTGGAGGGCATTGATCCACTCCCCAGTAAGGTGAGTGGTTGAAAAGCGGCAAGGGGTGAGCACCAAAATGGATAGGGCAACCATCTTATGCTGTCTAAAATCCGGCATATACGTACGTATCGACTGTTACCACAAGGGTCGAAACGGTTCCAAGTGATTAAACAACTTACAGGGCGCCAGTGTAGGTGCATAAGTAGGTTTGTAGTTCCACCATTTGATTGCACTGTCTTGGTGCGTATTTTCCTCCTTAAATACCTTGGGGACCACCAATACCCTCGATCCTGATTACCCATCATCTTATTTACACTTTGGCGACAAGTCTTGTATCTCGACAATGCCTGCCCATGATGATTTTGAGTCAGACAAGGACCTTCCTCTCGAGTCAGGTGGAAGTGAGTCGAGCTCAACACTACTTCATCGCACTGACCCTTGGAACCACCACGTTAGAAAGTCTTCTCGGTCATTTCGGAGAGGGCAGATTTGCAGTTATCAAAATTGGTTAATGGCCCTCAATGCTCTTATATTTCTCACCACTATAGGCTTGTGGACAATCGGCACATTTGCTAGGAAGTCCGAGGCATGTCAATGTGATACAGAGTCGTGGACAACCAAGTTCGAAGAAGACTGTAAGGATAAAATTCTTTCTAGAAAATCGAACAGAAGGAAATAAGCGAGCTGATAAAGTGCTTTCTGTATCACAGTGCAATACACAAGTCGGGTTACTTTCCAACCTCATTCTTATTACGGTGGACCACCGTCAAACAAGACAGATGAGATATGGAAGCGACTCTCTCCTCGTGAGTGCATCTTTTTCTTTGAAACTTGAGAAATAGAATCACAGCTGACCGAATGACCTCTTAGCTGGTGATGGCATCGTGGAACTTCCAATTGCAGCGGCAAAGAACCTTCCAGAGTCCCTGCCCGCCCCAAATAATCCTGAAACTGCGTTGATCTACGGTGTGTCGGTCTTTCACCAGTTACACTGCCTGGTATGGATTTCAAAATTTTGATTATTTCATAATTGATCTCGTTCGACTTCAACATGGAAATTCTAACAACCCTCCCGCAGAACTTCTTACGATTTGCCTATTACCCTTCATCTCTGAAAGACATGGACGAGGAAGAAGTCGTCTTCCACCGGGATCACTGCCTTGACTACATCCGACAAGTTCTTATGTGCCATGCAGATCCTACGTTCGAGCCAATGAGCGAAGTGGGAATCAATGGAATGGGAGCTACCCATCAGTGTCGTGATTTCAATAAGATCTTTTCTTGGGCGTATGATCATCGCTCAAATAAAGTACGTGGGTCGGGATATACCGGCGGAAGACTTACGCATACGCCTGCGGACCTGAATCATTTCGATGAGGGGCCACATGCTGGACATGGCCATTGAGCAAAATCCATATGCTCGGGCGAGAAAAATATGTGATTAACGTCTACTATCTGAGAATTTGAGAGCTTAAGAAATTAAACGCAGTCACAGTGCATTTCGAGTGTATTTTACGTTAGTTCCTTGCGTCTTGCGATGGTAGGTTTCATAATACATAGTATACGTTATCTATATGTTACTGAGAGGTTAGCATCTACAGTGAAAATTTTTCATATATCCATCTTTATTAAGAGATCACACAGCTTTACAACCGACTTCTGGTATACTTCAATCGTACCGATAGCTGCGCAAGAAATCCATTCCATTGCATGCGAGATATTCTTATCTATAATCTTTTAAAACTTCAAGAATGTAGTATAAAATTGTAGTAAATAGCAAAATTTCATTTTCTATTAATCTATTTCATTCTTATTTCACGTTTAGTGCATTATTATGTCGTCCTGTAAGTTTGTAATACAGAATAGTATAATCAAATACCGAACATTCAAGATATATGTATCCACTTGACGCAGAATATCAACTAATACTACTTAATTTTCCATACGATTGACATTTCTTATATAGGTAATAAGCTAACCAATATAGGTTACTAAATCTTCATATAATTACCCCAAATTTGTCAAGGAAAAATATAAAACAGGCTCCAGTATAGATGGCGACTTCATTACCACCAACAAAAGCGTTGAACCTCGAGGCTGAATAAGAGCTGAACCCACCTGCGTGCTGCATACCACCTGGGCACACATTTGCATACGCATGTCATCTAGTCTTTGCAATGAGGTAAATTGGGCCTTAAGATAGACACTCCGTAGATCACTCGCTATCTACGAACAATCACAAGTGACTACCTTCCGAACCCCCTTACATAAGTACATATGGATCAGTAATGGTGCAGGATGAGGTGATATTTCCTTTGCACGGCCTGGTTGGTGATATAGCTACCCAGCTGGGTTCTTGTACATTCCTCAGAGCTCTTTGCATTCGCGTAAATGTGAGTGTTTGCTGGTCTGGGCCGCGGGGCAGTGCCCTAGTTTCTCTATCTATGTGTATTTTTTGTCCTTACTTCATCTAGTTACGAGGCAACTGGGTTAGAGAGACCATGTAGGGTCAGGTGAGGAGATAACAAGTAATTTTACATAGAACTGATTTGAAACTCCAAACTTGGTATTTTATCAACTTGAAAGCGGAGCAATTGCAAAAAGCATCTCTCACATTGACTAGACCATAGTGTTGCAATTATCGTGGCTATTCGTCTCACCCACTAAATTCAACTTCTTTTCTCTAATCTTCTGCTTTCTTTGCGGGGTTGACACCATGTGGCCTTTGAAGTCGAGAGATCTCGATTTGAAGTATCGAGAAATAAACAACAATGACGGAGAGGATACATCACTTCCAGTGCCTGAAGATAATAGAAATTGGAATCTTCTCCTATATATTGTGATTTCAATCCTTGCAACTGGGTGGACTACGACCACAGTTCTCTATTGGAAATCATCTACTACTGCCCCGACATTCAATGGCAAGTTCCAGCTCGGCACGTTCACCCCTATCCCAGAGGACGTATTTAGGCCAGTGAGAAAGGTATTTCAACCGGATGAAAGATATATCGGAAATTCGAGAGAGGTAGATCACCACTGGGATGACTTGGTAGCTGGTAAGAAGAGCAAACCATCCCATTCCATATTCATTGTTAACATTCCTTCTTCGCTAATAGGTCATGACGCTGTCTGGATTGAGGACCCAGAAAGGTGGGGTTTGCCTGAGGGTATCGTCGCGCCATTCGATCATCCCCACGAGACCGATCCCCCGCAACATGATTTCTACGTGATCTCGATCCTCCACCAGCTTCACTGCCTAGTACGTTGGCAAGTTGGCGTAATATGATTAGAAAACTGTCTAACTCAAGTTGACAGAACATGGTTCGCTTTCAGTTCTGGCAGGCACGGGACGGTGTCGACCTCGATACCGAACATGATGCGGTCAAATGGAATTTACATGTCCTGCATTGCTTCGAATATCTCCGGCAAGCGATTTCATGTGGAGGAGATCTCATAATAGAAGGGTCAAGCCCGATCAAAGTTGGCAATGGTAAAGTAAACCCCTGTGTTATCTGTTTTTCTTTTTCATGAACATGTCTAATGCTCTTGCTTCTATAGGACATGCTACTTCCGTTACTGGTTGGGGCGTCGAGCACGACTGTATTGATTTCGAACTACTACGTCAGTTTCAGATTGAACAGGAAAGAAAATACAACCTGACCTGGCAGCATGGTTTCTTTGAATGATAGTGGGGAATCAAGGCTGGGTTTTTTATGGAGGCAGTGGTACTGAGGTTGAGCTAGCAACCCATATAGTAAGAAATTTGGTATCTAGGAATAGTATATCGTTGAATAAAGCTATAGCCATAATTCAATTATTTCTGCTTCGGATTCTAGTATCTATAATTTAATCCACACTTCTTTGTTCGGCTTAATGCGTGTCGTGTACTCGGCAATATCACCATGCTGTATATGGAATTTCACATATTTAATTTATAAAATGTTGATTCTAGAAAGTCTTAGCGAGCATCCTGTTTCCTAAAATGATAAATTACATAAGTAGTGTAGGGGAAGTTATCATTAACCTTCCGTTCGCCTAGTTGGCTTATAGATTGAGGCACTTACAGAATGTTAACCGCGAATTCCAAGAGAAACCAGGTAACCTGAAGAATATATACTCCTTCGGATAGCTTAATGCTTTAGGCGCTACTTATATAACGTTCTCCTATATTGGTATATGAATGAGAGTTGATATAGAAGTTATAAAATTGTGCATAGACTTAATTTAATACGCCAGTTCCTTTGTGGAGAAATTCAAAACATTATATCAGAGTGAATTTAGAAATAAAGATGAACGAAAGGTACAAAACGACATCCCACTTCCGTTGTCATTAACAAATCATCATATCATTGGATCGCATTCTCATCATTGATAATTGTAGCGCGGCTCTTGAATCATTCCACCCTTCCGGCTGGTTGGAGTAACATGTGGCTATTACTTTTCAACGCCCTCAGGCTCACCCTAAAAGGTGGACCGTGCCGAGGCTGGCTTTGCAACATTGCCCTTGGTATTATTTTGAACCCTCTCGCTTGGAAGACCAGACCCAGGCAGGTTCCGCAACGTCGTCATGCTCTTCGGTATCGCGCTTAGATGCCCAGACCCAAGCAGGCTCGGGGTTTGCGTGCTCTTCGGTATCACGCTTGGAAGACCAGACCCAAGCAGGCTCGGGGTTTGCGTGCTCTTCCGTATCGCGTTTGGAAGCCCAGACCCAAGCCGGCTCGGGGTTTGCGTGCTCTTCCGTATCGCGCTTAGAAGACCAAACCCAGGCTGGCTCGGGGTTTGCGTGCTCTTCGGTATCACGCTTGGAAGACCAGACCCAAGCAGGCTCGGGGTTTGCATGATCTTCCGCATCACGCTTGGAAGACGCGACCCAGATTGGCTTGGGCTTTGCATGCTCTTCAACGTCGCGCTTGGAAGACCAGACCCAGGCTGGCTCTGGGGCCTCGGGCTTTGTAGACTCGGAATTGATAGCCAAGCCACTGGCCACTGCTGCCAGTGCAATAGCCAGGACTGTCTGGGCGGTGATGAACTTCATATTGGAGACTATATATAATTAGTCTTGTATACTGGGTGTAAAGTAAATTTGGCAGCATTAATCTCACAATTATTCGGAGCCTTGAACCTGAAAGATTGAAATATATTTCGAAAATGATGTTTGTAGTTGGATATTGACGTCGATGAAGAACAGATTTCAGGTGGTCAACGTGTGAAGTATTTATAATATTAGCCCTGGAGTGGTCACTTAGCTAAAAAGCTGCCTTCCATTGACTCTATGAGCTGGACGATTCTCATGTCGTCCTCCATTCTGCGGAATGTATGTCCATCGGGTGTTCGTTCCTCCTTTCGCGAGAACCAAAATAGCGTTAAGGCAGCGAGGAGATAGTTGTAAGGGGTAATGCGTGCTTCGGGCCAATTACTTTGGTCCTTCTTGCAGCGTTATGGGGGCTGTCTGCAACTCTGCCTCGTTTCAGTCCGTAGTTTACCCATTATGAAAGACGACATAAGACGCATCAAGCTGGGGATCGCTAGCTACCTATCTTATCCTTTTCTGGAAGTTGTAAAACATTCAAGGATTGCCTGATACCAGAACAATTACATGAGTTGTAGATTTGAAATAAGTACAGCAAATGCCGGTAATACTTACAATTTTTCCTTTCAGTGGGGTGGCGGTAATACGTAGTAATCTGTGGTAGTGTACGTCGAAAGGAAGGACTCTTGTGATATCTCACCTCGAAGTATATTACATGCAGGTCTCGAAATAGGAATTTCCGTCCATTTTTAAGTGTGGACGCCTAGAAAAGAACCATTTCCCACCCCGCAGACGCACTCGATAATCATTGTTTGATTTTCCCGACTACAAGCCGTTTCGCTCAAGGCGTTTTATACTCTTACTCGAAACATCTTTGAACACAACCAAAATGAACCTTGCAAGTATATTATCATCAACCATGTCTAGAGGCTATACAACTACAGGTGTATATGACGAGAAAGACCGACCTGTCGACGATAACCGATCTACCTCCAGCGAGACTTTGTTAGGAGAAACTGGACTTCGACCCCATACATCCAAAAGACTTTCCAGTGCATACATTCTTCTTCTTCCCGTTGTCTTTGGACTAGGCATTGTTCTAGGCATTACTAGTCTTTCATTCTTCAAGAGGCCTGAGTTTGTTCCCGGACTACGTCTAAAGACACCTATACCCAATGAGGTCTTTCAACAGCGATTGAAAATCCCATTTGTGCCTGATAATAGATACTATGGCAGTGGTGACGCCACAGATAAAGCCTGGCAAGAAATAACGAGCGGTAAGTTGATTTGTCCCTATTTCACCAGGGGTAAATATGGATAGTAAAAGAAAACTAATCTCAACCCCAGGGGGCGATTCGATCTGGCTAGAAAACCCATCAAATTATGGCTTAGCCAAGGGTATTTCTGACCCATTGAATACGGAGAGCATGGATGAGCGGTTCTACGTCTTGTCAAATCTCCACCAACTTCATTGTGTGGTAAGGAGTTCCACGAAGAAACCAAATTTGCGGCATTAGAATAAATCTGACTAGCGATTGCTTATTAGAATGTTGTTCGACGTCGCTTTCGCTACTATGAGTCTCAAATCGGGCAACCCGCCAACGAATCCGAGGCGATTTTCGCGGCCTGGACAGAGCATACTGATCATTGCTTTGAATACCTACGTCTTTCAATCACATGCGGAGACTTCCTAGTTCTGGAACCTGCTAGTCCACCGGGGACATCGCCAGAGCTGACGGCCGGCGGGCTGGGATGGGGTGTAGTGCACGAGTGCATTGACTTTGACGCGTTACGGAAATGGCAGGCTGCCAAGCGACGCGAGTCTGAAGAATCCGTACCTTAGCATATATTTCCTTTGTTAGAATATACTTATCTGCATAGACCTTGACCGTCTATTGTTTTTACCTAGCCGCAGTAGTATACCGTCGATACTTTAATATGTAGAACGAGCCACTATCACAATGTTGTATATGCACTAAACCCCGTAAAACGCTTCCGCAAGCCAAGAATATTTATTTTACCCGTCTCTATCCATATTTACCTCTATTTCCAGCCTCTTTCAGTATTAAAACGTTACATAGGTGTATAGTAGATGGGTATTTTTGTATTTTGTACAGCATAGTAATAAATACTAGCGCCGTTTGTGTATTTAATGGCGTACCGGTGGTGACATTACCAGGGTGCGGGGAATAACAGATAGCGCGATCAGAGCGACTTCGAGGTGATCGAGTCCACGTTAATAAAGCTTAAAAAGGCTTGGAATGTGAGATGAACGTGTTGCGATAACTGGGATGGGATGGGATCCCTCTGGTGATGCAAGGGGGTCAAAGATCATAGTCGCGCCATTCTATTTTGAGATCCCCATCTACCACCAGTCGGGGTTCCCGACGGGGACCCAGATAACGAGATCTCGCAGTTTCCATTACAAAGTCTGATTGCACAATCCATATCTTAGGTCTAGAATGGCTATCGCAGGTTAGGTCAGCTGGTTTGAGCTAGAGGGTCGCGTGGATCACGCGAGAAGCGGTTTCTTTGTTCTCAAGCACGCGCGAGGTGTTACTACAACCAAGCACCCCTACTAGCCTTTCCAACTGTCGCAACTCCCATACCAACCCGAGTCTCTTCCCATCTAATAACTCAGACGACGTCACTTTCGTTATTTTAACGCGAAACACGCAAATATGAGTTCTATGTTTGAGGCATCTCCGACATTCTCCATTGAGAGCGAACGTCTCCAAATCTCCTACTTCTTACCCGACTCCCCAGAGCACTGTCGCTTCCTCGTCGAACTATGGAACAGCGAGGAATTTATGAAAACATGCGGCCGCACCGGCGTCGACACGACAGAGAAGGCCTCTAATTTCCTTCGCAACCGTGTCCACGCCGACTACGCCCGAAACAATTATGGCATGTTTCTAGTCTCGCTAAAGCCGCATGAGCACGCATCTTTGGCAGAAAGTACTCCTATTGGCTCTGTCTCATTGATGAGGGGCGAGCCGCCGAATGCTTACCTGGCGCCCGATATTGGATATGCGTTTCTGACTAAGGAAACTGGAAAGGGATATGCCACCGAAGCCGCACTTGCGTTGTTGGCGTATGCGAAGAAGGAACTCAGGGTAGATTCCGTGTTTGGATTCTGTGGAACGGACGATACGCATAGCGCGAGGGTGTTGGAGAAGATTGGGCTAGAGTTTCGAGGACAAAAGAAACTGAAGGTTTTCGGAGGAAGGGAAAGCGCTGTTTATGCACTTCCTACAATGAGCCAGGATCTGACCGTGTATGGCTTGGATGATTGAGGAAACTAGTCACCCGCTTCTTTTGAAGACTGATTTTCCACGTCCGATCTAGCAAGCGATATCGGCGACCGCTTTTCTTCTGGCATGCTGTCAGATCAAATAGTATTGAAGGGAGGGGTTCTCGCGAATTTCGGTTGTTGGCCTTTCGCAGGTCTTTTTGGAGTTCTATTGAGAACAAATGACTCGAGAGAATCTGTAGATACGCGAAGAAGAAAAAGGACCTACATAATCTACAGTGGGTAGAGACCATAAGCTAACTGCGGAGGAGATACAGAAGCCACACAATCTATCATAAATATCTATGTATATAAGCACCGCAAAGGGAATCAGATACTGTTCATACATTCACTGAATCGAAGATAGCACCTGAAAGCAAAGTTGCCCATCTAGGTAATTTGATGCGTGCCCGCGAGTCCATCAGATCGTTGCGCAGCATAAGCCCAAATTGTAGCCTCGATCCTCGCGCGCTGTTCTGTCTCCACAGTTGAAGTATTATCTCCGAAGACAGAGTCCATTTCCTCCAGAGTTTTTCCATTGGTCTCTGGAACAAAGAGCCATGTCCAAACAAACGACAGGGCACAAAACACACAGAAGAATACGTAAGTCCCATACCCAGTGTTTTGAACAAGCGGCGGAGTAATAAGCCCAATGATGAAGTTGTTAAGCCAGTTCGACATCGTGGAGTATGCCATACCCTTAGCACGAAGCGAGGAAGGGAAGATCTCAGCCGGCATAGCCCAAGGGATAGGACCCCAACTAGCTCCATAGGTGAGCATGAAGAAGCATAAGAAAGCGACGCAAACCCAGCCTTCTGTGGAATGCGCTGGCCAATTCGATTGGTATTGGCTCATTAGGACGGCGATGATAAGATGCGCAAGAACCATGCAGCTAGCACCACCAAAGAGCAAAGGCCTGCGACCAAATTTATCCATTCCCCATAGTGACCAGAAACAAGCTAGCATCTGGCAGATGTTGATAACACCAGACATGTGGAGTTGCATGTCGTAGTTTAGGCCCATTCCCGCGAATAGACTGGGTGAGTAGTAGATGAGAGCGTTGACACCACCAAATTCTGTGAGCAGGATATGAGTTAGCCCGTTTAAGGAGAAATAGAAAGGGAAAGCGGTGGTTCCACCACGACAGATACTCACGTTGGAAAAACATAAGTCCAATACCGACATGCGTACGCTTCCAACACCCTTTGCGGAAACAGTCCAGGTAGCTCCAGACATGAAGCATAGCGCGACTGGTGTAACTTCCATCCTGACACTTTGGATGTCTCACGATGCTCACTTCCTTGCAATAAGCCACTTCTGAGCGAATCTCAACCCACTCTCGGATGACGCGCTCGTCGGTAGGGTCGACACCACGCAACTTGCAGAGAACCTGGAGCGCTTCTTCATCTCTGCCTCGACCAGCGAGCCAACGAGGTGAATATGGGAGGAATGGAATACCGACCCCGAGGAGTACGGCTGGAATCATCTATCCACGTGGGTTAGGGAAGGACAAATCGCAGGCAACAGGAATGCACACCTGAATAAGGAAAGGAAGGCGCCACGACCATTCACTCGGAATGTATCTTGTACCATAGGTGATGTAGAAAGCAACCACAATGGCAGTGACAATAGCAAGCTCCTGCAAAACCAGCAAAGTACCACGAATCTCCGGAGGCGCAATTTCAGAGATATAGAGCGGTGCCACCATGGCCAGCATGCCGACACCAATACCTCCGACAAACCGGGCACCTACAAGCATTTCGAAACTCATAGCCCCAGTCTGTAGAGCGGAACCAAAGAGGAAAATTATCACCGCAACCATGATAGACCACTTCCGAGAGATTTTGTCGGCAATCCATCCTTGGTTCATTGCTCCAATGAACGCCCCCAGCTCGATCATTGCCGTGAGGATTCCTTTCTGGAATCCCGCACCGGCTGCGTCAGGGCCAACCTCAGGAAATCGCTCGAGAAATTGGTCCATTGTGAGGGTTATGGAGACGACACCTTGGTCGTAGCCGAACATTGCCCCGCCCAGTGTTGCGAAGGCGGCGCATGCTGCTACATATTTGTTCGTGAGGATACCCCTCAGGCCTGTTTTGTGGGAGGATGCGTTAGTATGTGATGGGTACAGAGAAAGGCGGGGGTGGGTAATACCAGATTCGCCATAAGGTTGTCTTGTTGATCCAGGGGCTGGTATGAAAACAGAAGGATCCGATTTTATATCGGATTCAAAATGTTCGCTCTCTGGGGATTCTTTCTTATCGGCCATGGTCTTCCTTGAAGTCCGGTAGCTAAGAAATAGGGTCAATATATAAAATGGATAATAATGATCCAATAGAGAAAACTGTAATTGAGGATATCTTTCAAATATAAGCAAAAGTGTGGAATGTAAACTTTGTTTCATGCAACATCTACACCAACCAGAGTCAATGCAATTACCCTAACCGGTGCCCCCCACTCTACACTATACCAGGTAGGTACGTACTATGAAGTTGGCACTTAGAGTTTGGACTTGACGCCATCGACCGGGAGAGAATGCGGGGGAGACCCGCAAGTAATGGCCCTCCAAAGTTGTCCAATTCGCGGGGCCCCGGAATCTGACCGAGTCGGACACCATTTTCCGGCTCGGAGATTACTTTCCTTCGATAGCCGGCCGAAAACACCCCTTTTAGTAGCGTCGGCGAGCAAAACAACCGAATGTCATAATCGCCTAGTTCGGGATCTGCGCGGGTGGCTATGAGTCTCCAACCCTGCACTAAAATGGCGAAAGGAAACCAAAAAAGCCCTCTAAAAAGACTCCCAAAAAGGACATCCGAAAAGGTTCCCAACATAATGCCTCCAATATCAAATCAATAACATAGAATAGATAGAGAAGTGGAGGAGAAGTGGAGGGTGAGGCGGTGAATTAGTATGCTTAACCAATCAAACGTCCGTTGTCAGATGTGCCGATGAATCCCGGCTCTTTTGTATAGCCAACCATTCAGGCTGCAACATTAAGGGATATCTCGGGGGAGTTCCCAGACTAGTCCCGGTTGTCCGATAAGACATCAAATCTCGGCACCTCCCGCAGGGCTGGGCATTGGTTATTTGTGGCCCATGACGTCTTCTCCCCACTCCAACTGCCTCCCTACTCCCATTTGCCCAACATTTGCACATGTATTTATCTCTATTCTGCCAGAATAATCTCCCCTATATCCAAGAGTCATTGTAAAGATACAAACTCGGGGGATATTACCCGGTCACGCTTGGAGACGCTTTTAAGAATGAATGATGGCTATGAAATCCATCATAAGATGTGATATGAGGGGATTTTCGGCCATGTGGCTTGCGAGGGACAAGGAGTTAGTTTATCAACCGGGCCATTTTCGCCCAGCTACAGACACCAGCCGAAGTCAGTGGGTCTCGTTGAAGATCATCACCGCAAATTGGTCTCAATCGCGCGAGCTGCAAAACCCGAGACTTCTCGAAAGGCATTCTGGGTGAAATATTTCCTCGCAATATATTGTTCAGCTGCTTGACGACTTTACCCACGATGGCCCTAACGGAGTCCACTAATCTTGTGTATCCAAATTACTTGGACCTACAGTTGATAAGGTCCTCACTGATTATTCTAAGCAAGGGTGAGCTAGAGACGGAAGAAATGCTTTGAATGTCTACGTAACTCCTGAAAGCCATTAAGCTTATTTATGGTGCTAGTATGTGTGTGCTATACGGGGAAGAGTACTCTTTCCTCTGTGAGCTTATCGTCGTGATGCACAAAATGCCAGCCTACATAGTCATTGACCCTCATAAATCTGAGATACTCGGTCTTCTCTAACAGAAAAGCACCCACGAAGCTATTCGCACCATTTAGGTCCGGGGGGTGCATACTATTTTGTATGGTGGGAATAGCTTCATTTTGTTGAACTCGGGCATTTTGGGTACTTTACTTAATAAGCCACCTGTCATTAGAATTCGGATATTTTAACTTTTGCCTATTTGAAATAAGGTACCAATAAGGAATTTTCAGGCATAAACTAGGCCAAAAGCCCATTGGGACATTAGCTGTTATGCCCCTTCGCAAAGGAGAACAGCCTGAAAGGCTAGCTCAGCCGAGTAATTTGCAGGTATCCGAGTCAATTTTCACGGACCGCTTTGATATCGCCTTGATTTATGGCGTGTTGGTTGCATGGTAGGTCGATATTTCTTTTTTCTTTTTATTTTCTTCCTGCGAAAGTATTAACACTGGTATAAACGTTAGATATACGCTATCTTGTTCACGATCTATCTTTTCTAGCATTTTAGCGAGGACAAAAACTAAGTTTCCAAATGATTGGTTTCGTGAAGAGACTGCCAGTTGAATGGGAGTCCAGTGGGAAGAAATGCAGATTCCCAGTGACTAAACCGTGATCTATAGATAAAAGAAGGTAAGTAGTTCGACAGCTTCAAGCTTTATTAGAAGTGGCTCAAGTGTTAATGCGATTGCTGTTATATAATCGCATTGCCTAGGTTCTGCAGACAAGGCACTTACTTGACTTGACTTGCTATGGAACAAAATACAAGAACTAGGTAGAACTAGATTATGTATTGTACAAATGGATTTCAAACAATGTTTGCCACAAAATCGAAAACGTCTTGCATAGGAATACTATTCTACCTCGGAAGATAAATACCTCTAGAGCTTCGGGGCTATTAAACCAATGACTAATCCTCAATCCCGAGGTAAGTCGCTGATCCCGGGACCCACTGTAGATCCGGGTAGCCTGGAAGCTCGGGACTGCGGCACTCTAGTACCGCCACTTCACTTTCTCGACTAGATTTTGACCGCCTGAGTCACTAGATTTCCGTTGCTCTTACTAGACGATTGCTCTGCTTCTGTATGCCATAAAGTTAAAAAAAAATCTAAGTCAGACGGATCAAGCGAAGAGTGATAGCGTCGAGTACTTATAGTGAAGTATTAAGTGTTCCAGCATTAAAAAGGATAACCTATCTCGAATTAGACTTCAATTTTTAATTAAGCATACCAATAAAATGGTGTAATCTAGCTACCTAGTACCTATATGTAGTATAGTAGGAATATACTGCAGGCAGAATCCGAACTGGCGGTAGTAGACTGCCGTATTAAGGTTTGGGCACCTCTGACATCATCAACTAAAGCTGCCCCGGTGACCATATTCTTTTTTGAAAGGTCTTTAATCCCGCAAAATATCGTCAAACTTGATGCGTAAAAATACTCATTGCTGTTATAATTCAGTCTAACATACACTGAACCCCGTACTTCCCGTCCGGAATTGTGTTCCTCTAGTTGGCCACACCCGGCCGATCTCCCGTGAAGAATGGAATCGGCAGCACAAACCACGAGGCGCCGACCCAGCCGGCGTGGGTCAATACAATCGGAGGACTGGCCTGAGGAGGTCAACATTTCGCTCTCACCACATCGCGAGCGAAATCACATAAATGCAGACAGACGAAACACCGGGGTCAGAGTCTTGAGTATGTGATTCAGGTGATGCGTTGAAACTGCGTGGCTAACGGTGACTCTTTTATAGGCGATGGCCGGCTTGATATCAAGATCGACGAGCATATGCCACAGCTCGCCGGTTTATTGAATCGCATCCAAACGACAACTGCGCCACCCGACCTAGAGGCTCTAGAGGGCGAACCAACCCCGGAACCAATACCAAAAGATGAGGGAAAAGACTTCCCGCTGAAGATGAATATCGTCATTCAAGTTATCGGATCTCGGGGCGACATCCAACCGTTTCTTGCGCTGGGTCAAGAGTTGAAGGCATATGGACACCGCGTACGACTAGCAACCCACCTCATTTTCCGGGAGGTTGTACTTGACGGTGGATTGGAGTTCTTCAACATTGGTGGAGACCCCGAGGAGCTGATGGCGTTCATGGTCCAAAATCCCTCTCTACTCCCCGCATTCAGCACGATTCGCAGCGGTGCCATCCAAAAGCGCCGGCGCGAAATGAAGGAAATTATATACGGCTGTTGGAAGTCATGTGTTGAAACAGGGGACGGTACAGACTTGCATCAAATTAAGGAGGATCTGTGGAGTGACACAGTGGATTATCGTCGAAGACCATTTGTTGCTGATGCAATAATCGCTAACCCGCCCAGCTTGGGCCATATCCATTGCGCACAGCGACTGGGGATTCCACTTCACATGATGTTCACGTAAGTCTATTTTCAAACTTGAAATTGAGGGACGCCCTAATAAAAGTTTTCTAGAATGCCCTGGTCGGCTACTCAGTCGTTTCCGCATCCTTTGGCCGTTCTCCACCCGCAGGAATGTAAGCCAACGGTTGCAAACCTCGTGTCTTATACCGTTGTGGATATGATGATTTGGGAAGGATTGGGGGATCTTGTCAACTCATGGAGGAAGAAATGCCTCGCACTAGATCCGTTAGATTCGATCACGGCGCCAAATTTGCCCGGGCGGCTCGGTGTTCCATTCTCATATCTGTGGTATGGGTTCACCCGAAGGCGGCGGGTCTGGACACTTCACTAATTGTGGCTTACTTTAGGTCGCCGGCATTGTTGCCAAAGCCACGCGATTGGGCTGACCACATCGATATTTGCGGTTTCAGCGTGTTACCTGCGAAGTCAGACTACAAACCCCCCAGAGAGATCGAAAATTTCCTCAAAGCAGGGCCCACTCCACTCTACGTTGGATTTGGCTCTATTGTGGTAGAAAACCAAGTCAAATTAACCAAAATCGTGTTCGAAGCCATACAGAACGCCGGCCAGCGTGCAATCATTTCAAAGGGCTGGGGAAACCTCGGAGTTGACGATATCGATGTGCCGGATAATATCCTTATCGTCGGCAGCGTGCCACACGACTGGTTATTCCAGCACGTATCATGTGTGATTCACCATGGTGGTGCAGGTACCACTGCTGCAGGACTTTCTCTTGGACGTCCGACCATTATCGTTCCCTTCTTTGGAGACCAACAGTTCTGGGGAGGAATTGTTGCGATGGCTGAGGCTGGGCCCCAGCCAGTGCCTTACAAGCAACTCACAGTTCAGAAGTTGACCGATGCAATTCAGATAGCATTGAATCCTTCTACTCAACAGAAGGCACAAGAAATTGCAGATAAAATGCAGAAAGAGTCCGGTGTGAAGGATGGGGTACGCAGTTTTCATCGGCATCTTAAGTTGAAGACTTTGCAATGCGCAATATGTCCTGATCGTCCTGCTGTGTGGCACATTAAACAAACTTCCATTGGGCTCAGTGCTTTTGCTGCATCTGTACTAGTTGAAATGGGGGCTATCAAACCAGAGAATGTTGCTTTGTAGGTTGGCCTTCGACAGCACATTTCCAGACCACTAACCAACTGTCCAGGAATCGAGCATCGGAATACGATACATACCGCAATCCCACAGGCCCTGTCAGCGCAGGAGCTCAGGTGCTACTTGGAGCGATTGCGAACTTTGTGACCGGGATCGGGGAGGTCCCTTATGATATTGTTTCGGATTTCGTCACCGCTGGCCGTGCAATAGGTCATACTCGTTCACGCAGCAATCCTTCATCGAGGTTTTCATGGAGGAAAACACGCAGAAGTGAAGATTCAGACCTAGATAGTGAGGGGGAGCAGCAGCAGTATCATGAGACTGCTGAGTATCATGGGCCTCCTCAGTGCCGTGGACTTGGCCGACTAAATGGCGATGATAACGACGGGGTAAGCCTCGACACGAACGACAACGAAGAAGACAACGTGAGACACAACAAAATGAACCATGATTTGCCGGCTAGTGCCGTTGGCCAGCGACAAGGCATACCGATTAACCAGGAAGAACTGTTGTGCTATCTAGAGTCACGCCAGGGACATGGTGTTATCTACGAGATACGCACCCACAGCAGTCGAATATCGAAAAAGTTATTGAAGAGCATACTGTGGCTCCCAACAGACCTGACCCTTAGCTTGTCCAAAGGATTCCACAATGCTCCGATGCTGTACCACGACCAAATGGTCAAAGAATTGCCGAAAGTTATCGGTTTCCGGAGTGGACTCGCTGCTGCCGGCACGGTATGTCACCTGTCCTCGACAATAAAAGAAGAAGTCAGAACTAATCTTTTACCTCATATATAGGAACTTCGAGATGGATTTTACTACGGTATCACAGGCTTGGTCACCCAGCCTCAATATGGCTCCAGACAGCAAGGAGCGAAAGGAATGGTGAAGGGAATTGGGAAAGGGATTGGCGGTGTTATCTTAAAGCCACCAGCAGGTATGCGAACGTTGTGCTCCACAGACTCGCCTTTCCCGTGGGTAACTTATTCTGACTCAACTGCTTCTAGGTCTTTGGGGACTTTTCGGATATCCCTTGGTTGGACTTCGTAGAAAGCTTCAAAAGTCCTTAGGCAGGAGCCAGGAGCTCTCTATTATGGCATCTCGGATAGCGCAGGGTCTTGAAGATATGCGGGCGTCTACTGCCGATGAGCGGGCAGAGGTTGCTAGAAAATGGCGTCTTCTTGAAGAGGACATTCGTCCCTCTTACTAATCATCTTTCGAACCACCAAACCACGCGCTCTCTCCAACTCTCTTGATACCAACGACCCCTCATGTATGATGACAATGTCTGTATGCATAATTCTAACTATTTAATAGAGCACAAGCTTCGTGAATTAAATAAAATCATTTAATGATTACACCTTGAAAAGATTGTACTATGCCCACAAATTGGACCGCCACTGGTGCGAAACGAAGCACCAAGAATGGGTTCTCAGGCTTATATTAACCTGAATAGATTCAAAATAATCCATTATGCAATATTACAATTTAATTTAACACGAATTTCCCCCTTCCGCCGCTATTGTAAATAACAACATGAGAATCATCCGCTTCTGCGACTCGCCGATTATCATACACATGGCAGTCGCCATGATCAATTCATACAATCGAGTCTGCCGAATATCCCCCAATTCACTTCTTGTAGCTCGCTCTGTAGCTTGTTCGGTCCAAGTAGAGGAATGATCTTCACCAAGCAGCTCAGATACCGCAGAATCGAAAACCCACAACTCGCCGAATTTCCGGTACGCGAAGCTTGGTGTGTATTTCCCAATGAAGATATCTTCACTACCAATCCCAGGGAGTCTAGCAATCAACTTCAAGTGACTAAAGGGCATGAACCATCTAGCCAATTTGTCATCCGGGTGGACGTCTCTCGTTCCTTTCCAGAAGAATTTGATATTGGCATATTCGAAGCTATAGCGTCGAGGGTTCAACGAGAATGGAGAACTCCAGTTCAGACGGACCGCTTCTTCCGCAACTGCTGGTTGTGGTATAGCCTCTTGTCGCACTGTAGAGTAAGAAGGAGGACTGGGGGATTGTGTTTGTGAATAGCTCGAGTCTTGCTTCCCAGATTCAGCGACATTCTCCATCCCAACGGGACCGTTATCCAAGGCATTCGCCTTTTGCTTCCCTTCGGCAAGTTCTTCCTTTTCGGCCTTGCGTCTCGCATTTACTTGTCGATGATAACTTTTCCCACTTTCCCCCAAACCCTCCAGTTGCGGACCTTATACCCTTTCAAGGCACGATCATCGTTGAGAGTTGTATTGTTTTTGTTACTGCGGCATTCCCATTTTACCACGCCTCTAGGATCAATAACATCCTTCAGATTACTGCCGAACTGGATTGTCCATTTCCGCCAAAAGGCCCCGCACTTTATGAGGCAGATCGGTGTTCCGTTCTTGTTTCCGCGACGGAGAGTACGTGGCGTATTGTGGAATAAGAGAGTCGGGTGGTGCACGAAATAGCTGTTGGATTCATCGGTTCTGTCTCGGGATTTGGGATACCCAGCTGCGAGTTTTTCGTGTCTCTTCTTACTAGATCCGAGCTCCTTTCTCGGGTTGATGAATGGCGTTATTGAGATGTGCTCGTCGCCTTTGTGGTAGACATGCCAAATCGATAAACGGTGTCGTTTGGATATTGCCTCGTCGAGGGGTGACATATTTGGATGATATATTTCTTCAGAATTGGATGACTAGTGGTAAACCAGTGGTTGAAGTGTGTTGGAGGGTTAGACGGATTTGGCCCCATTTGGGTGCCCTGTTTTTGCTTCATCGGGCGCAACAGGTGGACCAAGTCACATTAGATCATCATCTGATTGGTTTTAATATATAGAAAACAAGTTAATACAGCAGAGTTACTACATATCTTGTAGTGCTAAGGGGGCTGTGCAGGTAGTCTCCGCCTCAGCCGCAAACACCATTCTTAGTGAATCATAGCTCTGCTATGCAAGAACAATATAGCCACAAACAATTAGAATTATATGTGCTTATCATAGCTATAAGGCTGAAAATGGCTAGAGTGGTCAAGACAGGATGAACACAAACTTATAAATCTTCCGCCCCCATTCACTCACCCACCTAATATTCGACGAACAAATACAGACGGGTCTGTATCAATTTCAACGATAATAGCAACGGATACAATCAATACCGTTAGAGTGATCTGCCCAACATCAGTTATATCTTCAAGACCAATAAGGATTTGTAAAACTCACACAACCCAGTAACAACCCCACAGAATTCAATTCCCAACCTCCAGAATAGATCATACCCCTAGAAATAGCATTCTGCTGCCTCCAGAATCGATACGCTCCAACAAAAGCCACGAGAATAGCCACACAGTGACATGCGACCGAGAGCGGTTTACCAACCCGACGAAATCCAAGACGGTCCGCTAACGCCTCCGCAGCCTGCAGACTGAACAGCTGCGCAATTAGCACGCCTTGCTGGGCAACGACGAGAGAGGTCCGTAGATATGCGAGGAATGTTCTCTCCAGAGCTTGGATGCAGAGTTAGTATTGTGCATATCGGCAGGTCTAAGTCGCAATCGTAGGGTACATACCGAAGTAATCCCGACTACTTTTATGTGGCACTGTCAGAGTAACATTATGGGTCCAAATCCGAGTGAGCTTGCCCCAAATCCCCCTTCGAGCTTGCCGGCGTTGCTGCGCATCGGCACGTGATGCGAGAGCGCGTGATGTGGTGCGACGTGTCACAACGCGATATTCATCGCCAGATGAAGCAGATGGTGTTGAGTAGTCCAACTCATTGTCCTCATGTGTTTGGAGCTCCTGGAGCTCGAGCGCTTCGCGGGGATCCAAGTTGTTGTCGTTGTCGCGCGGTCGGGTGTTCCGCAGAATGACGCCCGATGGCCGCCTAGGACGAGAAGTTTGTGTAGGGACTTCTGTCATATTGTCATGAATGATATTAGCCCGGAGACACCAGCATGGTTACGGTGTGGACTTTTTATCGTTCGCTGAGGGGTGAAGGGTGAAACCAGATTCTCCGTGGATCGACGTTGCCCCCGCATTTTGACGGTTACTCCTAAGTTTGTTAGCAAGCTCGACAGTATATCAACACAATTGAGGTTATTTTATACGGAAAACAATATAAATGTGAGCTGAACCAAGGTTATGCGTGTGATTGATATTGGCCAATAATAGGCCCCCCACGAATTGCACCATCGCCTAAGATAATGCTAAACATATTCTACTTTTGTATGTACTTTTTTTTTTTTCAAACCAGCATATTGATTCTTCCTTGGTCTTGCTATTATGCTTGCTTTTCACCTTGCTCAATATTTACCCACTGATATTGCTTATTGATAAACACCTCAGCTGCAGGAGGGGAGACAACGTCAAACAACGCAGCCTTCAGGAAGACTTTTCCAGGGGCCTTCGGGGTCTTGGTGTACACAGGACTGTGATCATCGTCAGCTACTGTTAACTATTGAAGGTGAATCATTCCACATACCTGCCACACCCAGAACAGAAATAACGCTATATTGTGGTTCGGGTTAGTCTTTCGTTCGAATGCGGCAAACAGTAAGTGTATAGATATTGACAGAGGAGTCACGCTTTTACCTTCACAACATTGCCGCTGGCAGACCTCTTGTCCTCATACATCTTCAATGTCGCATTTCGATCGCTGACGGTCAATTCATCTTCATTGACAAGATAGTTGACAGATAATGCTAGGATACTGTAAGAAAAATATACTGTTGCTTGGTCTTAGCAAGTGTACTTACCGCCACCACCTGCTCGCTTGCAACAATCGCTGTATTTGAAGATTCACTTTAGTATGCAAATATTAAGATAATATATTCCAGGTTCATACCAATGGCAAACAGTTGAGCTCGGAGGTCGCTGAGGAAGGGTGAGGCGAATACTCTCGCAATTGCAATGGCCTTGATAAGACATGGTTTCTGATTGGCTAGTAGATGCAACCTTTTGTATATCTAAATATGCAGCATCCTTGTTATATCTGACTTCCTAATATATTTTTTGCATGGAAGCGGGGGACTTTTGCCTAGGGAAAATTAGTGGAGCTCATGGAAATTGTTCCGCCATTGCCGCACACCCGCTAGGTGGCCATCGTCATTGCGATCTTATGTCTGGACTTTGGTTGTTTGAACATTTCGGGGCATCAGGGATGAATGGTACTTGGATGTACAGAGGGAACCCTTGCAGTAATAGTAATGTCTTTGAATACTGACATGTGATTTTAGAGCCGTTTCACTTAATTGCAGTGCTATGTTTCAATGGAGTTGGTGAGTGAAACTTGTACAGCCCGTAGAAAGCTGCACATTCTCAAATATCGCTGCTAGTCCCTAATGATAAGCTATTTGAAAAGGGAAATGTTCTAGAACTTCCATATCTCGGTTTGTGCATTCCTCGCAGGGCGCATACTTTCAAGTATAGTCCGGTCCGATATCGGCCTCGTTATACTACCTTGAACAACTGACCACGTTACGGAGAAAACATATAAGAGAGCCCATCGAACTTCTCAATTACTGGAAAATCATTCAAGTCTTCACAAATACAATCCTTGAAACATACATTCTCACTTGATTTTCTGTTATTCCGCTTGTTCCTAATCGATATTCCACGCCAAGACTACGACTTCCCCACTTCTCCATTCTACAATCTGTCAAATACACCATGGCGTCCAATACAGAGGGCCCTAAAGACCACTGGTCAGCCGAAGTATGTGTTTCTCCGATGATATATATGTGCCATAATTAACACAGCCCAGGCATATTCAGCCTCTGCATCCTTCGTGCACTCCGCAAAAATCACCGGCAAACTTCTCACCTCCCTGGACCCCAAGCCAACAGACAAGGTCCTTGATGTCGGCTGCGGCGATGGAAAATTCACAGCGAACTTCCTTCCGGCCATAGAATCCGTCTTGGGCATTGACTCTTCTGCGTCCATGATCGAGTCTGCTAACAAAGACTACGCAAGCCCCAAAGCCAGCTTCCGTGTTGTGGATTGCCGGTACCTGGAGAAAGAAACCTCCATTGTGAACGGATCATGGGATAAAGTGTATGTCTTTGATTATGATACATGATACAAGATGCATGTAGCCCGACTTCTAACACCAAAACAGAATCTCCAACGCAGCCCTCCACTGGATCCTACGTGATGAGTCGACGCGCATGTCGACACTTCGCGCAATCCACGGCTGTCTGAAGCCGGGCGGCACGTACGTGTTTGAGATGGGCGGGCACGGTAACGTTGCCGAGGTTAAGACAGCCCTTATCTATGCACTTGTGCAGCAGGGTATTTCTATCGAAAAAGCAAGAGAGACAAGTCCTTGGTTCTTCCCCTCTGATACTTGGATGAGAAATGCGCTGGAAGAGATCGGCTTCAAGGTTGAAAACGTCGAGCCCGAGTACCGCCCAACAAAACTCACCACCGACGCCAAGGGCGGTTTAGAGGGATGGGTTAGACTGATGGGAGCCCAGTTCTTAGATGTGCTCCCCGAGGAAAAGCGGGATACTGCAGTGCAGCAGATTTGCGACGTGCTGCAGGATGTTGTTACTCGTGGCGAAGATGGGAGCCAGTGGCTGGGATATGTGAGACTGAGAGGTATTGCGAAGAAGATCTAATGATGATTTTCGTTGGAAAGGGTTCAGTTTGCAGATTGCTGCTTCCGTCGCTCAATGAGAACACCAAGAGGGATGTCCTCTTCATCATAGAACTCTGCTTCCTCATCCACCCCAAAGTCGCGTAGTCTTTCTCCTTCGGCGTTTCGCCAGGCCTCTTCGCCTTCGTCTAAGTAACTCTCGGAGTCAGTTTCGGACTCATCACTATCACTTTGAGCATTGTCGCGCTTTTTGTAGCGATCGTAAAATGGTTTGCGACGTTGTAGACCAGGACTTTGCTGGAATCGTTTCATGTCTTCCTGTTTCCGACGGTTGAAGGCATCAATCTCATCCTGAATAGTTGCATATGTAGGCATGCTCATATTACTTGGTGGCCTTGCACTAGCCGGAATCGGGATTCGATCTGGATCTGGAGGTGGCCATGACACACCAGGATCTAACAAAAATGATGAGCAATCGAAAAGCTAGATTACTGACTCATCCACTCACCCTCAAATTCATTGGTCTCGAATTCCCAGCCAGTCCGACGATCGGGTGTTGCAGCCAGTGGCCAGAACCAGCTTATGAACTAGAAAGGCATTAGCTGCGATATTTGGACCGTGAACAGACATACTCACATTAGCGCTTCCACCCATACTTTGCTTGATATTGGCCCAGATTCCAATGTCGTATGGGTATTCCTGCTTTTTTATCCGAACTCGAATTCCTCCAGGACCCTCAAGATACCCGCCCAGCACACGGGCGCGACGAACAAGAGTAGCATGTCTCTCAATTTCCCAAGTTTCAATAGTGGTTGTGTTAGATCCAATCGACCATAAACTCCTGAGCAGGAGGACAAAGAGACCGAAAGCTGTCAGACTATTTACCACAAGCAGTATAAACAAGTGGATGAGTTGCCCCAATGTGGGGCCGAGATACTATTCAAATATTAGCGATCTGAGTGGTAAAGTGCTTCGAGTTACATACGCTGGGCAGGTGACTGTTCTTCCATACAAATGATGCACGCTGCCAGAGAAGAGTCTCCAGATAGGACATGCCAACAGTCGCATAAAACAAAAAGCGCATGAAATGCGGAAGGGTAAAATGTGAGACGCAGTTCGAGGTCCAGGGACAATGATGATCCATTTTGGGAATGCATCTAGGAGAAGATCAGCAAAATTCTCCATAGCGGGCATTCCTCATCAAACCTTTTACAGGTTTTGCAGTGGTGAGCGCGAGGCGGTTTGTAAGCTTCGCATCTACGACACCATCGCTGGCGACTAGCGAGTGCGTCACCTTCTTGTTCTTTGGGTTTCGGTCGCTCCTGGGACTTGGGAAGTCGACCGGGATCTACAAAACATGTTCGGTAATAGCATATCCAGATGCACAGAGCGAATATATTGATCTTCCAAGTTTCGTCCGTTGTGAGTGGCACAGGCTCGAAGTGCAGAAAGAAATACTGTGATGTGTAGGCGAGGAAGGCGATCAATACACTGACTCCGGGGATCGCGAACTTCGTTATTGAAAATTCCTCGCCCAACATTTCAGCGTCTTCAGCCGTTTGAATAAGCAACGCTGAGAAGCTGCAGAGGCGTGAAGTTGAACGTGTTGTTTATCGGGACCCGTGGATGGCCGGGCCCCGGGGTGTGGCTATGCTGACTAACGTGTGTCCGGCCTCGCGCGTGGAATTGACATGTAGGATGGAATCGACGTCGAAAATGAATTTAGTTTCTTTTGTTAAAGGTTATACATGGAAAGATTGTTTCGCACACCTTATGCTAATACTACCTGTACTCTACTTACAGCACTAATAAGGGGGAAATATGTAAACAACGCCCAAAAAGACTACAAAAGACTACCAAAAAAACACCCCAAACCCACCAAAACGAGGTGACAAGGTCGCATGTGCGGCCGACTATTCTTGTAATAACAGGCTGGCATTCTGGATATGATAGAAAGTGATCGATTTAGAGCAAAAACAAGTACAACACAGAATGAGCTAGGCACGTCGAAGGAAACTAAACCTAATTCGGTTGATGTGGGGGCAGACCCGGAACCTTACTAATTTAAGACAACCACGCCACGTGATCCTGAATGCCAAGACAGTTCGATCCTCCTTCGACATTTGCCGAGTCGATGTGCGTCAACTAGAAGCCATTGAAATTGTTCGCATGTTTTTTCAGCATCAATCAGCTAGATGAAAGAACTTGGGGTGCTTTCGGAGATGAACAACTAATACCAGGCGTGCAGGATGCCGATTGAGGCTCTTCCTCAGAAAACAATCCGCGCGATTGGCTCCACATCTGTCATTTCAGATCCCTACTCTGTTGTCAAGGAACTTATAGACAATGCCCTAGATGCTTCTGCCACGTCATTGCAGATTGAGATTTCCCCAAACACTGTGGATATCATACAGCTCAAGGACAATGGTCACGGCATCTCTCCAAAGGACCAGCACTATGTCTGCAAACGAGCTTTTACTAGCAAGATCCAGACTTTAGATGATCTCAGAAATGTCGGTGGGTCATCATTGGGGTTTCGTGGAGAAGCACTTGCCAGTGCCGCGGAGATGTGTGGGGGGTTTCGCTGTCACTACTCGAGTTGAGTCCGAAGTTGCCGGGCGATCTTTGAAGTACGGAAGAAATGGAGAACTTATTGGGTATGCTGACCTGGCCAGATTTTTTGAATCATGTGTCACTGCTGACATTTTATTGCAGAACACAAAGAACGTCACATCCTGTGGGCACAACTGTTCGTATGACAGACTTTCTCAAACACCTCCCTGTCCGCAGACAAACTGCCTTGAAGGGTGCTGCGAGAAATCTCACAAGGATAAAAAAGCTTCTCCAGGCATATGCGATGGCTCAGCCATCTAAGAGGCTCTCACTGAAAGTGCTCAAAGCGAAAAATGAAAACAACAATTGGGCCTATGCGCCAAGCGCAGACGCCTCGATCTCAGATGCAGCTCTCAAGGTAGCCGGCACAGAAGTATCTTCTTCTTGTGTCGTGAAACGACTTTCGTCCCACATAACCGATGGGAATCAACAACGATCATTAGATCAAAAAGATTATGAAGCCATCGTCTTTCTTCCGAAGAAACAATTTGGTGAGCTCATCTTATTGAACATCCGATTATGTGTTTACTAACCAAGTTAGATACCTCCAAGATCAATAACACGGGCCAATACATCAGCGTAGATGGCCGCCCTCTCTCTAGCAGCAGGGGAATTGGGCATGAGATCGTCAAGATCTTCAAACCATATGTCCGTGTTGCCGCATCTAAAAGCGAATCCTCCAAATCGGTTAGCGATCCTTTTCTCTGTTTGCAAATTCGCTGTCCCCGAGGAACGTACGACGTAAACATCGAGCCAGCAAAAGATGATCTGCTCTTCGAAGACCGAGATGTAGTCTTGGCCTTGGTGGAGAATTTGTTTCGCGACCACTACGGTGAAATAAATGGGGCGGAGACAAGAAATTCCAACCAGGGCAAAGATGATGCCTGCAAATCCGTCGAAGGCCCAGAAGTGTTCGAACTTTTGATGGCTAGGAAGCCGGATAAAGAACTTTCTGCACAGCCTCGCGAACCTGTGAACCCCTTCAGCGAAGCTATACCTCACACGCCTCTCTCACAGAATCCGCTTCGTTCCGAGTCCGCCTTTTCGCCTGTGGTTCCTTCTAGTAGCAAGGGCTCGGAAAGTCTTGATGAACCGACCACTGCCAGAACCAAACGTTCCAGCTTCGTCAATCCGTGGTCTATCTCCAGAATCAATGCCTCATTTCAAACACCGCGACGTGGGGGCAATTCCCTCACTCAAACAAGCCCCGTGGATCTATCTAACGGTAGCCTGCAGGGGCCAATCCGAAGGGAGAGCGAATCTCGGGGCCTCCAGAATTCACCCATCTCGAACTTTACAGGCCCTCTTGCCTCTCGACCTGCATCTGGGTCGCCCGTGAGGCGCCGTCGACAGGACCCGCAAGAATCGACCGAGTCCTCCCCTGAGGCTAATCGTATTTCGAGCGCCCGACGCGCTGAGAGAGAACGTGATCGAGATCGGTATGGGAACGGAGCTTTAGACACTTGGTTCCAGAGAACCACGCAGGTCTCGCTGCAGCAAAGCCCTATTGAGGAAGGACCGACACAGAAACCGGACTCACCGCTTTCTTTACTTGCCCAGAAACGATTTGAATTGCCCACGGAAACTTCGCCAGGAATTGGACATGTCGATGGGCAAAATGATGGTTGCTCAGACAGCCCATCTAGGAATAGCATCACCCCAGAAGCTGCTCGTCATGTGCCGTCGCTACCCGAAGACCAAGGCGAGGACATCCCACAGTCAATGGATAGTGGTCGAGGATTTCCGGTTCTTGAGAGATGGGCCGCTCGACTTCACGAAGGCGTGAGCCATGAGGAACCATCGGATCTGGAAAAAGCGCTTGACTTCGAAAGGCGGAAGAAAGAAGCCATACAAAACAGTCGCCTACGCTTCAAGCAGAACGATAAACCGTTCAGTTCACAGTCTGATCCAGTATCGCATTCGCCTCATAGCAGTCGATACCTTGCCGCAAAAGCTGCATTAATGTCATCGCAAACTTTGATCGGCGAGCCGGTCTCTGTGACAACACTCTCTCCTCACGATCCGCGAGCATACCTCATCCGCCAGGCAAGGGACCTTTCCACCGATGAACCTTCAACGAATGACGGAAAAGCCCGGAGACTACCCACTAAACGGCTTCCCTTCGAACGTATACCCGATGGCTCCGACTTGCATGATCTCAGTTTGACTTGCTCGGTTGACTTGTCGCCCAGCTCGAACTCGTTCAAGCGGAATATACACGAAAATCTATATGCCGGGAGTGACAACGAAACTACAGCATTCTCGGCATCTGATCTTGAGACCTGCTTGCCATTCTGGAATGAACGGTTGATGCTTATCATGAATCAAAAATACAAGAGTAAGGACGATTCACAGCCTTTAAGTATTCACATTGATCTTGCCTCCATTATTTCTCAGCATGTGCAAACAGCTCAAAACAATTAAGGCTGGCTATACTTACCTATCGAATACCTTGGAAGAGGTATTCACTGGCCGCCACCCCAGAATACTCCTAATATGTCTCATATTTTTTTTTAAAAAAAAAGATTACCTCTTATTCTATAGATCAAATACCAGAGCTTTTACACTTCATCATTTCTGGTCGGCTTATAAAATCCCATACGAGCTGTATGTTAGGAAAAAAGCGGGTCATGCAGGCTTCTTTTGGAGCCTGGCCATGTGGCTCTATGGAGCCCTTTGGACCAACCAAAGTTAACCATTTCGAGATCGAAAGTTGCATATGGACAGCCGTTAGTCTTCACCTATCTCAATATCAACGATTCTTCCCGTATTATAGGCATGCTATATATTACTTTTCATTTTGAGGTTTCAAATATAATCATTATTTTTTAATCATGCAACACCTGCAATAGGAAGCCCCCTGCAGCGCGGTTTGCCCACTTGACCCGTTACATAATTCTGACATCAACGTCCGGACACCACCAAACGAGCTATAAAACAACCTCCAGATCACGATCCATTGATATTTCACCAGCCCTTCAAAAATCTAGGTGATGCGCTAAAATGACATTCTTCATCCCTCCCTCGGCCCTGGAACACCAAGCCTCAAGTTCTCTCCATTCCCCACCGCTCAAAAACAAGATAACACCCGGCGACGTGGGAATCCTGAAATCAACCCTCCTACCCTCATTCGGCCTGTATTCCAGCCTTTCACTCGCAACATACATTGCAGCCAAAGCAACAAACCGAGTCGAACTCAAAGACTGGCTCTGGCCGTCCGCCCAAGTCCTCAATGCATGGTGGACCGCCGTCGGTCAACCAATGTGCACACATGACATCTCATTCAGAACAGCTTGTGAGGCTCTACCATGGACCAAAAGGGTTCTTTTAAGCTGCGTTTCTATTTGGGGCACGAGACTCTTTGCCCGGATTGCATGCCGGTCATTATCCCGTGGGACAGATGATGCGCGGTACGAAGGGATCAAAAAGGAACCTGGCTTTTGGAGAAGTGCTTTCTTAAAGATATTTTTACCCGAAGCTGTTGTGTTAAGTGTTATCTCTTTGCCATTCACGGTTCCGTTCACTACGGGTGATGCTGCGCTTCCGATAAGCGATGATGTGATAAATATTGTTCGAGCGCTTGGCGTTGGGATTTTTGGTGCTGGGTTTGCGATGGAAGTTATGGCGGATACACAGCTTGGACTTCATCGGCAGGAACGGACGGATTTGTGTCGACATGGTGTTTGGGGTTTGGTGCGTCATCCGAAGTAAGTTCATCTGCGATATATATATATCTCCCTTTACATTAAATGACATGCGCTGATGATTTCACAGTTACCTCGGGGACACTTTGGTCCATTTTTCATTTGCCTTGCTTAACATGGCTGGTCCATTTAATCCAGTTGTGATACTGGGACCTGTGGCAAACTACCTATTCCTTCGCTTTGTGGGTGGTGACAAGCAGACTGAGGCTAGCGAGGAAGAGCGCTATAAGTCTCAGGACCCACATAAGTATGAGCAGCTGCGACAGTGGAAGCGAGAGAAGAACAGTTTCTGGCCTGATTTGCATGATTTGGTGAACCCATGGGCATTGGCTGTTGCTGGTTGCGGGTTTATTGGCGTTGTGATTGAGGAGGGGTTTAGAGGTGCATATGATATGTAATAATGCGGATTTTCGTTAGTTTGTACCTGCATAATAAAATGCAAAATGAGATGAAAATAATCCCCAAAAAAGCATACTATGACAATAAAATTATGACTGAATGAAACAATTCTAAAAATCTTGGCTAGGTGACAACCTCCATCTAGGAATAAACCTACGGGTTCTAACATATACCATAGGCCCCGATGGATATTCATTGCAGTCGTAGAACGATTGGATTGGGCTCAGCTGGAAAAATATTCTCCAATTTTTATTTGCGCAATGACATCGCATCCATAAAGCTGTGGTCCTTATGACTCCCACCCTTCGATGTCACACAATACATTCAGCAGTTTTCCAGCTGTGTGACGTTAATCCAATCGATATATACATGTGTAAATTCTAATACCCTTTGCCCCGTGTATAAGAGTTGATCAACGGCTCACCCCGAGCGATGCGGTCTAGGTTTAGTGCCAGGATATCAAGAGAGCGCGGGAAATACTCCACTCCAAGAGCGCTGACATGTGGACTGATTTGAACATTGGGCGCATCCCAGAGAGGATCATCATTAGGAAGAGGTTCGGGATCAGTGACATCAAGTGCGGCTCCACCCAGGACCCCGGAATTTAGCGCATCGACTAACGCCTTCTGGTCAATAACCTTGCCTCGTGAGATGTTGGTTACATAAGGCTTGCTCGTATGGTGATGACTCTGGTTAGATAGAATAGCGAATTCCTCTGCGCCGAGGAGACGGGTTGTTTGCGGAGTCAGCGGAAGTGAGACAACCAGATGGTCTAGCCCGATAGATAAGAAAGAGCGGATAGCTTCCCGGTCTGTTCCGTGGTGCCACGATGCAGGGATTGAGCCGTCTGGATCTCCGGTTCCGGGCACGATGTAGCCGTTGTCATGGCGGGATTCAGGTGTTGGGCGTGGGGTAGCTGTATATGCGTGGACGGTCATTCCCAATGCCTGCGAGACGCGGGCGACTGTCGGTGATCAACTTTTGTTCTCAATTTCATGAAATTTGCAGCTCTGGGGTATTGAGCGACAACGGGTGAAACGTACTTTGGCGCCCGATACTTCCGTATCCTAGAATACCCACCTTCTTGCCCACTTGATCGTGTATACCTGGCCCGTACGCAGCCTTATCCCATGAATGAGATTTCTGGGCCTCATAACCCTTGACATATTTCCGGGATGATACTAGCCAATTCATCACAGTCCATTCGGCAATCGGAGGACCGTGGATACCCGAGCTTGTAGTGATGGGGATATTAGTTTCTAGCAAAATTGGATTTTGCAAAAGATGATCCACGCCAGCAGAGAAGGTGTGAATTAATTTAAGGCTACAATAATGGTCAATTTCATGCATAGTAAACCTGGCTAGGGTGGGAGCTCACTTCTTCGAGTCCTTGATATCTGGAAGGTTGGCGAAAGTCGCAAGAATAGTGGCCCTTTGATATACTTCTGCGCGGGGTGTTAGTTTCTGTGAGCTCAGATCTTGAAGAACGATGACAAGTTACCAGATGGAACAGGAACACCTGGCTGAGCATCGTAAATAGTGACCTCGGCATCGGGGAATTTGTCTCGGATAACCTCTTTCAGCTCTACAGGCATCGACTGATAGAAAATAACGAGCACATGCTCCGGTAAGAATGCCGCATCACCCATGATTGTAATGAAATTCAGTGTTGTTTTCAAGATGCGTGCGGGAGTCAAAAGAGGGTTGGGGATTTTAAGTGAGAACAGTCCGGGGCGCGGGCAACGGGTTTCTTATCAAAGTGCCCCGCCTCGGTGGCTTAAAAAGGCAATTCGACATCTCAAAGGGTAACATCTCCATGTGAACGGGTCGGATGCTGGTTTCTTATTGGAACTGGCCGCCATTTTTGGAGAGATGGTGGTAGTTTATGCGAGATGGCGTGGTATGGCGACACTTTGCTTAGATATGGTCTCAGAGCACGTCGAGTTAGTACTATATGGCAGTGTTCGTAAGAGGGTTTTCATAATAAGCCAAAGGAGCTTTCTAGAGCAACGGATGACACCATCAATAGTAAAAATATACTACGATCGGATTATTATTAGCATTGACATACATGCATGGTATGCATGATTTGGCCTGAGGATGAGGATTGATGCCTGAATGCCTGGATGCCTGATATTCGTCGGCTCCATGCAAACTTAGCAAACACCTCTAGCGACTAATTTACAACTGTATGGGAATCCCTTGAGGTGGAATTTTCTGTTTTCTTTCGTCTGTACTGATTAACATGACAATATGTACAGTAATGGACACGGATACGGATAATTGGAGCGAGAGAGCTGTGTGTCTTCCTGAATATACCCTCTCTTGCGAGGGCTGCTCCTACAACTTTGCTAAAAGTATCACTTTCAATCACTTCAGTATGATCCATGTCGCACAAGGAAGGTCAAGTGCGGCAGAAAGCTACCCTGTGCGAACTGCTGTGTACCAAAGCGATCCTGCGTCTTCTCAGATGCTCCAAAGCCTCGAGAGACAGGCTTGGAGATGTATATTACAAGGAATTTTGACGCCTGCAGTAAACCGATCATACTTCTCACTTAATTGTAGAAAGGATGGGGTACATAGTCACTATAGTATATACTTTGTAGTAGGTATCGGGTTCTGTGCCAAGAAGATTAAGTTACCTCACGCGTCCAAACGCGTCGCGTCAACTTTAAATTTTCAACCTGCAACTATGGGACCATGCACGTCTTTAACTAGCAGGCAGCTTGTGCCTGATAGCCGCGGTAAAATTACCCATAAAGCATGAACTAGAATTATTCCCACTTCCAGTATGAATATACTGCGAGTCTTTAATGGTTGAAATGAGATCTAAACTGTAGAACTGTAGGACTGGAGAACTGGAGCCCTTCTCCACCCTCGGGATGGCGCCACAGCCAATATCCCCTAATTTCAAAATCGCAGGCGTTCCAATTCAATACACAACCTAAGGAGTACTTCTCTGAATATCATACCGGCTCAACGAATTATCGCGCACAAATTTCAGATCAAAGCCGCCCAAAATGTCACTGGAGATCCACCCCGCGTCTCCCACCGATGCGCCCGAACTCACGGAAGTCTTTTACGCCAGCTTCCGTAGCGACCTCGACAAAACCATGTTCCCAAAGACACCGGATGTGACGGAATGGTGGGAAAAATATCTCAGCGATGTGATCACGGGCTCAATTGCAGGCGAGACCAACGATGTATTGTTCAAGGTGACGGAGGGTTCGGAGAATGGCGGGATCGTCGCATTCGCGAAATGGAAGCGCCCCGTGCCGGCTGCAGATCGCGATCAGCACCAGGAAGAGATCGTGTGGCCTGCTAGTAGTGATAAGGAGCTATGTGATCGATTTTTCCAGGGCATGGAGGCGCGGCATGAGAAGTGGATGGGCGACAGGCCTCATTATTGTACGTTTTCCTTTTTCATTTTTGCTCGATTGTTGCTTGCAGTATTTCGAGTTTCGCTTTATGCTTGCTTATTTTATTCCTCGAGCAAGTACAAAACGAATCGCCATAACTAACCGTAATGCATAGATCTGGATATGCTGGGTGTTCACCCTTCCCAACAAGGGAAGGGCCTGGGGTCGAAGCTCCTCAAGTGGGGTCTTACGCGCGCCGATGCTGAAGGTGTGGAGGTTTATCTGTCCGCATCTCCGGCTGGGAGACCCTTGTACCTGAAATATGGGTTCCGGGAGGTTGATACTTTCGAGCCATATCCCGACTATGTGCAGGTAGCGATGATACGCTCCCCGAATGGCCAATAGAAATTATAGCCACCGAATAAAATGTAACAAGAATGTATTCCGGGAATGCGCTTACAAAGTTGCACGCTATAAGTAGTAAACTGGAACTTCATAGAATGAGTATCCGTGTCGTGTGGATTATTATCAAGACTTTTTGACTAAATTTTGCGCTTCACTAGACCAGGGAAGTGTTTTATCTATGGCCATTGTTGGAGATGCAATTGATCTAAAATCAAGTCGGGTCCAGCATTCTGTCCGCCCAATCCTGTTTTTTGGCAAACTTCAAATTGCGTACTGGTCGGGTAACTTTTGTTGGCGTTGCTCTCAAAAGCAAACTGTGGGCCGAGACAGACAGGGGAGTTCATGAGATCACTAAGAGAGCCATAATGAGGGAGCAGTTGCAATCTTGTGCGTGTTTGGGTTGCTGGTGCGAATGTCCAATAGGCGCGGAACTCATCAGCAATAGCTCGCTCATAGTCTGTCATCGTGCTAAGTAGGTAGTTGAGATAGGTGTTTTCAGAAGAGTGTGTCACGGGGGCCAAAGGGTATGATCCATTGAAGGAGCTACTAATAGCTATAATCTCTTCGTCAGTAATATCATTGACGAGAGTTCAGTAGGAATGTCGACTTACAAGGTGCATTGAAGCGGAAAGCCCAAAAGCACCTCGTATTGATTCTCGGGGCCCTCATCATGTTTTGAGGATAGAAGTAGGGAATATTCTAAGATGACTTTCGTGCACAGGCCAGAAATGCTCGTTGGAGATCTGTTAAAGCTCCGTCCTTTCCCGATCGATAACGGAAAATTCATCAAGAGCCATAATAACAATTGTAAATAAGGCAACGAAGTGTGAGGTGGACTTCAGGACTCATGTTATCTAGAAAACACACGACAATCTGAGTATATATTTACAACATCGTGATCGTCTACGCCGATGCTCTAGCTTGAGTTTCAATCGGGAGCGCGAACCACGCAGCAGCCATGATAATCCAAATCGCACCACAGAACCAAACAGGTCCCCCGCCCGAAACAACAGTGCTATCGAAAGTGATGATGATATAGGCAATCAAGCCAAAAATCCCCCCAAAGAAGCCCATGACACCCAGGCCGAACCCGCGCACTGTAGTCGGTAGAACCTCAACAGTATAAAGCGTCAGCGTAGACATGCCAGCAAAGCGAAGGAAGCTGATAATGCACTCGAAGGCCAACGCAGAATTGCGCGACCGGGCCACAGTAGCGAGAAGCATAAACAAACCAGTCAGAATAGCAATGCCAGCTCCGGTGCGCTTCCGCCCCAGACCCTTCACTTCGATGAGGATGGTTGCCACGAGCGGGCCGGGGATAGCGCAAAGCGCGATATATAGGTACCGGCTGTATAGGTAGGACCTCGAGACTGTTGTCGCGTTGACCTGGGATACACCTTGCGTTGCGAGATAATTACCGATATACTTTTGGTGGACCACGAAGGTCAGACCCATTATGCTCCACAGCAGGACAAGACACACTGAGCCGTAAATATTGAGTGAAGAAACAAGCGCTTGCGAGCGAGATTTTGTGCGTAGTTCAGCTTCGGAAGCGTCGATTGTGGAATCAATCCGCGCAAATGACGCTTCGGTAAGCCATGTCTGGCGCTTGTTGTAAAGGGCAATATCCTTCACGAGCTGGGTTGCTTCTGCGTCGCGGCGTCGCGAGAGGAGGAATTTGGGCGTTTCATGGAGATTCAATGCAAAACGACACAGATACAGGAAGAGAGTCATGCACCCGAAAGTCCACCATACGTACCGCCAGCCCTTGTTGCTGACATAGTGACAGGACGAGGAGCTGCTGGATGAGGAGCTAGCACTGCTTGAATGGCCGAGGGCGCGTTTGCTGCTCATCGACTGAGAGGTGCTCACTTCATCAGGACCGGTGCCACATGTATATAGAGCGATGAAAGCCCTAGATATTGATTAGTGATGTTTCCAATGTGTGGTCTGGATATTGCTTACCATCCCACTGCAGCAGCAACCAATTGTCCCAATCCCCAGAAGACACCCTGTAGAGCAACTAGATACTGGTGTGACGCAGGCAGAGACTCTAGAAGAATCATTGCATCGACAGCTTGGTTCCCGGCGGCAGCAAATCCAACAACGCAGCCGACGACACACAGCCCCGTGAATGAAGGCATGCCCGCACCGACTAAGCCACCCATTCCCATCAGCACGATGGTGCTAGTAAACATCCACTTCCGACCCAGTGTATCAGACATCATGGGCCAAGCTGTGCCGCCGACAGTGAGACCAACAAACAAGCTGACGAAGAGATAATCAGTGTTGTCACCCATAAAGAAGAACTGGGCTTCATTTCCAGCTGACGGGGCAATGACTAGGAAAGACATGATCCAGAACTATTACCGGACAGCCTTGATTAGTACTGAAATGAGGGGTTTCTGTCCAAGCCGTGAGTACTCACACTGTCAAGAAACCAGCCAACGCCAGTCATCAAGAAAAGCATCCATTGATACAATCCCATGCCCATGTCCAGCAGTGCTTGATTTAAGAGCTGGACCTTGGCCGCAAAGACAGCATCGCTTCCCGGGTGGATGTTCGGTGTTTCGATTGTAAGCCCAAGGAGGCTTTTATGCTGTTTGTCTGGCACTTCGCTGATTTTGGATGGCCCTGCTTTTTCAACATCGTTAATTAACGTCGATGCAAATGCACTCTGTGCCTCAAAGTTCCTAGCGGGTCTGATGTGATCATCATCGCTCGACATATTTGCTAAATTGTGCTTAATTAGGCTCAACAAATATGTGTTAGATGTGAAGGGCAGTCTTGATCTCCAGAAATAATGTCACCACTCGGGCCCGCCTTTGCCTATTTATTGAGAATGTACCATGTATTGAGTCACATAAATTTGTGCTAAGCAGAACACGAGCTGGGAGTAGATAAGCAAAAATTGCACCCAAGTGCACGAGGCTAGGCCCATAACATAATAGGATCTACGCTGTCTAGGGTGGACGAGTGTGGGTAACTTATCCACAATCTCCTCAGACCCCGACCCCTAGACAGGAAATATATCACAGGAAGCGGGGGTTCTATTTCTCTGGTACATCATAATGGAGACCGGCATTGGCTAGAACATGAAATTCACGGACTGAAAGTCACATTAGGCAAGTCAATGAGCATTGGGTAGCATTTGCAGAGGCAGTCGAATGGGCTAATACCCGCGGAGGTAATCCCAAGGCAAGCTATTATCAATCGAAAGTCTTGATTCAACCAGTCGATAACAATTGCATGGCTTGCAGGGCTTTCTCCGAGGATAAATTCTCCTCGGGACGCGACACATACGTTCGCGTGCACTGATCGGGACTGGGGCGATGGCCTTGATGGATATTACCGAGCCTTCAAGATAGCTATTGGTTGAAATAAACTCCACAGAGGGGGATAGAGGCGTTATGAAGGCTTGGCTTGATACCGAGCCACGCAATCGTGTTTCGTGATGTAGCTAGGATGATTCATGAACATTCGCTCAAATCCTCGTTGGAGTTGCAGCAGATAGATATAGGCGCGATTTCTTTTCGCATGGAAGTTCAACGGTAGATAATGCAGCTGTGGATGAACGAAGCTGCTAAATCCGAGACTCGGGGGAGACTTCTGAATTGGGAATCGCGCCAAAATCGGACATGTAACAAGGGAAAGTTGGGGAAACAAGGAACGGTATTTTCGTGGTGCATCTGCAGAGCTGTTCGAATCACTAAATCTTCCACCCAGGAGACATACCTCCTATGGTTATGTCTTAACCCGTGCGGATGGTTGGTTTTGCAAGGACGTTGAAGGGGCTGTCATGGCATAGGGTGACGATGAATCACAGGATAACCTAAGATATTGAAAAGAGATATTAACCACATGGCCCACTCCACATCTTAAGAAAGTAGAAATAATCAAACCAGGTAATTGGAATTAGCGAGATAGAATGAACTACTTGCTAACTATTTCAGAATGTTCAACATCAAGATCCTTGCTATCCGCAGAGAGGCCATTCCCGTGAGGAGCCGCGCCCTCTCCATCAAATACAACCGCGATTTCTTCAAGAGAGTATCCCTTTGTTTCGGGGTAGATGAAGTATACCACGATAAACTCGATGGCGACCCACGGAATAAAGATGATATAGAACTTCCACGTGATATTTTGGAGGCCAATAGGAAACGCGTAGGTTGAGAGTAGGGTGAAGCAAGTGGAGAAAAAATGGAACAAAGCCTGGCCCCTCATGCGAAGATGGTAAGGTAGGATCTCCGCAATGTAAAGGCCGAGATTGCCATTCAATCCAAAGTTGTAACATGGCGAAAAGAGATAGAGGAAGGCAACCACTGCACCACCTGCCACTTTGTTCGAGGCATCTTGGGCGAATATAGCACTGCCAGTAGTGATACCAACAAGACAAAGAAATATACTCGTTCCTGAACCGAGGAATAGAACTCGACGACCAAGCTTATTGGGAAGAGTGGCGAAGTATAACGAGGAAAACCACGAGAGCATCTGTTGTGTTGCATTAATCAAGGTCTGCTCTAGACTGCTTGTTAATCCCACACTCGAGAGAACCGGCGAGAGGTAGTATGAAATAAAAGCGTTGCCTGACATCTAAATATGGATAACACGAGACCAAGATTAGCTTCAATGTATACCTCTGGTATTGATCATGAAAACATACCTGAGCAAAACACGCGCTCCAGAACAAAATAAACAGGCGTTTCCGATTTCCACCAGAACGGGTGAACTGCAAATAACTCTCAATCCAGGTATTATTTCCCATACTGCGTTCATATTCAAGAGCCTCTTGGATGTCGTTGAATTCGAAAAGAACCAGTGGATCCGCCTGATTCCCTTCCGCGTGGTATTTAGCAAGGGTTTCAAGAGCCTCATTGCTTCTACCCTTGGATACAAGCCAACGTGGGCTCTCTGGAACAAGGTATAAACCAAGAAGTTGCACAAGAGACGGAAGGCCTTGGAGGGCAGATGGAATTCGCCATGCAGCGCTACCATCGATACGGAATGTCCCGAAGGTTGACCAAGCCGCAATAATTGCTCCGAGGGAGTACGTTGTGTTGAACATAGCTGTTGCTGTAGCTCGGTGCGCTGGGTGCGCGATCTCTGTGATCAAGGGGGCGCCAGATGCCCCAAGGAAGACTGTTCCGCAGCCTAGAACCCCGCGAGCAATGACGAACATCTCGAGGTTCTGCGCACCACCTTGGAGTGCTGCCCCTATGCAGCAGATGGTTGCACCAAGGGCAAGACCAGCACGTCGACCAAAACCATCACACACAAATGATATGAAAGGAATACCCACTAGGCCACCGATTGGATAGGCAGCATTGAATAAACCGAGGGTAGCTCCTTTGGGCTCTCCAAAATAGCTGCGCCAACTTTCCACTGCTTGTAGGCCATTCATCATCGACCCATCAAAACTATCGTTGCTGAATGTTAGCTAACTTCCAAAAGGCAAACGATACGTCGGGGTTCCCCGCTAGGAGACAGGTCGGAGGCATACCCCTGAGTGAAAAGAGACAGTAGTGGAAACACCATGAGAAGATTCAGCGAACGTAGGTTTTTGTGCCTCCACCAGTGAACCACGTCCACGCTGCTCTCCGGCATCTCTACCCTAGAAGAAGACATATCAGGCGAAGGTGCTCTTTTGGCGGTGGCCCAGTTTCAAACACGCTCGATTGTAAAGAAGAATCGTTTAATTAGTCTAAGACGGTCTTGCGGGGAGATGCCGATGAGACTTTATATGTGCCATCCCTTTTTTCCCTTAAGAGAGAGAAACCGTGCTATAGCGATCCATATTCCCGTTCTGACCAAGCCGTTCTGGTACTCCGGGGTTCTCGGGTGCGGGGGAGAGTCTTGCGAAAAACCGGGGAAATAAAGCTATTCCGAGCGAGCATAGTCGCGCAAAGAGTGGCTAGGTGAAAGGATTTCCAAATTTCTATGCCGATATCGCCGCGGAATCCCGGGTCAATCTCCGCTCGCCGCCAAGAAGTGTGGGGAATGCCGTAGCTACCCCGCGGAATCCCGGGTGTTCGGTAGAGAAGATTTCCCAAGGTCTTTCCAGTATTGCTGTTGATTAACTACAGGTGTACGTAAGTATAACATGGCTTACCTAGGTAAGATATATCATCTTGGTTGAACGTTTGTTGTACAAGCAACCTTGAAACCGTTCCAGTAGAGAGTCCCGGGTACTTTTTTATCTCTTTTTTCATCCAATTCGATCATGGCTACGTGGATATGGCATCCCGAATGGACAGAGCATCCAACGGACTCGGCTGGGTCATTTGTTCACTTCCGCAAGACAATAACCCTGACGGAGATCATTTCAAAGCCAGTATACATTCACATCACGGCCGACACGAAATACAAGCTCTATATAAATTGCGAATTTGTATCTGCCGGACCCGTCAAAGGGGACCGTCATCTTTGGTTTTACGACGAGCTAAATATTCAACCGTACTTGAGATTGGGAGCCAACACCATCAATGTGAAGGTTCTACGATTGTACCATGCTACCACACACGCCACCAGCTTTCCACGATTACATGTGCCAGGTCTCCTCATCCGCAACGTCGGCTTGGATCCCGATCTGGGCATCAATATTCAGACCGATGGCAGCTGGGAAACGACCCTGGATGAATCAACCACACTACCCACAGACATTCTAGAAGACGCGTTCTTACACATCTACGAGAAAGTCGGTCAATACACGACGCAACCAAACTGGATACCAGCCAAACCTTTGGTCTTCCCCACCTCCCATGGCCTTTCGGCCCCATGGAAACTTTCTCCCCGCATGATCCCGTTTCCTCAATATGAGTCAGTGACGTTCAAAGCGATTCACAACATCGAAAGCAACCAGCCCCGAGCGAACTGGGAAGAAGCTTTGCTTGGCCCCCATGACACAGATTCCGAGGGAATCAATCTTCCAGCTGGAAGTCGGCATCATTTGGAACTAGAAGCTGAGAACCATACGACTGCACTGCTTTACTTCCGGTTCAAGTGCCCTGCACATACTGGTAGTACCATGCAGGTGACCTACTCCGAGTGCTATGAAGACGTACCCAACACTGTCCCATGGATCAGAAGAAAGGGCGACCGCTGTGATACTAGAAAGAAACTCGTGGGACCACAAGACGAGTATAATATTCCTGGTCTCGCGGATCAAAAGCTCCGGAGCACACTGACGTACAACTCAAACTGTTCTGATGAAGACGTCTTTGCGCCGTTTCACTTTCGCACGTTTCGATTCCTGGCATTGGATATCACAGTGTCAGCACTCTCAGATCTCACCATGAAGCGCGTTGATATAACCACAACCAAATATCCCTTACGGGTCCTTGCGGATTTTGATGTTCCACCCGCTGATACTGTCTACCGGCAAATGTGGACAACAAGCATTCGAACACTATCAAATTGCATGCATGATTGTTATGAGGACTGTCCGTTTTATGAGCAACTTCAATATGTGATGGACACCAGGAGCTCAGCCCTTTTCACATACTGTTGCTCAGGTGACGATCGCTTAGCACGTCAGGCAATCATCCAACTTCACAACTCATACTCGCCAGCAGTCGGACTTACAGCTAGCCGCGCGCCCGCTCACCAACTTCAGCTAATTCCACATTTCTCTCTGTTTTGGATCTGCATGATAAGCGATCATTTTGAATACTTCAATGACGCCGAATTTGTTCGTCAATTCTTGCCCGTGTGCGACGGCGTGTTGGATTCGTTTGCTCGCCGCATCGACTCTAAGCTCGGGCTCATTCGCTTGTCTGACAGCTCACAGCAATGGGACTTTGTCGATTGGGCGGATTCATGGAAGCCATTGGGGATTCCACCAGCCGCCGAAAGGACTGGCTTTTCCTCATATACCAACATGTTGTATGCATACACACTGAAACGGATTTCGGAAGTCTTGGTTTCCGTGGATCGCCCAGGAGTTGCTGGAGAATACCAATTAAGAGCTGATGCAACCCGGCTTGCAGTGAAATCCCATTGCTTTGATGGACGCTTTTTCACAGACGGAATAGCCTCCGAAGCCACTTGTGACAACGACTATAGCCAACATGGCCAGGTTTGGGCCGTGTTGTCTGGTACCGCTACGGGCAATTTGGCTTTTGATATCATCGCTGAATGCACTGCAGTGTCGGGTACTAGAACATTTACACAGACATCAACGGCAATGTCTTTTTACACGCTTCGTGCTATGTCAATGGTTGGAGGTAGTCTGTATGACGAACGCTTCCACGGATTTTGGGGGCCATGGAAAGACCAGTTGTCCTTGAATCTTACCACATGGTTGGAGGATACAGTCTCCCAACGATCAGATTGTCATGCATGGGGAAGCTCGCCAATATATGAGTTCACGACGGAGGTTGCTGGCATTCGAATGGGTACACCAGGATGGAAGACCATGATTTTCCATCCACGCGTCGGTTTGTTCCCAGCACTCGATGTTAAAGTACCCTTCGGGGTCCCTGGATCATCTGGAATGGCCCACGTTCATTGGAAACGCGAGGAGAATACTATCAAAATTTCGTTGTCATTGAACATGGATACCGGGGAGTCTGTAAGAATGCCCATCCGAGTCGTTTTTCCAGATGGACACAATGAGTTGATGGACGGGGCCGAAGATATAAATTTGACATTGAATGTGGATTGAGCAACTTTACACTTCATCTGCCCATTTCATCAATTCGAGGGTCGTGGACTAGCTAAGGTATGATATAGGGAGGCCTTGTCATGCATATTATTGTTGTACATAATGGAACCAACCATCGGGGTAAACTTTGGTTCACAGTCATCTATTAATCTTCTGTAACGTCTTTCATCAGGTCCTCAAGTATTTCTAACTGACTAGCGATATCCTTCGCTTCAGAGCTCCAGTATCTCAGCATTTGCATTACCTGTTCAACGCCATTCTTCCAGGAGTGGGGAAGTAAGGTGTCAAGGCCCCGACGAGCTGCACCACATAAAACTAAGGCACTACGTGTACAGGATCGCAACATAAGCCATGCACCATGGTGGCGATAATAAAATCCAGGCTTGTTACTTTCAATCCGAGAGGCATACATATGTAGCCCCTTCCGCGCAAAGGCCACTAGTTCGGGATCGTGAGACAGACCTTCGTGAATGGCATCGAAGACGAAAGGCCAGTAGATCATCTCGAAGCAGTCGATGGCATGGCCATTCAAGATAAAACGCAAAGCAGAGTTTTCATGATTTTCATCATGCGCTGCCTCGCTCGGCGTATCGGGTTTTAGAAGCGTGGGAAGCGAGTTCAGTCTAGACGAAAAAGGAAGTTAGTAGGTCGAGAGAAAGAGTATGAGAAATACAGGCAAACTCACAACCCGTGTGCTTGTCCCTCGAAGTCCCTAATCGTCTCTACATCGGCCGATTTTTCAAACGGCTTGCAATTATAGATATAATTCAAAACTCGGTTTCCTAACCGGCGAAGGGCTATCTCCGCAAGATAGAAATACCACACGGTCTCTCCCTGGCTTTCAAGATCTTTGGGAGGAGAAGGGAAGAGGGCGGGATACGTCAGGTCCAAGCAGGTGGTATTTCCAAGACCCAGTTCCAATCGAAGTTCTCTGTAAATACATGGTTAGTCCGATATTTCGATTCTCACAAAAGGCGACAACTGACAATTCCGACTTAAAGCATGTCCAATATATGCTTTCTTGCAGAGTGTGGTTCTCATCATGACGGGGATCGTTTGGAGGTAGCGGAATGTGGAACCCTTCACAGCACACTAGAGCTTGGACAAACATCGGCCGAGCTTGAAATGGTCGAAGTGTTGCCATCAAATACACACCCGCGAGAAAGAAGCACTGGGCTTCAATCATACCACTATCGCCAAATAATACACCCATCCGCTTTCTGGCTGCAAGAAAGTATGCCTCTGCTTTCTTGAATTCTACTGACTGGCGGACGTCCAAGGAGGAACATGAGGGTTGGCTTTCAGGAGGACCGGAGATAGTTCCTAGTGCATATATCAAGAGCTGTTGGGAGTGAGCAGGGCCTATCACCAATGCTTTCACGTTTACTCACAAGTAGACATGACTTCGCATCCCAATCGAGACCATTAAAAAGCGTATCTCTCATATACTCTTGTACTTTATCAATTTGTAAGACAGGGTTGTAGATATGAATGTGTCTGATGAAGCGTTGCAGTAGCTGCCTGGCTCCGCCATTTTCGAACTCCAAAGAGACAGGCAAAGACTTCGGTTCTGAGATTCCGCTTGGTTGCTTTAGTAAGGCCCTTAAATCATGTTTTTGTGCTAGATTGCAAGACTGAAAGACTGGCCAACTCAAAATACTCTCCACATTGATATGATACAATGTAGATGATTGCGTCCTCTCTAATGCTTGCAGTCTCCCTTCTGTGGGCGACAATCCCCGATTGTTCAGTGCAGCCTGCGCTAAAGACGGCTCTGTTGTTGCTGGCAGAGGCCCCGGGGCCAAGGTGGATCCACGGACCAACTCTTCCAGAGTGTCTAGGCGCTGTAAGATGAGAATGCTGGCTGGGTCAAACCTATAAAATTCGATTAGCAAATTTTATTTCTATCAGTCGCGAGTTCATTGATTACGTTGATTTGTCATTTTCTCGGTAAATGCACGGCATCGCCAATCCCACACAAGAGCCACACACGGGCTTTTCATTATCGCACTTTATTCGTTTGCGTCGACAAGTGTGACATGCTTGCGTGGCCCGCTTCCGCGGGTACGAGGGTCTTTCGTTATTTTCCTCTCGCTGTCTTTTCCGGGGGTTGCAGGTTTCCTCTGTCGGCATTTCTTCGGGGGATAGGTGGGTGGGGTGTTTGGGGTTTCCAAGTCGTTCCAAGCTATGCACGATGAGAAAGTGGGGTGCAAGGTACAATGCATGGAACAAGTTTAGAAGACAGCGGAATCCCGGGACGTTAGATATAATGACCGGTGGCAAAAGGGAATGTCTGGTATGTGGGTGAATGACCCCTCGCGGAGTCCCGGGTGTAGCCGGTCCGGGGGAGGTCGGGGTAAAATATACCGAGTGGACCTACTTACTTGCATGGTCCATACTCTCATGTTTGCTATGCCCAGTTGAAAGCAGAAGGAAAGAGAACACCAGACCCTGATAACTAGTGTGTGCTGTACAATTTATCAAATATAATGGACGCGTCTGCACTTCTTACGTTCATAACCGTTTTTCTTTTCTCACCACTCAACCATTATCCATCACGAGTTCTCTTCAAAACTTCATCATGACCCGACAATTTATGAACGACGTGAATATTCAAAAAACAGTCCATCCTGACTTTGATGTAGAGCAGACCCTAGCTCTACTGACTGTTGACGAGAAAATCGCTCTGATCTCCGGCAGCGACCCCTGGCACACTGCGCCCATACGCCGCCTTGGTATTCCTTCGATCCGTCTAACCGATGGACCCAATGGCGTAAGAGGAACCAAATTTTTCAATGGTGTTCCTGCGGCCTGCTTCCCATGCGGTGGGTGTCCATCTCATCGTTGTTCGATCCAATTACTAATTCACAACTAGGAACCGGTCTTGCAGCTACCTGGGACACCAAACTGGTCCAGAAAGGTGGGCAGTTACAAGGCCAAGAGGCCATTGCCAAAGGAGCATCAATTATATTGGGACCGACAACCAATATGCAGCGATCCCCCTTGGGCGGCAGGGGTTTTGAGTCTTTCAGTGAGGATCCAGTATTGGCCGGTAACATGAGTGCTGCAACCATCGCTGGTATCCAGTCTACTGGGGTGGCGGCTACCCTGAAGCATTTTGTTTGCAATGACCAGGAGCATCAGCGGCAGTCTGTTGATGCTGTTGTACCGGAGCAGGCTTTGCGGGAGATTTATCTTATGCCCTTCCAGATCGCGCAAAGAGACGCAAAGCCTATGTGTTACATGACATCGTACAACAAAGTTAACGGAACGCATGCAAGTGAGAGCAAGCCACTCATCAATGATATCTTGAGGAAGGAATGGGGTTTCGATGGGATGGTGATGTCTGACTGGTATGTATATATATCTGGGCTGGAGGCAGCCATGCGGACGTCCGAACTGTGATCTGACAAAATTTAGGTTTGGGGTTTATTCCACTGCAGAGTCAATTCAAGCTGGCCTTGACTTGGAAATGCCAGGGCCTTCATACATGCGTGGTAAGCTGGTCAAGCAAGCTCTGGGATGTGGTAAACTACTACCCTTTGAGCTTGACCAATGCGCAAGAGAGGTGTTGAAACTTGTGAAGAAGGTGCTCCCTCTTGGCATCCCAGAAAATGCGGAAGAGTTAACTGCGGATACCCCCGAGACATCATCGTTGCTTCGCTCTCTGGCTTCAGCAAGTTTGGTGTTACTTAAGAATGATCACGACATTTTACCGTTCAAGAAGAACAAGACAACAGCTGTTATCGGCCCGAACGCCAATTTTGCAGCATATTGCGGCGGCGGTTCCGCAGCACTCAAGCCTTATTATGCGATTAGCCCTCTGGAGGGACTGAGAGCACAAGTCCCGGATGTTCAATATTCTTTGGGAGTTCCGGGTTGGAAGAAAATGCCTCTTCTATCTCGGTTGACCAAAGCAAGCAACGGCCTTGAAGGGTTTGATATGAAGGTCTACCTCGAGCCACCGTCGAAAGAGGACCGGGAAATGGTTGACTCACTGTATGTCAATACAGCAGACATTTTCCTTGCAGATTACCGACACCCCAAAATCGAGACCAATCTGTTCTATCTGGAGCTCGAGGGCACAATCACACCAGAAGAGAGTTCAGACTATGAATTTAGTCTTTCGGTATCAGGTACCGGTAAAATCTTTGTTGATGGTCAATGCATTGTCGACAACGAAACTGTGCAGACCCCTGGTGATAGCTTCTTCGGCTCTGGAACAGTGGAGGAAATTGGAACCATCAGATTGGAGAAGGGCAAGACGTATAGAATCCAAATCACTTTCGGCACACTGCCGACAAGAACCTTCAATGTTGCAGGAGCCACTTCGTTTGGCGCGGGTGGCCTTCGAGCTGGTGGCGTTCCAAAGATTGAGATCGAGACCGAAATCCAAAAGGCAGTTGCATTGGCCAAGAAGGTAGATCAGGTCATCCTCTGCGCCGGATTGAACAGCGACTGGGAAAGCGAGGGGTATGATCGCAGTACTATGGACCTACCCCCGGGGACCGACAAGCTCATCGCTGCGGTGGTAGCGGCAAATCCCAACACAGCCGTGATAATACAGTCGGGGACTCCTGTGACTATGCCCTGGCTCAATGATGTCTCGTCGTTGGTTCACGCCTGGTACGGCGGCAACGAGACTGGGAATGCTATCGCTGACGTTGTCTTCGGCGCGGTGAACCCAAGTGGCAAGTTGCCGCTTAGCTTCCCGCACCGTAATGAAGATAACCCGGCCTTTTTGAATTTCCGAAGTGAAAGAGGCAGTACCAAATACGGTGAAGGTGTCTATATCGGGTACCGCTTCTACGAGAAATGCAAGAAGGACGTTGCATTTCCATTTGGCCATGGACTGAGTTACACCACGTTCAGGTTAAGCTCAATTTCTCTTCAACAGACCGACGAGGAGATTTTAATCACTGTTGATGTCCAGAACACTGGAAACGTTGATGGGGCGGAAGTTGTCCAGGTCTATGTTTCCCAGCAGAGTCCGACTATCAATCGACCACCCAAGGAGCTTAAAGGCTTTGAAAAGGTGCTCCTCCGCCCACAGCAGACCGAGACTGTGACTATCAAGATCCTCACGAAATATGCTACTAGTTTCTGGGATGAGCATAGAAACGCGTGGGTTCAAGAGGCCGGTTGTTACATCGTTCAAGTTGGGACGTCTAGCGCTGAACATCAACTATCAGCTGACTTTGAGATCGAACAAACTACGTGGTGGAATGGCTTGTAATTTTCCCACTTCTGCTTGCATTCCATACTGCGTCCGGTTTGTCTGTTAGAAACTTCTGTCGTTTCTTCGCATATACGTTGTACATTGTCTCATGCTTGTAACTTGTTCCTATGATTCAGTAGTATACGATAGAACATTCCGTGTCTAATATATCCTTCTCAACCTAGCACTTTACAAACACTATCTGAAAATGGAATTACACTAAATCAGAAAATTTCACTACGCAAACGTATGGATATGAAATTATTCCCCATTACGTGATAATTCAACTTTCGAAAGACTTGTTTGGGGGACCCTGGAGGGAAAGAAGAAGTGGATGTAGTCGGGTTTGTCACAGACCAAGTCCCAACGTTTTACTCTCGAAATTTAATCCAAGCGATAAGGGACCCTGACTACATTTCTAAATATAAATAATGCTCAAAATGGAAGAATGCAGGGTTTAGGGCCCCCTAATAATAGTTTTCTGCATGGTTCGCACAATAGCACGAAACTGTATCAGAGTTTCCATGTACTTTCCTGACTGGTAATATCGCTAATTTACTCACTAAGGTAGGCCGATTTTTAAACTTTGCTGCCTGAAAGGTACCGAAAATCAGGAAGGTTAAAATAGGTGGGTGGACATCCAAAAGGGCGCTAGCGACGACGCACGCACCGACCACTGAACCCTTAATTGGGATCCACTAGTCCCTATCTGCTGAAGGGTACGAGTACGAGATCAGCTTTAACTTTTATTTACCTTTAGTAGTCCAACTTTCCCAGGTTTCAGAGTCCAACCTTGGAAGATCTTTCACCAACCTTGAAAACATGGGTTCCTCTACCGATTCTGGGGCTGGGAAGGAACAAGCAGAAGAGTCGCCACCTGTATATTCGTTGGTTGACGACGGTGGACTCGTGGCAGAATCAGGAAACGTACAAGGTTCAGTCGAGCCACGATGATGATAATTTTATCGGCCCATTCTAATACTTGTTATAGAGGACGGCCGCATTGATGTGAACCTCGAGTCCAAGATTGCGAGAACCCTGGCCAAAATCATCGACCTACAGCAAGAAGACATCCACAATCCACCTCCCGACTATATCAACCTTACCAAACAAGTGACGTCATGCGAGTTCAAGCTCAACATTGTCATTCAAATTGTAGGAAGTCGTGGGGACGTACAACCTTTCATCGCGCTCGGAAATGCATTGCAAAAGCATGGTCATCGGGTCCGAATAGCGACACATGATATCTTTGCAGACTTTGTGCACGAGTCAGGATTAGAGTTCTACCCCATCGGCGGAGATCCTGCAGAATTGATGGCATTTATGGTCAAGAACCCCGGATTGATTCCGCAGATGAAGACACTGCGCGAGGGGGAGGTGAAAAGAAAACAGGCTATGGTAGCCACAATGCTCGAGGGGTGCTGGCGATCGTGCATTGAAGATGATCCACTCACCAAACAGCCATTTGTTGCAGACGCCATCATTGCTAACCCTCCTAGCTTTGCACACGTTCATTGTGCTCAGGCCCTAAGTATTCCAGTCCATCTAATGTTTACGATGCCGTGGAGCAGCACCAAGGCGTTTCCACATCCTCTCGCAAATCTACAATCCTCTTCTATGGATCCTCGCACTGCGAATTGGGTTTCTTACGGAGTTGTTGAGTGGTTAACTTGGCAAGGGTAAAGTCCCCCGTGAAATAATATGGGAAGCGACTAACATGGGAATTCAGGCTAGGAGATGTGATTAATCGATGGCGGGTCTCAATAGATCTGGAACCTATTCCCGCAACGGAAGGGCCCAGCCTCGCCGAAACACAGAAAATACCTTACACATATTGTTGGTCTCCAGCCCTTGTGCCAAAGCCACAGGATTGGCCAAGTCACATTGGTATGTCATCACTTTTGTTTCCTGTTGGAATGATGAAAGCCTAATGGTTTAGATGTCTGTGGATTTTTCTTTAGAGATCCCCCATCATATTCTCCACCCTCCGAGCTGAGGGAGTTTCTACAAGGCGGCCCACCTCCTGTCTATATTGGCTTTGGTAGTATTGTGGTCGATGACCCTCAAAAGCTGATAGACACCGTCGTTCTCGCGGTGCTAAGGGCAGGTGTACGTGCGATCATCTCGAAGGGTTGGAGCGGGCTAGTTGGAAGTCCAAACCCGAATATCTATTATATTGACGACTGTCCACATGAATGGCTCTTTCAACATGTCAGCGCAGTAGTTCACCACGGAGGCGCTGGAACTACTTCTTGTGGCCTCAGAAATGGCCGACCGACTGCCATCGTTCCTTTTTTCGGCGAGTGAGTTGTACTTTTTTTTTTACTTGACCCATATTTGACCTGCAAAGCTTCATCAGTGCTGATTCTCCTAGTCAACCCTTTTGGGGCAACATGGTTGCTCGGGCCGGTGCTGGACCTAGACCTATTCCATTTTCGTCTCTCAACTTTCAGAACTTGGCCACTGCTATCAAATTCTGCCTCACCCCAGAGGCAACAGAAGCCGCACGCATGCTGTCTGTCAAAATGCAGACTGAATCGGGTGTAACCGCAGCTGTGGAATCCTTTCATCGAAACCTTCCCCTGGACAAGATGAAGTGCAATTTAATGCCCCTCCAGGTTGCAGTCTGGACATACAAAAAAGGCAAAGGAAACGTGACCCTGTCAAACGCAGCGGTGCAAATCTTGATTGAACATCAAAAGATAGACGAAAAACGCCTTCAGTTGTATGTACCCCACTCGAGCTAGTACATGAACCTACTAACCGATGGCTACAATGTCACTCAGCCATCACGTCAATCCCATCGTTATCGAGCATCGCCGCTGGGATCCTGTAACCGGAATCTTTGCTGCAGCAACCACAACCGGGTCAACTATGCTGGGCTCGACCGCTGATATGATTTACAACCCATACAAAGAATATAAACGCGGTCGTTCACCAAAACCATCAGCGAGAGCCTTGCAAGCCCCGACACTCCCTGGCAGCCCACTTTCACGAGAACCCTCGTCAACAAGAATATCCGCTGCGGATGAGGCAAGTCGGAATAGTTCTCGCACACCGTCCGTTGGGCTCGGATCCCAAAGTGGGCCCGAAAAAAGCAGAAGCGGGCTATCCATCGCAGGCAGCATGGCAGGCGCGACGATGAAAGGATTTGGCAAATTCACCGGATCATACTTCAAAGGCGTAGTAGTCGATATTCCACATGCGGCCGCCGAGGGATTCCGACAGGTTCCTCGGTTGTATGGGGAAAAGCCCAAGGACTATGGTGCGATTCAGGATTGGAAATCCGGAGCTATCGTTGGTGGCAAGAATTTCGTGGATGGCATGACTGATGGCTTTACCGGTCTCTTTACACAACCCGTCAATGGAGCAAAAGAGGAAGGTGCTTTAGGTGCGGTCAAGGGATTTGCTAAGGGCACTATTGGGCTTGCAACAAAAGTCCCCTCTGGTAAGCAACTATCTCAATCCATGAAGCTAAGCGATGCTAACTTAGGCGTGTGTTCAGCGGGCATCGGACTGGTGGCTTATCCTTTCCAAGGAATTACTAAAAGTATCGAGGCGGCGTTTCGTTCACAAAGTCGCAAGGCCATTGTGAGTGCACGGCTAAAGAGTGGGTATTATGAAACGATGAGGATGCAGATCACCGATGAAGAGCGGCGTGAAACTCTGCAGGCATTTGATAAATTTTTATTGTCGTCAGATAAGTAGATAGACTTGGCTTAGATGTTTATCTTCAAACGTTTCACCTTCACAGTCTCAGGCAGAGTCAAATTCGATAAGATGATGAAGATGCTCAAGCTTGCAGAATACATGGAAAGTACTACAAATAGCTGGCATCGTAGGAAATGATACAAACGGAGAGTTGTCATTAAAATCTACGTTCATTTCAATCGTCAAAAGAACATTCACTAAACCAACCGAAAAACAAAACTTTCTGACAAAATTTAGAACTATCTCAACCTTCCACTAGTCACGGTATAGCAACTCATGATTCCGAGTTTACAGCGCTACAATCGCCGCTCCTTCCACCTGGAAGCATTGGTTGTGTAGCTCGAGGGATCAAAAGAAGAGCACCGGGGTGCTCACTGGCTTTCTTGAGGCGTTTCTTCTCCAGCCACATCAATATCCCAGGAACTCCAGCAACAACACAAGCAAGACCAACAAATAGACCAGTTGTCCAACTCGGTCGGTCGAAACGATTCCATGCCCACATGCAAACAGCCAAGCAGATCTGAAAGACTGTATTAAGGATGTTACCCCAGACCACAACATCCATTTTCCACAACGGAGTAGGCGTGGCCTGTTCAGTCGATGGATAACGTTGCTGTGCTTTCATAGGAAGGACACTCGGCTCTTGAGATTTCAAGAACCAATTCTTATGAATCTCAGCCAAGCGATCGAGCCCTTTCCGTCGACTCCCTTCTGACCAGCCTAATCGCCAGAAAGACCATTGGTAAAGATCACGGAGACGCCACGGGGCTAATCCAAACCCAGTGACGCAAAATAGGGCATTCAGGATTTGGGAATCGATCTCAATCCAAATGCGACGTGATGAATCGAGACTATCGCAACTTGGATGACACATTGCGGGCGCTGCATTGCACATCAAGAGGAAGAGCATCCCGCCCCACGCGACCACATTCAGACCGTAAATTGTGATGCAAGCTCCTAACGGCGTACACATCCACCGAAAGAAGGCATGGCATTTCTCTTGCCATGGGGCTTTGGGAATAGTCTCGACCGTGTCGTGGGAGACAGTCGTCTGCGTTAGGCGTTAGTGATAATCTTTCACCAAATTATGATCAAAGTGATTGGACATGCGGACCTTGTTATTGCATAGTGATGATTTAGCAATACTAGTACTGTCGATTTCAATTGAATTCATGTTTCTTATCAGTCTCTCGTCCATCATGTCACGAAATCGAAATCAGGAGAATCAATGAATCGATTTAACAGGGTAGGTGATTGATTAAATACAAGACTTCGAAAATAATCTGCGATTTCTCTATACATTTGCCACGCAAAAAGAAAAACTTTTATATACTCAGGTCGATACTAACTAGGCTCTGATTCAATAATGTGAGCCAAAATAGATACAATACTATAATGGGCCGGACCCTTTAGCTTATTTTAATAACCAATAGAATCTGTTCGTATTCGTATTCATTGCCTATCTGATCGATTGAAAACACTTCACTCTTGGCAATTGAAATCTGTGCTGGACGCTTTGATGGTGATATGATGCTTTGACTTACCAATGCACAAGGCAAAAATTGCCAAGTGCGTAAAGAGTGCTCGAACTCCGAAGTATATCCGAATATACGAATACGTACCTATACTGATATACGGACCTTGCCACGTCTTCCTGGTGGCTCATATCTACACCCCCAAACTACGCCTGATGTCATGGTTTAGGCTCCGAGTTAGTATATTTGTATATAAAGCATATGCCCTCAATCTGTCCCCGATCGTCCAATCTATCGTACAAGTCTGATCAAAATTCGTACTATCGTTATTATTCCTCAGACCAAAGCCAAAGGGACCCCTCAAAATGCATTTCACTCATCTCCTTCTATTGACTGTTCCCTTCGCGGCCGCAACGCCAGATCCACTGCCTGAAATCGACGATCTCATCGACGATATAACCAACATTGCGGAATCCGCAGCAAATTGGGGCGGTAACTTTGCTACAAGCATCTATAACGAAGCTACATCCCTCGTCGACGCTGTTCAAACGGGTGACACCTACAGTTCTATGGTTTCGAACGTGAATGATATTGCAAGTGCGTGGGAAACAGGTACTTCTGAGTCTGCAACGCAGACAGCAATTTCATTAGACTCTACTCCTACTCATGAGGCGAAAACCTCTCCTGCTGAGGGATTAAGGGCTCATGGGGCGGCTGCATGTCTGGGGTATGGGTTTGTTGCATTTTTAGGAGTCATAGTTGCTTTGTGAAGGATCTGAGACTTGGGAAATCATCCTGTGGATTTAATACCATAAGAAAGTGGCATATAGTAACCTATTTCAATTGAGATTATACGAATAGCAAACACCTTATACGGCCTTGTCACGTCGTTTTGGTCTTCTTTTTGGATGTCTCTATATGACGGGTGTGAAAAGTATCAACTGTGTGAGGACTTCTCTATGTATAACCTTCAATAGAGGCTTCCGTCATATATACATGTAGGAATAAAGCAGTAGTATATACGGTTGGCATCTTTTAAATTAGAGTATGCTGGATTATCTTTACAACAATAACAGTTTATATACTGCGTGCAAACGAAAAGTACGACGTAATATGAACATCAGCCACCAATCCAATAAGGACAATATTAGGGAAACCGCAACGCAGGCAAGCGACCTAATGGCAGAGGTGCGCCTGACTCCACGAGATTAGGGAAGATACATATACGTATGTACCATGAAGTGAGAAAACGAAAACCAAGAATGTCTCAACTAAATAGTAAGCACAACTTGGTTAAAGCCTATCATCATATTTTTATCGCAATTATGCTGTATATATTCATCCCTCTGGCACCCTAGCCACCTGCGCGAGATTCCCGCTTATAAATCCAACACCGGGCATTTCAAAACTGCGGGGTTAAGATATAAGAAACTCATTCCCCTTTTTCAATTGAAAGATTACTTTTTAAAACTTCGAAAAGGATCATTTCTGAGGTTATCCAACTCGAGATATTTTGTGTATTCCGCTCGCAGGGTTCGATTTTGCGGGGAGCCTATGACGTTGAACCTCTCACTTTCATCCTCTTGAATATACGCAAAATGACTAAATTATTCATGTGAGGCTCGGGTCTTGATTTAGAAAACATTGCTTTAACAACTCCCCAGCACCGGTGTCACGGGATACATCGGCGGTGACTGCCTAGCCACGCTTGTTGCCAACCACCCTGAGTTCTCATATTCCACTCTTGTTCGCACCACCGAAAAGGCCGACCAGGTGAAAGCCCAATACCCATTTGTCCGCATCATAATCGGAGACTTAGACGACTCAGCATTGCTGGAACGAGAAAGTGCCACCGCAGACATCGTGCTGCGTAAGTATCCAACTCAACGCTAAACGAGCACCAAGCATAATACTATATGGGCACTGCTTACCCCTGCAAAAAAGACACTGCAGATGCGTCAGACCATGTGGGAGCTGCGAAAGCCATAATTGCCGGTCTGGTAGCCGGACATACCAAGGAAACCCCGGGCTACTTGCTACACACCGGGGGAACTGGCATCCTGACGTGGGAGGACAGCGACAAGAACGAATACGGGAATAAAAGCGAGCATGTGTACAATGACTGGGATGGAGTGGATGAATTACTCAATTTGCCAGACCACGCATTTCATCGGAACGTTGACCAGCTCGTCCTCGGAGCTGGAACCCACCATGCCGATGTGCTCAAAACGGCGCTCGTTTGTCCGCCTACTATCTACGGTACGGATTTGCCAATCTCTACACAACAGAAACATATTATTAAATCTTCAGCAGGCAAAGGACGTGGCCCAGTTAACCAACATTCGCGCCAGGTATATGTTTTAGCGAATATGACGCTCCGTCGCCAGAAGGGCCCGATAATCGGCGCCGGCCAGTCAATTTCGAATCACGTCCACGTCCACGACTTGAGTGACGTCTATGCTCTACTTATTGACGCAGCTATTGCAGGTCGAACTGATGACGGGCTCTGGGGTCCTAGGGCCTACTACCTTACCGAGAACGGCGAACACTGCTGGGGTGAGCTAGCTCAAGCTACAGCAGAGGCAGCCACAAGGCTAGGATACCTGCCCGAGGCAAAGACGGAGGCACTTGACCCCGAGAGCGCCAAGAATCATGCAGGATATGAATCTCTCAGTTGGGGGATGAACTCTCGTGGTCGCTCACAGCGGGCACGCGAGATTCTAGCTTGGAATCCCTCACAACCCTGTCTAGTAGATGAACTACCGGATATTGTTCGCGTCGAGTGGCAGCGACTGCAAAGTTCTTCCTAAGATATGAGATGAGTTGATGTTTGGAATGTCTCTCTTAGGTCTCAGAGAATGCATTGATTAGTACTGGTGGGTTTGACTTGAGAAAATGCGGGGTGACCCGAGAGCTTTTGCTAGGTCTTATACTCCCGATCATTTGTGAATGGGAATTCGATGCGAGGTCCAGCTATTTAAATGCTGACTAGGGATATTTTAATCTGGCCAGAATGTCAGATCTTCAGAATCGAGACATGTTTTAACACTTGTAACAACCAAGCATTATGACCCGTTCATTTGGTACGAGTGTAAAGGCGGGATATTTTGGGACTCACGGCTCAATTACTCGAGTCTTATCATGTTCAAAGTTGAGGCTTATGGTATAATAAGGCGTAGCAACGTATCTCAGTCTCCAATGGAGTCAGCCGATGTAGGGATAGCCACGATTAAGATCCCACGAAATAAGCCTAGGCCATCAAAATCCCGACTAAAGAGCTGCATAATACCAAAACAAGAAATGAAAATCAAACTCGAATAAATGATACATAATCACGAAATTCAGGAAATTCCTGCAACTACCCGGCCCCGACTGGTGAGACGGCGAAGAATTGTGCCGACTCTTGGCAACCCAACTGGGCTGCTGCAGTTGTATTCGAACCCCAACTAGGGTAATCTTGGAGACCCTTGAGATTAATTCCCCCATGTAGAACATAATATTTCAGTTTACATCCAGCGGAGTCGGGGGTTTTAAATCACGACGGTGTAATATTTCGTCCTATTCTAAACTTTATATGGCATGTTGTCAACTCCGCGTGGAGGGACATGTGTTATACTAGATGTTATTTATCTATCTACAATGCGGATGCCCATTTCAATTTCCGTTTTTCCCCCTAATAGAGGCTTTACAACCAGTGAACTGAATTATTAACATTTCACTCATATTCCCACTGCTAGATTGTCATCGCCAGCGTTAACCTTCGCCATGGCGGACTCGGATTTCCCATTTTATAGGCCCGGAAGATCCGAACATGACGATAATATGAGCAGAGCATCTACAGTGGTGAAACGGAGGAGAAAGGTCGACGAGGAGAAATTTGCTCTGGGTCGAAGAGGAATCCTAGTTTTCTTTACTCTGTCTGTTCTCACCTTGATGGCCGCTTTGGATGGCACTTCGCTATCTGTTGCTTTACCTGTGAGTGTTTCAACAAAAGGATTTAAGGTCTCAAAACTTACCTAGCCCAGGAAATTGCAAAAGAACTCAATGGAACGGCCATCGAAGCATTTTGGAGTGGAACTTCGTTCCTGCTATGCTCAACAGGTAAGTGGTGTTATGTTCTTGCCACGGTAACGATCAACTCATTTAAACCTGGTATAGTTTTCCAGCCAAGCTTCGCATCCTTCTCGAATATCTTCGGCCGTCGACCTATGATCATGATCTCACTCATATTCTTCTGTGTCGGCGCTATAATCTCAGCAATCGCCAATAATTTTACCTATATGTTGATCGGTCGATCAATTCAAGGTGTCGGTGGAGGTGGCATTATATCCCTAAGCGAGGTTATCATAACCGACCTTGTCCCTCTACGATGGCGTGGTCAGTACTTCGGTATTCTCAGTGCAATGTGGAGTGTTGGATCCGTGACAGGACCTATCCTTGGTGGTGGATTCTCCGAAAATGTGTCTTGGGTAAGTTGGTTTATGGTGAAGCCGCAATTATCCATGCTAATTATGAAAAGCGATGGATCTTCTATATCAACTTCCCCTTCATCGGTGTGGGCGGAATTCTCGTGATCCTATTCTTGAACCTCAAGCTTGCACCGAGTTCATTAGTCGAGAAGCTCCGTCGGATTGACTATTTCGGCACCGTCCTATTCGTTGGAAGCATGTCGTCCTTCTTAATCCCCCTCAGCTGGGGTGGTATCTCATACGACTGGGACTCGTGGCACACTCTTGTGCCTCTTTGCGTAGGAGGAGTCGGGCTGATCGTTTTTGGATTCTACGAGACTTACTTCGCCACCGATCCGATTGTTCCGCCTGTGATATTCCAGAACCGCACGGCAGTAGCTTCGTTCATCGGGAGTGTTTTGCAGGGCTTGGTCCTATGGTGTGCCCTCTATTACCTCCCTTTGTATTATGAGGCAGTGAAGGAGTATAGCCCTATCATCTCGGGCGTTGCTCTATTCCCCGAGACATTCACAGTGGCTCCGAGTGGAATGGTAGCTGGTATCCTAATCACAGTAACAGGCAGTTACCGATGGGCTATCTGGCTTGGATGGGCCTTTTCAACTATCGGGCTGGGCTTAATGTGTCTGATCAAGGTGGATACCAGCATAGTCGGTTGGATCTTCCTCAACATCGTGCCCGGCCTGGGGTTGGGTATCCTCTTCCCATCTCTTGGCTATGCAGTGCAAGCTTCAGCAGACCCGGAGAACCTCGCTATTGCAGTTGCCATGTTTAGTTTCTTCCGTGCTCTTGGTCAAGCAATCGGCGTTGCTGTCGGTGGTGTTGTCTTCCAGAACCGCATGTTCACCAACATCTCGCGGTATTCTGCTTTGGCTCCTATGGCTGAGGCGTACAGCAAGGATGCTGCGGGGTTGGTCCAAGTCATCAAGGCGATGGCGGATGGCGCTGACAAGGCAAACCTCAAGGAAGCTTATACGGACAGTTTACGCACAGTGTGGATAGTCTGCTGTGGGGTGTCTGCTGTGGCAATGGTGGTCAGCCTCTTGACTGAACATTATGACCTTGATCGCGCATTAGAGACAAACCAAGGTCTTCGTGATGATGGCGAGTCTATTAACAGTTTGAAGGACTTGGAAATGCGGACAGACCGGAGAGTTGTCACGGAGCCTCGCCCTTGGGCGTGGTAGTGGATGTTCGTTCTTGACATGGTTCATGGAGAAAGGTCTATAATGTACAAAGTAATGACATTTACTGATGTTGATAATTGAAGTCTTCATTTAGGTTCTCTTATAATAGTTATCGAATAGATAATAATATATACTATATTAAACCTCTCCGAGAGGTGTAGCTACATGTAATTTAAGAATTTATAGGAGTTTATCAAACAATGCACGTGTGCACTGTTGTTTGGATGCTAGTTCGGGTACTCTTTTAGGGATGATTATAGGTATTACCACCCCACCCTATGGAAGCAATCTTGTTAGGCCGCGGGGATGAACGGGAACATCAGAGGACGTTCGACCGGCCGAGAGTGAAGAAGCATTACAATACGGGTGATCCCGAATAGAGGAAGGGGGTTTAAGCGTACGGACTGGCAAGGTTGAGGGTCTCCGCATAGGGCAGTGATACAAGGGAGTAGTGCATGGGATGTACTTTGCTGCAAGTAGCCGAAAGAAACAAAAACGGTGTTGAGCAAATATTATTGACAACATGGGATGTTGGACTTGAAACATTCGTGATCTCGTGTCACGACAATAAACATAGTATAACACCAGAAACAAAAACAAAAGGTCGTGACGTCGTAAAGTGGACATGATAAATAGCAGAAGGAGACAAGGCAAATTCAATCAGCGACCAAGTGCACGTAGCCGGTCTTTGAGTAGATCCATATCTCTGTCATATTCCATCCCAGCTGGAACGTGCTTTGGCTCCCGGTCACTATCTTTGAGCATCATAGACCGATAGTGACCATCGCCATCCGGTGCTCCGACAGTCACCCAGACAAACTTCGTTCCGGGGCTATTGGGCTGCGAGCGCTCCTGTGTTCCTTGCCAGAACGCTTCGTCGGGCAGGGATTCATCAGCAGAGGCAGAGTCGATCGGCGGTGGACGGCCTCCAAGTCGACCGAACTTAATCCAAACTCTGAGGGTATCTTTGATGAAGGCGATTTTCTGAATGAAGGAGTTCGCATCGAGGATATCCCGGATACGGTCTTCGGTCGAATTGATGGAATCCCCGTTCGCGATGCTGAGGAACGTGGCAGCCTCGTCAGAGGCCACGGCGCGGGTGTCAAAGCCTGCTGGGTGCATCTTGCCTTTTGCGGCGAAGAATCGAGCGGCGGAGGAGGAGAGATGGTAGAAGTCGATCCAGGGGGATGAGCTACGGGTGCGGCCTGGTGAGATCACTAGCTTTGTGTGATCGGGGAAGTTGAATTGGAAGGCTCCATCTCCGAAGCCCCAGATGCCAACATTACCCAGGCGCTGGTAGAACTTGACGAACTGGGCACTGTTGTGTTCAGGTAGATCTTCGTCCATGATGCCTTCGTCGCCATGTCGACCCAGCGCTCCGATCATGTATTTACCGAACTGATCCACGAGTTTCATACGCTTGATTTTCTCTGCGTCGGCTCGTTCAAACTCGTTTCCTGTGTTGGAGCGAAGTCTCATCGCCTTAGAGGTTTTAACATCGAAGAGTGAGGGCGGGATGAATGCTCGTCGGATGCCGCGGCATCCTAGCAACTCATCATCACGGTTCTCATAAAACTCAACCAAGTTTCCAGTGCGAGGAACTAACTGATCAGCCTCAGAGTAGTAAATCGGTTGTTGTTTGCCATCCGCGATGCTACGCGCTTTGCGGCGGATGTGTCTCTCGCCATCTCGAATCACGACACTCGTGGCCGGTTGCCCATTTTCTCCCTTGAAAACACATCCGACGCTGCCATCATCCAGAACATACCCAATACCATAACGGTTGGTGTAGTCGACCCATTTGATGACGTAGGCATGAGGCTGTTTTCGTGCTCCCCCTCTGCGCCTACTTGGTGCATGGTTGACCAGGTTGGTGAGCATAAGACGCAAGTCAGTGTTAACTTCGGTCAACGAAGTTCTAGGTAGAAGCTTGGAGGCATCATCTGCGTGAAATAGAGGGCTGAGCCCCAAGCTAGAGCGTGCCCTGCCACCAGCTGTCTTGCTGTTAGAGCGAGCGACGCCATTGGAGTCTGACCGACCTAGTCCATTAGATTCAGCGGAAGACTTCGACTGTGCCAATGAAGACCGAGCGGATTCTTCGATGGGGCTATCTCTCCGTCTTTCGCTTCGTCCGACACTGGCGTTGAGGTCTGCTCTTGATGTAGACTGCAGGGATGTCTGACGGGTGATCACGTTCCGCTCCTCCGGCCTGGCGGATGGTTGCCGTTCTCTGGTTGAGATGGAAGGCTGCATCAACTCCTGGTCAGCGGCTGCCAATCTGCGAGACTGAGAGCGTGTTTTGCCTACAGTCAAGCCTGATGGCATGCTTGTGGATTTGGCTAATTGTGGGGTAATATCCTTGTCCTTGCTACGCAGTGTTGTTGCTTGGGATGCAGATACCATTCTTCGTGTCCTGATAGGACGCTCTGCCAGGCCTCCACTTGGTACTTCCGCAACTGAAAGAGGCTTCGGCTCGGCTTGTGGGACATCTCGATATGGTCTAGACGACAGAACGGCGGGATCGCTGATTCCAGGTGCCTTCCGGGGAGAGATGGGGGGCACTCGAGCTTGCTGGCGTAGCGTTGCAGCATGGCTCTGCCCTTCCATTCGGCGCTGTTGAGCAGCGGCAAGAGCGGCATTGGTACGGGATGCTGCCATAGGGTTGGGACGGATGGAAACACTCCGCTGGGACATAGTGCTGCTGTTAAGCATTGCCTCCTCGCTGCGCATTACCTTTCGGGAACTCTCCGGGAGACACCAGTCTCCTTCAACGTCATGGGGCCATCGGTAAACGTAATCTGGTGACAAGGGTATTATCGGTCGTAGACCTCTAGAATCCTCTACATCACACTCAGAAAAAGCCGACTTCGAGCAGTTTCTCCCAACAGATTTCCGAGCCGTCCCGTCGGGCTTGCGTCCTACCCCGCAAAGTGAGTAGAATGCGGCTTTGCAGGAATGATATCGCTGGGCAGGGTCATCCACCTGGTACACATAGGCGCGGAGCTTCTCATCTGAGTCCAAGCCATATCCACTTACCACGCAATCACCTTGAGGTGAGGCGTCCTTAAGCCACAGTGGCTTGTTGAATCGGCATGAAGGGTCCAATTGACGAGGGATGCAACCATCATACATATTGAAGAATGGGTGCTCAACAATGTCGTCTGGGTCTGGTCGCTCCTCGTCCACCAGGTTCAAACAACGACTGACTAGATCTTTTGCTTCGTCGGGGATGTAATTTCCGGATTCTGATTCTTTGGGCCAGACATAATTCAAGTTCTGGACTTTCTTGTAAACCTCATCTTGCGTTTTCGATTGAAATGGCAAGTGTCCAGCAAGCATGGCGAAGCTAAAGGTACGAAATTAGTTCAACGACTGCACAGCAATATCGCGGGATTCTTACCATATTACACCCACGGACCAAATGTCGACTTTTTGTGTATGGCCGCCTTTGCTCTTGTCCAAAACTTCGGGAGCGATATAGTTGGGTGTACCGCATAGCGTATTCCGTCGCTTCGCATCTTTGTCGGACAGAATCATAGCCGCCAGACCAAAATCTCCAACCTTGATGTTCATGTTGTGATCGAGGAACAGGTTTCCCATCTTCAGATCGCGATGAGCAACGAAACGTTTGTGTAGATATTTGACCGCTGCGCAAAGCTGAATCATATACCGTCGCACTTCTGGCAAGCTGAAACACCGTCGTTTCCGAAACATATCCATGACAGACCCATTTGGACATAATTCCAGGACCACGTAGGTGCTAGATTCGAATGCGAATGCGCGGTAGAACTGGACGATAAAAGGATGGCGCATTTTAGAGTGGATCTGAAGTTCGGTTCGAAACTGCGACAAAAATTTAGGTACTGTCAAAATGGTCTGTATCCGGAGGCTCAGCATACCTTCTCCTCCATCTTTTTTTGGGGCATCGCCGACTTGACCACCTTCATGGCGTACACACGCCCATTGCGAGCCAATGAACCCTCATAACAAACTGCAAAACCACCTTTCCCCAAGAATGCGCCTATTGAGTATCGCTCTCCGCCATCTTCTGGCTCTGAGACTATTGACGGTGGAGGGTCGGCATAGCTTTTGGATGTTGCGAGCTTTTGCTTGTTATTTGGAACCACTGCATTTTTCTCGAACGCTTTACGATCCATGGCCAGCTTCGGTTTGATCATCTGGTTCGTTGAGCGCGGGGAGAGGGCCTCCATTATTGGCGGGTCGTCTTTTTATGGCAGGCGAATTAGGATAATATCTGTAGCTGAAGGCGTGCAGCGGATGGTGTATCGAGCGTGAATATCATTAAAAACATCGACCATGTGAGGGTTTGAAGGGTATCAAGTTCCGGCAATGTTTGTATCCGTGTAACCAACAAGTCAGAATTCGCTCCACTGTCGGGAAGCTGAAGCGCTGTTCAGTTGAGAACGGAACATAGGAAGTGAGAGATGGAACTTACCGAAATGCAAAGCGCTAATGAAGCAAAAATGTACAAAGCTCAGAAAGCAAATAACGGCGCCTCAATCGAGGGTTGGGGGAGGATGAAGAGTAGAAAGAGTCGGACCATAACAGTTTGCTCAAAACGGTAATCGATAAACACCCGCCGTTGGCCCGCAGGTCACGTGAGCGTACTCGGCCGCATTTTCATCGTCTGGGGGATACTCCTTTTTTTTTTTTTTTTCTGAATTAGATACCTACATATGTACCTTTATCTAAAGTTATCAAGATAGTCTTTTTAAAATTAACTGTTCTGTTTAATCTCTGTGCGTTCCTAGGGCTTTATATTTAGTTGTATATATTGCCGCGATATATTCGGGTTTGTTTACTTGACATCAAACCTTAAAAACTTATTTTGATAGTTCACAATCAAACGTAATATCTTGGAAAGTAATACGAGAGCATGAATACTCAGTAGCCACTCCATATCTGTAATGGTCTCATGATTACCTACCCTTGAGAGATCTATGTAGGCACTCTTATTCAATGAGTTGCCTGTCTAGTAGGTATGCTTCTGAGAGTGGATCCTACAGTAGCCCCTAGGACAGCCGCTTCATGTCTGTCATGTGCCATGTACTTTGAGTGTGAACGGCATTACTACCGCGACTTGACACTATATCCCTCCAAATTAAGCCCTAAAACAACTAGCACAGCACAGAATATCATATCCTAGTTTTACTGGAAAACCTTTCATCGGGCTATTGTGGCTATATGGAGGACAATATTCTGTCTATCCCCTAAAAGGTCGACGTAGTAAAGAGAGCCATACGGTACACTAAGTATTAGTCTACTCTTTATATTGTACAATTTGGAACTAACAAAATATTCGAATTAACATAAATGTATCTGAGGGGGTAGAGGAAAGTCCATCCTTTTGTCCTCCAGGTAGTTCGCAGCCCAATCATTTCCCTCGGCATTTGAAATGACAACCCCATAACTGCCTGATGATTCCACCGGGGTCGAAAAGACCTCGTCGATCCTCTCCGGGGAGTGGCAAAATCGTGGAGACGCTATTTTAGTACCATATCGTCGAGGTTATGCTGGGTGTGGAGGTAGTGAGTTGGTGTTGAGCGTGGGTACGAGGATTCAGTATGTACATACTAAGTGAGGATGTGTGTCGAGGGTATGGACCTACCTACATGTAACTAACTCGCAAACAATGGGGAGAGCACGGGGTGAGCGATCAGGTTGCTCACCGAGCAGCTCAGCGTCGCAAGATCGCTGGGTGGCTCAGGGCGGCGAGGCGACAAACTTACCCTGGGCAACCCGAAGCGGCAATGTTACCGTCAACCATTATCACAGGAGCAAAGCAGAATGCCAAGGATGTTATTATTATGTTAATTAAATATATTAGACTATCTGAAGATCTATAACACCTCGTTGTCTTGCTTCTAGTCACAAACAAAACCCCCGGAACAAATACAGGTAGTCTCCTAGCTATGGGTAGGAGGTATGTCAGCCCCAAAGAATATTCATCCTTGTCCATATACTGTCTTTCTTGATCGGCACATTCTCCGGGTCATTGTTGGCTTCTTCTATCGCTTGTTGAACCGGCACCAGATTCAGAGGAATTATCTCTGTCCGGCGGATCAGCTTATAGCCCCCGTACGCGAAAAGAACGAGTGGAATATCCCTGGTGTCAAGGTTAGTAGACTGAATTTATTGCGGCAAAGAAGAATACTCACAGATACGATGAGACGAATGAGGCAGGGTCCCAATTTCCTGTGGTGAAAACAACGAATCCACCAGTAAGGAGAATCACGACACAAGAGACCAACGCGAACCAGCTTGTGTATCCTTGATGATGTCAGTATTGGAATTCCCTCATAACTTGAAATGTTAGAAATCGGGCTTGGGATACATACTGGTGATGCGATTATGCCATGGCAACTCTGTTGGTGATATGCCCTGTTTATCCAGCGCTTGCAACAACCGAATATGATTGAAAGCGATGGTGATCCACGAGACCAAGGTGCCAGCGGCAGTCAAATCAACGAACCACCAGAAGACATTCATGGCATTGTTGGATACACACATGTAGGCCAGGAATGAGAAGGCAACCTGAAGCAACACACACATGTATGGTACTCCCCACTTGGTGGTACGCAGGAATATCTTTGGAGCATGCCCCTTGACCGCAAGACCATATAACGTTCTTGTTCCTGTGAGAATACTCTGGTTCGATGCAGACCACGCAGAGGTCAAGCATACGGCGTTCACGACAGAAGGAATAGCCTTGATGCCTGCATCACCGGCGGCAATGACAAACGGACTTGTAGCCGCAGTACCAGAGTCTGTGCCAAGACGTTCATCGGCGCTAGAGACCAGCATGCCCACGACGATCACAGTGGCAACGTAAAAGATAGACACTCGCGCAAATACCCTTTTACAGGCCTTTGGGATATTCTGTCGTGGGTTTTTTGTTTCACCAGCAGTCGTGGCCAAAGACTCTACACCTGCGAACGAGTAGACTGCATTGGTCATAACAGCCCAGAATCCGAGGAATCGCCCCAAAGACCCAGTAGCAATATACTCAACGAATGGGCCAGGGTCTTTCCAGTAATGGAAGCCTCGTCGGGGCACACCCGGCACACCGCCAAGATCAATGACAAGGCCGAGAATGACCACAAAAATTACCAGCAGGATCTTAAGAATGGCGAAGATGAATTCGATCTCGCCATAGACGCTGATCAACGAGACGGCGACAGCCACAGACACCACTATAAGGATAGTGACCCAGACGGCAGCGTTGATATCCGTCCAGTACTGGATAAGGACCACACTGGCGGAGATCTCACTCGGCACGCTGATAAAGCATCCATAAACAACATTCCAGCCGACGGCAAATGCCAGCGCGGGATCAACCAAGATCTCTGCATGTCGGACAAAAGAACCAGTGACCGGCAGTAGCGCTGAGACTTCTCCCAATGCAAATTGAATGCAGCAGACTACCAGGCCAACAAACAGGTAGCCTAGCAGGGCACCCAGAGGACCACCGGTGGCGATCGAGCCCCCAGACCGAGAAAGAGACCCGTACCCTATATTAGGTCAGTTATAAAGTTGCTGTCTTCATAATGGTTTACACACAATTGCGCCCGCAATAGCAATCATCTGAATATGGCGCTGCCCCAGACCACGGATCAAACTTTGGCGTTCATACTGGGTAACGATCTGCCCATCGTCGACGACGGCAGCGCTCGATGGACCGGACTGTGGGGTGAAGTGTTGATCTTCTACATCGTGAACATCTTGAACGATGTACTGACTCCCCGTCTTGGTAGAACTGTCTTGGTCCTTGAATATCCCTGCCATGGCGTCGTTGCAGGAAACAAAGTCTTCCAAACAGAAAATATTTCCACGCTAGAGAGGGGCAAGTAAGCTAATCACACCATTTGACTGGTCGATGAGGGAAGGCTAATTTTTTGGCTTATCTGGCTGGGTGGGTTAAAGCCGAGCTTTCGCGTAACGGGAATTATATTAAGGAGAGACATCCAGACGAAAACTTGCAGTTGGCGGGTCTCGAGCGTGACGGGGTAAATTGAGATAAGATGCAAGAGGTGATTGGCTCATTGATTGCAGAATGTCGCAATTTCAACGGAAAAGCAATATGTATTGTAAAGGGAATGAGATGCAATAATAGAATGGTGCAATATTTACTCTGTACTCCATACAACATACAACATACACACTCGGGAAGTGTCCGAGCTGTTATAAATTCCACGTGTGGGTTTCACCATTTACTGGAACAAGAACAAGGCTAGCCCTATCTGAATCATATGCCCGGACATAATCCGTCTTTGGAAATAACTATCCCACTGGTTCTCCGTACTCTGTACTCCGTACAATATATGGAATAATACTCATTGCTCAAGTGCTACTTTCATGCTGGACCTTTCTCCGACAAAATCTGTGTGGAATATAGTCGATCTCTAGTTATAGACTAAGAAGTACGTACCCCATGGTTTCCGTGACATTCAACGCTTTTGCGTATCTCTCACCTTGAAATATGGGAGGGGAAAGAGTGATCCAAAATTTTCAAATATGTATAAATCCCATAGTTAGTTCGACGTATAATTACATCAAATTCCACGAATCTTCAGCAACTGGGGTTGTTACTGCCAAGCAAACGTTGGAAATAATAAGCCTCCTATGATCGCTGGTACCTCTTCATAGGCGCCCGGGCGGAAGATGACGCTGAGTAATCAACACGCGCCGGGGTTCGTACCGCGGAGGTAAGAAAGTGACTCAAGCTTCATATGCTTACTCTCCCATTCTCCAGCCATGTCGTTAACATTGAAGCTCTCCTCCTTGGCAATCCGGACTTTGTCCAAGCCCATCGCTGTAAGCTTGCATCTCGAGCTCAACCTTGCCAAACCTGTAAGCTGACCCACACAGTCTCAAATCAAAGCCCAGGCCCGCGAACATGAACGCTTTCGCAAGATCTGCGTCTCTATGGCCCAAGCTCTCCATCGATTCGATATGCGTCTCCGACTAGGCTCTATCCGCGATACTGCTGCCTCCCAACGCCAAGCTGCCGCCGCCGCCGAAGCTCGAAAACACAAGCCTACAATCCCCACCGTTCGAAACGCGGCCGACACGAAAGCCGCAGAGGAGGCAGAGGCCAAGGCCAAGGCTGCCGCAGAAGAGGCAGCCAAACCCCATCACTATCGTATCCGTCCCCTTTCCGAGTCTAAAGCTATTGAGTCCGGTGCCAACTTCATCTCCGAATCCTTCCTCTTCCTCGTTGCTGGAGGCCTGATCCTTTTTGAGTCATGGCGGTCACGGAATAAGGAAAGCACACGGCGGGAAGGTGTGGAGGGAAGATTGGCAGATCTGGAACAATCCGAACAGGCGGCTCGTGAAGCTCTGGTGGCACTCGAAAAGGAGCTACTCCAGCTAAGAGCAAAGCACGGCGAGTTGCCCAAGTTGTCTACAAAGAGGATTCTGTCTCCTGAGATCTATGAACAACCTGCAGAGACTGATATGCCGGAAGTCCCACAGGGGTGGCTCTCCCGCATTTCCTCGTACATTTCTTTTGGTCAAAGCGCTGAGACGACGACCGAGTCTGTGCCTAATACCCAGCCCACAACAGAAAAGGCTGCACCTACAATCCAAACTCCGGACCAGTCTGCTGTATCGGCTAGCCAGACACCATCATCTGCATCGAAAAGCTCATGATTGCTGATTTCGATTGATATTCGTATCATACCTAGCGAGATCCTATTATATAAGGTTAGGCGTGCATTTGCTTTTACATTCGATCAAGATACCCCATTGAACAGACCACTAGAAAGATTACAAGGACCTGTTTTATTTTGGAGGATAGGGGTTGCAAGGCGGAGTTACTTGTTGATATTCTCCCCGCTCCTTCCCTAAAATGTACATACACACACACCACGTCTATAGAGGCAACAACTCTTCTCTTTGACTCTTCTCTCTTTCATCGGCCCTTTTCGCCTAACGCTTCTTTTTTCAATCCCTTGTGTCTATTGTTTCCCTCTTTACTATGGGTGCTCAATCTCTTTCTTCTGACAACCCTCCCTCTCCTCGCTCCGCTGCAAGCCCGCTCAATTCATCAGTGCCATTTATCCCCATATCTACGCCAGCTCCTCGAACGACTGATAGTGAAAGTCCGCATTCTAGCCTCATGTCTGCAATCGGAATGACTACGACTACGCCTCCGCCAACGCTTGGTCTTCGAGGTGAATACAACCCAGAACTTCGGAAACGCGATGAATGGCCCAGGCTGTCTACCACCCTCACTGCTCTGGGGACAATGAAAGAAGGTAAACTACTATCATCCACTATCCATTTACTCAACATTTGGAGCTAAACATATTCCCTAGCTTCACCAGGGCCCTCGAAAACAGACTTTAGTTGTGGGTTCCCTTGACTCCCTTGGCAAAGGTCCAAATGTTAACTCCCTTCAAGCTCTATGGGCTGCCCGAGACGCCGACTTCAGCTTCGAGCTCATCTACCAGAACCGCACCCTGTCTACCTTCGACGTCCTTCACCAGATACACTCCATCAAGCTCAATGCGCTTTTGTTAACTCCTGGTCGGCTGGGCGTATACACAAGACATCAAACTGCCACTGCAATCCAGAAGTTTACTGAAGCCAACAAGAACTCATTGGGGGTGATTGTGTACCTAATGGATGCGAGATCATCTGGCAACGAACAGATCGAGGCAGTGCAGTCTCTCGGTGCACTACATCACTGCCTTTCATTGGGCTTCTCAGAGCCGCCCCCTGTACTTGTTGTGTCTGACGCATCCTACCTCCTGGATTGCATAGGCGCTTACATGAAGAGTGTCTCTCGCGCAAACCCGGTGAGTCATAGTTTAATCACAAGGCTTGCGTTGTATTGGCCATTCACTCATTAACCGCGATTAGATTCCAATCAACACCTCTGGGGATAAACCACAGTGGCCTAAATCGCCTATGCCTGCGTCTGCGCCTGCATCGTTTCCGCCTTCGAGATTCTCGTTTACAGCCCAGCCCAAAAGTTGAAACTCCGGGTACATGCATTCCAGAGGACCGGTCGCTTTTTCGAGAAGGAAATTTCTTCGATCTCAGGGATTTGCACCGAGGGGGAGTCCACACAACATTCTATGGACGAGCGGTGGACCTTTTTCTTGATCGAGCATGTATGATTACAATCCAATCCACATCGTCATATCCTTTTGTCGCCGAATGTTTGTCCTGCTGCATGGGGTCCGGAGAGTCCAAACTTCTACTCCAGGGGACCACGCAAATTTATTCATGGTCTAAGAGGTTAACTGCCGATGTTGTGGTCTTACTTTAAACAACATGGATATAAACGTATCCCTTGGTAATCTACAATTTTACCCCTTCTGTCGCCGACATACCGTTACCTGAAGTCTTGGATCTTGTTTTAGTTTCTTTTTGTAGTATATATATATGTATCCTTTGTGTCCGCCAAACACTGCTTTTTAGTATCACTCATGAGTTCATTCAACACCCCGAAAGATCCCACGATTTACCACAAATAATATTATTGAGCATGATGTTTTGCCGCCATGGATGTCTTGTCTTTCAGATATTATACAGCTATCGACCTAAATACGTAGCCTCGATCCGTGCTCCGAGAATCAGCTCTTCTACAGTTAAACAATAAACAGCGATATTCCATGCTAAATGGAGAGTATAATACATATACCTAGGTAGTTGCCTAGGTCAATGAAAATCGCAGTTAGGCAGGAGTATATTTGTCCCCAGGGATATATGCCTAATGACGTCGTTGCACCTATTCTTAACCGCACGAGCCACAAGCCCTGACGCGTGGCTGGCCGAGAAGGTCCGTAGAAAAAAGAATTGCCACGGAACAAGAATCCAACTGAGCAATAAGAAGACATCACAATAAATCATTTCTTAGTAACCGGGTAAATTGATGTCCAATTCGCCCCCTAAGGCAGCAACGGAACCAGAAAAAGGGACCCTGTTGTGGCGCAGCTGTTTGCTTCGGTTTGACTTGCTGTACGTAAGTCCGCCCAGTCACTCTTCCAAGGTTCCCTCTTACCAATTACCTAGAATTGGTTCTAGACTATTTCCTATTCACTTTCAATTCTTGACTCTCAACTTGTCACTAGAATTCCCCCATTCGGTTGGCAGGTCAGATTTCACATTTGTCGCCTGGGCGCGAGATCCCCCGAGAGGTTGACACAAGATGGTAGGTGGCCTACTTGCACAATGACCAGATAAGAACCAAACTGACCCTGTGGTTACGGTATAGGGTCAGTCACGACGCCCCGTTGGCGGCGAAAAGAAGAGTCGCTTTGGGCGCTCCAAAGCAGTCGCAGATGTTGGCGATGGCCGGCAGGCGGGGGGAAAGCCGAAGGTCAGGAAGGCCGCCTTCGAGAGCAGCAAGAAGAAGGAGATCGGTGTATCAGATCTTACTCTGCTCAGCAAAATCTCCAACGAGGCCATCAACGACAATTTGAAGCTCCGGTTCGAGCACGACGAGATTTATGTAAGGGATAGCTCTCGCACGCGGACTGCGGGGTTGTGCGCGAACACGAGTACAGGCTAACGGAGGACTATTAGACTTATATTGGCCATGTGTTGGTCTCAGTCAACCCTTTCCGAGACTGTGAGTTGCTCCGCGAAGAGGATTTGGTTTCCTGTTTGCTAACAGACTTCCGAGCATTACAGTGGGTATCTACACAGATAGTGTCCTCGATTCGTATCGCGGCAAGAACCGCCTCGAAGTTCCTCCCCATGTATTCGGAGTCGCCGAATCCGCATACTACAATATGAAATCCTACAAGGACAACCAGTGTGTCATCATTTCTGGAGAGTCTGGTGCGGGAAAGACCGAGGCCGCGAAGCGCATCATGCAATACATTGCCAGTGTATCCGGTGGCGGTGATTCATCTATTCAACAGACTAAAGACATGGTATTGGCCACGAACCCGTTGCTGGAGTCATTCGGTAATGCGAAGACGTTACGCAACAACAACTCGTCCCGATTCGGAAAGTACCTAGAATTGGAGTTCAATGCCAACGGTGAGCCGGTGGGAGCCAACATTACAAATTATCTGCTGGAGAAGTCGCGAGTTGTGGGACAAATTACGAATGAGCGAAATTTCCACATCTTCTACCAACTCACAAAGGGTGCCCCACAGAAGTACCGCGACAGTTTCGGTCTTCAGCAACCCCAGTCTTACCTCTATACGAGCCGTTCCAAGTGTTTCGATGTGCCAGGAATCGATGATGTTGCTGAGTTCAAGGATACACTGGATGCGATGAGGGTGATTGGAATGAGCGATGGGGAGCAGGACAATGTGTTCCGCATGTTAGCAGCTATTCTATGGATTGGAAATGTCCAATTCAGCGAAGACGACTCTGGCAATGCTACTATTAGCGACCAGTCAGTTGTTGATTTCGTCGCCTACCTGCTAGAGGTGGATTCCGCTCAAGTGAACAAAGCTTTGACTATTCGTCTGATGGAGACTGCCCGAGGAGGACGCAGGGGCTCCATATATGAAGTGCCGCTGAACAGAGTCCAAGCTTCCGCCGTTCGGGACGCTTTGGCCAAGGCAATTTATTTCAATTTGTTCGATTGGATTGTGGAGCGCGTCAACCAGTCCCTGACTGCTCGCGGTTCTATCACCAATTCGATTGGTATCTTGGATATTTACGGATTCGAAATCTTCGAGAAGAACTCTTTCGAGCAGTTGTGTATTAACTATGTCAATGAAAAGCTGCAGCAGATTTTCATTCAATTGACACTCAAGGCAGAACAAGATGAATATGCCCGCGAGCAGATCAAGTGGACTCCTATTGAATACTTTGACAACAAGGTGGTTTGCTCGTTGATTGAGGACAAGCGCCCCCCCTGGTGTCTTCGCCGCTTTGAACGATGCCTGTGCAACTGCTCACGCTGATTCCGGAGCGGCCGATCAGACTTTCGTTGGCAGGCTTAACTTCCTGTCCCAGAACCCCAACTTCGAAGGTCGCCAGGGTCAGTTCATCATCAAGCACTATGCTGGTGATGTCAGTTACGCTGTGGAGGGAATGACAGATAAAAACAAGGATCAGTTGTTGAAGGACCTGTTGAACCTTGCCCAATCTAGCAGCAACGAATTCGTGCACTCGCTATTCCCCAACCAGGTCAACCAGGATGACAAGCGTCGCCCACCCACTGCCGGTGACAAGATCAAGGCATCCGCGAATGACCTTGTGGCCACACTCATGAAGGCGCAGCCATCTTATATCCGTACAATCAAACCGAACGATAACAAGGCCCCCAGGGAGTACAACCACGGCAACGTCCTGCACCAGATCAAGTACCTGGGTCTCCAGGAGAACGTCCGCATTCGACGTGCTGGCTTTGCCTACCGTCAGACCTTCGACAAGTTCACCGAGCGATTCTACCTCTTGTCCCCGAAGACTTCGTATGCTGGTGACTACACATGGACGGGTGATGTGGAATCCGGCGCGAAGCAAATCTTGAAGGATACCCGGATCCCTGCCGAGGAGTACCAGATGGGTATCACAAAGGTTTTCGTCAAGACTCCTGAGACGCTGTTCGCATTGGAAGCCATGCGAGATAAATACTGGCACAACATGGCTATCCGAATTCAACGTGCTTGGAGAAACTACCTCCGTTACCGCATCGAATGTGCGATCCGTATCCAGCGCTTCTGGCGCCGCATGACGGGTGGACTCGAAATAATCAAGGTTCGTGATCAGGGACACCAGGTACTCCAGGGCCGCAAGGAACGCCGGAGAATGAGTCTTCTCGGTTCTCGTCGCTTCCTGGGCGATTATCTCGGTGTCGGGAATACCGGTGGTCCTGGTGAAATGATCCGCAACGGTGCAGGCATCAGCGGTTCCGATGATGTTATTTTCTCTTGTCGTGCCGAGCTTTTGGTGTCCAAGTTCGGTCGTTCTAGCAAACCTGTTCCCCGGATCCTTGTCTTGACGAGTCGGCATGTCTATATTGTTGCACAGAGCATCGAAAACAACCAGCTTCTCATTTCAGCGGAACGAACCATTCCGGTTGGAGCCATCAAGAGTGTCAGCACCTCGAATCTCAAGGACGACTGGTTCTCGCTGGTTGTTGGGGCCCAAGAACCTGATCCGCTAATCAACTGTATCTTCAAAACCGAATTCTTCACTCATCTCACCACCGTCCTACGTGGCTCCCTCACTTTGAAGATCGGAGAAACCATTGAATACCACAAGAAGCCTGGCAAGCTGGCGACCGTCAAGGCAGTCAAAGATCCAGCTGCTGGAAACGTTGACAGCTACAAAAGCAGCACAATTCATACTAGTGCTGGTGAGCCTCCAAACTCTGTCTCAAAACCCACTCCACGGGCGAAGGCAGTTGCTGCTCGCCCGGTTACAAAGGGCAAGCTACTTCGTCCTGGTGGCCCCGGTGGCGGCCCTTCGAAATTGTCTCAGGCGGCTCGCCGACCTGTCCCTGCCGCCCAGCCTCTGCCCCGGTCTACCCCACAGCCTGCCGCGGTACCGCAGCCTGCTGCCCAGCCGCATGTTGTACCTCAACCTCGCATCGTGCCTCAGCCCGTGGCTACTGTCGCCGCTGCACACTCTCGCAACGAATCTTATAGTTCTGTGAGGTCTTCTGGCTCCGCGAGGGCTCCTCCACCACCTCCCCCTGCTGCACCACCTCCGGCCTCTCGAAAGCCCTCCGCAAAGGTCAAGTATGACTACAGCAGCGACCGGGCCAATGAGCTTTCCATTACCAAGGGCGAAATTGTCGAGATTGTATCCAAGGAAGGAAATGGTACGTACCCACATCATACTTCGTTTTGATCATAACTAACTTGTCCTAGGATGGTGGCTGTGTAAGAACACAACAACCTCGGCGCAAGGATGGACACCCGAGTCCTACCTCGAAGAAGTAGCCGTGGCTCCCGCACCAAAGCCCATCCCACCCCCACCTCCCGTGGCACCCCGCGCAACCCCCAGCCCTATTCCAAACGGCGCTGGAGCAGCTGCAGCTGCCAAGACCAAGCCCGCCCCACCCGCTCCCCCCGCGAAGCGACCCAACATGGCCGGACGCAAGCCCGCGCCCCCGCCCGCTCCCCGTGATAGCGCCGTGAGCATGCAATCCGGCGACTCATCAGGCGCCAGCGGCCGCGGCACGCCTAACAGCGCATCGAACGCCAGTCTCGCAGGTGGTTTGGCCGAGGCACTGCGGGCACGACAAAGCGCGATGCAGGGTAAACACGACGACGACGATGAGTGGTAGAGTTGAGAAGTGCATTGTTTATGGTCGGTCGCGGTGTTGGACATTTCTGCGCTTAGCGTTGACCTTTTGCGTTTGTTTATGTTTGTGAGGGGCCGTGGCATGTGCATGTGCAGGTCAGCGAGTCATTGTTTTTCTTCCATTGTCATTACATGCTACAGTACAGCCGAGTTCAATATATACCGTTTCGCGTGAATCAAAATCATACGGGAAGTTGTTGTGTTATTCTGGATGCTATTCGAATCTCAACCTACAATAACATGCGCATATATTCTAATTGCGTACTCCCTTTCATGCCTCTAATCAGAAGATTCATTCAGGTCTACTAACTCCGCTGCCTTAGCTATAATTATCTCCGCCGACCAAGACCTAGGTAGACCAGTTAAGATTGGCAAGAAATCCGGACTTGTTCCTTCCCCTGGTGATAGGGGACTAGTTCATGTTCTTCTTCAGAGACTTCCCCCATTCACCCCATTCTTCAATCCCTAAGGAGCCTCATCAGCCGCAGAAGAAGCCAGACAAGAAATAAAGTAAGCAACAAGCAAGTAACCAGTATCGTGGGGAATTAATCATGACTTTATAACTCGAGGTACTCCCAGCCGAGCCTTTGTCAGTAAAACAATGAGAGAATATTTTCATCTGCGCTTTTCGAATAAACCCGGGTGATATGGCAACGTAACTTTCAACTTGCATATTAAAGAGGCATTTTACCATTTTACCATGCTTGTCCGGTAATGCAGGCCGGTGATGCAATCTCCCATAAAAGATAATTCATTGGTTGACTCATTGACTCATGCATTGCCCTATGGTAAACTATATTGTGCGAGTCATTCGTAGCGATATCAACTGATTGAAACTGCAGTATCTGAAGATATTGGAAGATCGGCAACATTCTTCACCTAATGGGTAACATGCAAGAAAGCAAGGGACTTGGAGCCAATCACGATAGGTCCACTAGTTGAGCGATATTCTCTATATCACATGTATATGAAGATGATTTCTGCATTGTCTAAAAGATCATTAGTACGGAGTGCGGAGTAGATAGAAACCCTTGAGACCCTAACTGCATGAGAAATATTTGTCACGGTATCGAATTATTAGCTTGGTTAAATGATAATAACCAGGATAGTGACCTACTTATGCTAAATGAGGAACCTGTTTTCCTACCTGAAAGCTAAAGCAGGCTAACCCTATTGCATCAGCCACGTTGCATAAGAAAGCCGCTAGATTATATGCTTAGATATTGTTAATTTACAAAATACTACCTCGATCATGCACATGCTAGGTTTATCGAATTTTCTTCAAATTCTACGGAACGTCGGCGATCCTTCACATGAACACAACGGATCTGCGGGCATGCTGCAAAGGAAAGCATAGATCGGCGGTGTTCTATTTAGTTTCAAATCCCATCTCTGTAAGGTGTGGTCTCTCTTAACAGCAGCGGTAGTTCTATTGTTTAATACCTACAGATATCCATCTCCCGCTCGCTCCGTATCTCTCTCACTCATTTCCCCAGCACATAGTTAATACCTTGTGTCTTTTCAAGTAGCAACTCGCTCCCGTCTTTGTTGGACATCACGATTCCGAGCTCGGTTTCGATCTCATCAAACCATGTCAGTCCAGCCTGAAAAAGACGGATTTCTCCTAGAATCGCCCTCACTGGTGCCTATAACTGGGCCTGAGGCATATGAAGCCCAGGAACGCGCACTGGAGCAACCGATAACCCCTCCACCACCACCAAATGGAGGAGTTGTTGCCTGGCTTCAGGTAGCAGGGGCATTCTTTCTGTTTTTTAATTCTTGGTAAGCTCAGTTGTGGTGCCTTTGTTACCGTATTGCCGTTCATCTCACACTTTAATGTATAGGGGAGTGGTGAATACCTTTGGTGTATTCCAGAGCTACTATGAAGAAACTCTCCTCCCTGGCCACTCGCCATCCTCCATTTCTTGGATTGGCACCATGCAAGGTTTCCTTCTCTTTTTGGTGGGAGTTATTGTTGGCCCTATTTTCGATAAGGGTTATCTCAAAAGCCTCATTGCAATCGGCTCATTCCTTGTGGTGTTTGGTTTGATGATGACTTCCTTGTCGACGAAATACTACCAGGTCTTTTTGGCCCACGGCGTGGTAGTGGGAATTGGCTGCGCCTTTGTGTTTCTTCCAAGTATTGTTATTGTGGCCACCTACTTCACCTCACGGCGCGCGATAGCGACGGGTATCACTGCTTCCGGTGGTAGTATCGGTGAGTGCTCTCGTTTGGAACTAACGATAAAAACATACTAATCGTCTATAGGCGCCGTGATCTACCCTATCATGTTTCACAAGCTGATCGAACCTGTTGGATTTGACTGGACAACTCGTATTATTGCCTTCGTTGTCCTAGCCGGGCTATCGTTCTCGTTGGCTGTGATGAAGATGCGCCCTTCACCCCCTAAGGAGACTACATCAAAGATTGATCTAAAGGCTGCGTTCTTCGAAACACCATATTTTATTTTCAATTGTGGGCTCTTCTTTTCCTTCGTGGGCTTGTACTTCGCGTTCTTCTACCTCCCAACCTACTTTACCTCCTTCCTCCACTCCGATGCCGACATTGGGTTTTACAGTATCGCCATTCTAAATGCTGCCTCTGTCTTTGGGCGCATTATGCCCGGCTTTCTTGCAGACCGCATTGGATGTCTCAATACCCTCGTTCCAATCAGCTTAATCGCCACGATCTTAGCCTTTGTATGGCTCGGTATACGGAATGAAGCCGGCGCAATTGTCTTTGCCTGTCTCTACGGATTTAGTTCAGGGGCAATTGTATCGATACCGCCTACGATTGTGGCGCGGCTGACCCCAAATGTCAGCATTATTGGCACCCGACTGGGAATGTCTTTTACCTTTGCGGGTACAGGGCTGCTTATTGGTAACCCTATTGCAGGGGCCTTGTTGGACTTGGAGCACGCAGTATTCTGGAAAGCACAAATTTTCAGTGCTATTACGTTGGTCGTAGGAACCATTCTTTTCATGTGGACGCGACTACTTAAAGGTAGAAAGGAAGGGGCATGGAAGATATGACTTAGGTCAGAGAGGAACGGTTTCTCAAGATGATCATGTTGAAAATGGTCTTTCTTTGACTATAATTGATGGTATTGTATATTTCCCAAAATTCATATATGGTCACCGTGGGGGAGGGGCACAGTTCGAAATCAATATTGTCAAAGACTGCACTGGGCTTCTGCATGGCGGAGTTTATGCACATTCAAATGCCACTATTAGTTTGCTGTCCACCATGCGAATTACACAGGTTGAGGACAGCCAATGTCAACATCAGATTATGTAGTCACGTCCTGGGGGTTGAGCTGACTTGGTAGTTTTAGTGGCACACAAAGTGTGAGGTGAGATGATATGGAGTTGGATGATAACGAATTTTTGGGTTGCAGATCACCTGGCTAGAGATCGGCCTCTAGGGTTGGAGTTTTACTTGCATGCATGCTCTGCCAAAGCGTTCTTAGCGTTCTTGGGACTCACGCTGCTCCACAAGGCGAAGAAGTAGCTTGGTCTAACCCCTAGACCGCCATTTCTTCTATCTAAGTGGGCCTAAACTCTGGGCTAGCGTGTGGCGTGTGCAACTATTGTCCCAACTATTGTCTAATTCCCCATTTTCCAACATTTGACTGCAAATTCTGTTTGATTGGCTGGTCAACTTCCTTTGATCAGTTGAGGTCGTGTGGTTTTTTCTTTTGTGTATATTCAATTTACAAATGACTACATACGTTATCGTTCCTATCAATTCCTGGTAAGTCAAATATTAAGTATCTAAAATGAGTCTTACAATCCGGTGCGAAGTGGTCGAGATCGGTCTGCATGCAGCATCATGCATGAAGATATCGGAAACCATTCCCCTTGCTGCTGGCCCACAATTCAGTTCCTCCCATAGTATCATGTAGGGCTGTTACACAGATTTTAATATTTCATCCTACTATTCTCGAAGAAGTTTAATTGGAGGATCGAATGCATAAACTTTCTCGAAGTCATCCCCACGTCAGCGATCCATTCTTGAAATGGTCTGCAGAGCAGACGGCCGATCACTCGGCAGAATTGACCGGCTTTTTATATTTATCTACCTGGTCACCATTCTTTGACCTGGCATTGCTACTGGCACAGGCTGAACCGTATACTGCCTTCCAAAAAGTACCCAACCAGATAAGATGAGGATACTCTGTCTCCATGGGTACGGCACAAGCCCCGATATCATGAAGGCCAACATGTCAAAGTTGATGAAAGTATGTGATCCTAGCTGGGAGTTTTATTTTCTGGGCGGGAAAGTAATTTGTCAACCCGATCCCGGTGGTGAGTTCATCGTAGCCAAAATTTCTAGCTGATGTTGCGTAAACATTAACAAATCCGTCAGGCATTCCGCCCTCAGTCCCTGGCCCATATCTCTGCTACTCGGCAGACTTTGACCCTGTCAGCATGAGGGCCGCCCATGCTTTGGTTGAAGAAGCATTTCAGAACCAAGGACCCTTCGATGGGGTCTTTGGCTTCAGCCAGGGGGCCTCGGTTTTAATCGCTTATCTACTGGAGCAGATCGTCACATATCCAGAAAGACCTCTTCCCGTCCGATTTGGGATTTTCTGCTCGGCAGTACCAATAGTTGCAACGGACCCAGACTACTACCGCTCCGTATTTGGGTCCCTCTCTCTAGAGGACGAACAGCGCCTTCGCTCTGGTCAATATGACCAGCTATCCCAGCTGCCAGGACCATCTCAAGCTCCTGCCAAGGTGGTGGCCGAGGTCATCGATGCAATGGAGCCAATCATCCGTAGGTCCCGTATGAGCTTTCTGGATCGTCAGCCTTTGGAGGTCCCGTGCGCGATGCATCCAGATTTGTACAAGCCGCGTCTACCATTTCCAACCCTTCATGTTCGTGCGAAGAATGATCCACCGGCGTTGAGACGGTGCTCATTGTTGGCTGAGAGATTTTGTCTCCCTAAGGAGCGACGATCTTTCGAGCATAGCGCTATCCACAGCCTTCCGCGGTCCGCAGCGGATGTGCAGGAGATGGTGTCTGAAATGAGGTGGGTGATTGAAGGGAGTCAACGAGCGAACTTATAATTGCTTTCCAGTTCACATTGGCATGCCATGTAGCTCTTGAGCCCTTCTCGGCCCCACCATCTCGCTTCCTGTGGTTTTTTGACTTTATTGCGGGTCGGATCTGAAGAGTTGAGGAAAATAGGCGACCTATTACCGGGATTGGAACAATTCTTGCATTTTTATAACTGGCAATGTGCCTCTCTATTGCATCTACCTCTACTTTCTTGTCACTTTTCCCATACCCCTTAACTAATAGAAATTATACACGTTCATACATCGGTAGCTGTCAGGACCCTAATGCATAAGACGTCCATAGATCAGGTATCACGCAGTCCACGTGATGTGACCGCTTAGGATCATAGCACGTAGGCAACCATATATCCATGGATGTATGTTGCCTACCTTACGAAGGGTATAGTCTCATATATTACATTGATTTTTATACCCTACCTTGAAAGAGAAGTAGCTACTGATTCATTATAATATCATAGAGTACCTGGTACTCATTACCATAGGGAAAGGCAAGGTGATAAGATACAAACCATAGGTTATATCCACTTGATGACTGAGAGGGAGTAAGGTTGCCAATAAGGTCACCATGAATTGTCATATTGCATACATATTTGTTTATGGCAACCCATTGCTCAGCATATATGCGTTCTAATCATACTCTCTCGTCTGTACCTTAAAAAAGCCAGACACCATCTTGCTCCAACTTCCCCTCAGCTTCAATCTTCTTCATACATTCCTTGATTCTCTGCACGACATGCTCCGCATACCCCGGCCCGAGCGGCGGCTTAGGCACACTCATATCCATTTTTAACCAAGGGATAGAACTGATTCCTTGACACGCCTGGCGCATCTCATCAACTTCCTCGTCGCCATAGAGGGCCCCTGTAAACACGGCCACGGGTGGCTTGGAGTAGTTCATGGTCCCACGATTGGGCTCTTCAGCAATGGGAGGTGCCTGCCCTTGCAGCAAGGCGGGTATTTCGACTGCTCCAGAGGTGCTGCTAATGACGTTATGGATAACTACATGGGCGGATGATGTTAATTTATGGTTTCAAGCAAGGCTGGTATTCCCTTACTTTCGTACTCGGGTAAGTAAAGAGGTTTGACAGCGTTGAAAATTTGCGGGTTGCTGCCCCCACAGGCAATAACTGGTAAAGGTGACATGGTGATCGAGATTTGTAGTAATGTAGTCGTGGTGGAAAAGGATATTATCCACTGCAGATACTGGGACATATATATATATATACATGTCATCGCAAGAGAGGGGTATACACGACGATCATGGCTAGCTGAACTTTGCTGACGTGGTGAAATTGACCCCCGCCTCTAGGTCTGACATATATTGCCTTGTTTATATAGAGGTATATGCGGAGTGTAGCGTAGCACTGGCTAAAAACATGCTTCTAGCCTCGTGGAGGTTTGTCGTTACTTCAATGACCTTACAGCGCAGTTGGGATAGGTGAAAGACAACAGCAAAAGCCAAAAGAAATACAAATAAAAAAGACTGAATAGGACAAAGAAGTTTCGCGTGGGGCCCGAGTTCCAAAGAAATTCCGGAGAGCGCCGTCTCAAGAACCTTAAAGCAGAGCCGGGCTGTGCACATGTTTACACGATACAAGAGCCCCCGCTGTTTGACTGGTCCATTATATATCCTAAGAAAGCTTATACAGACAAGGGTAGACCTTCCCACCTAACTAAATCAAAGTATTTCCATTTTGAGTTTAGATCACTCATGCTAAAACTATTTGTATATCAGGCATATTTTGACCATCCCGTCTCGTGTGGTACTAGTTAGGACAACAAAGATTATTAAGACGAAGCGCAATCTAGTTCTTAGCCCACTGTTGCTTCGTTGTCATTCCCGGGTCCAAATGCCAATGCGCTGGGCTTTCCCCAGCCGTCACATGGAAGGAAGCGCAATGCACCAGGATGCCACCGGGCCAGAAAATAAGATATCACCCATGCATCCATAAGGGGAATTGAAGGCCATTGGTTTTCTCCCTCGAATGTAACGGAGATTTAGGGGAGATTAGCACATGGAGGCTGTCATAAGTATACGATGACCGGAAAGACATAATTAAGCTTCCATCGAACTGCAACAAGCTATGCTCAAATTACCAATACGAGGCACTAGTGGGGCAGAATACGCTGACAAGTAGCCAGTTTGAAATAAAGAAGTCTGACTGGTCTGCATGTCGCTGACTCGGGCATCTGTCTCCATTTGCGGCTGAAAGCCACAAATTTGAGGGGTAGTTATTGGATAATAAACGAGGTATACGAGGTCAACTTTTTACCAAAGAAAAGATGTAGAAAAAGACAACATCATCTAGCTCTATTTACTGTCTAATCAAAAATAATTGACCTCGGCTGATAAGTAGTTATTAACCTGCATGGAGGCAAATAAAAGGCTTAATTAACAAGGGAGATTCAAGGGAGCAGTTAAGCGACCAAAAGCAATCTCCCACTAAAGTTCCTATTGGCGCTTGAAATAGGTCTAGGTTAATTTGAAATATACTATCTCTTGTTTCGAAGAAAATCCCAATAGGAATATGAAAAATCCCGAAGAAGTGTGGGATGCGATGTGCTATGCAAAACAGATATGTTCCTGTCAATGTTCTTTCTGGTGAATGATGTATGGAGAAATATAAATTTCTTCATGAAATTATCATGCCCCTTTATTGTCTCGCCTTCAGCTGAACCATCAGATCGTGCTTTTCCCACAACAAGAAGGTTTTCTGCTTTTCCCAACCGACGGACTCAGGAAGAAGAGTAATGTCAAAATTGTACAGCACCTTGGCCAGAATGAGCCGCAGTTCGTGATATGCCAGACTATTCAATCGTTAGCTCTTTGAAACTAATAAACCACTATCCGGAGGGTGGAGGACATACTTCTTCCCAATACAGTTGCGAGGGCCAAATGAGAATGGCTGGAAAGCAGACTTATTATCAGTGGCAAACTCATCACCAATCCAACGCTCAGGGATGAACTGATTTGGCAGCCTGAAGTTCCGAGTGTTGCGATAGGTAGCCCAGTGATGAACCGACAGAACAGTCTAACGGATCATTCAAATGTTAGGAACAATCGAAAATATGGAGCGAAAAATAAATACCTTTCCTGGGACATGTTCACCACAAACAAGCAACCCCTCATCAGGAGCGATGCGAGGCAGGCCAACTGGAACAGGGGGTAGACGCGCAATCCTTCCGAAATGCATGCACTGAGATATGGCATATGCTCCAGAGCTCTCATTTCGATATCGGAATCTTTCTCAAAGGCCCCACGAACTTCCTCTACAAGGATGTTCATCTTGTCAGGCGTCATCAGGAGATGATAGAGCAAACCACTTAGTGCAGTTGCGGTAGTCTCAGTACCTGCAACCATGAAAACCTGAGAATTGGCATACATCTCCGTGCGACTGATACGAAGATCCTCCTTTTGATTCATGACGATACCCCAGATGTCAGGTTTGTGCAGCGTACGGTTGTCATCAAGTCTTTTATCGACACTCTCCTGGGAAGCCTTGTAATGAGCGACACTTTGTTGCTTCAGCTCCTTCGGAATAAGCCTCTGAATAATAGGAGCGGTCCAAGGGACGTAGCGCGCCAGTCTGCGGATAGAATTGGTTTGTATAGTCATAAAAATCGCGGATACCCAGGCCAGGTTACCAGTTCCAGCTAATAGATTCAAGGAGTCACCAAAGGTCAAATCTCCCATGATATCAAAAGTCGTCAAGTTGAACATGCGGACCATATTGACTTTTGCCTCGGGGTCCTCCTTGATTATTCTGTGGAGTTTGTCAATTAAAGCATCGGCATATCCACAGATCAAGGATTGTTGTTCTCGGAGAGCCCGATCAGAAAAGGCGTGGGAGAAGTTCCGGCGAAAGCGGGAGTGATCAGGTCCATTTCCCCGGATAATATCTGGAGCTCCATTAAACGATGGACCGTAGAATCGAGGGTCCTTCTCCGTGACCTTTTTCCCTCCAGAGGCATGGCCATATATTCCCTTCCACGCCTCGCCAGTGGCATAGCTTAGCTCATCTGGGGCGATGCGGACTACGTCACCGTGTGTGGAATGTAGTCCATTAACCCATTCAAGCAGGTCACCTCTGAAGGTGTGGTAGAGTTGAGGTAGACGTGATGCAGCAGCAAGCTTTGGTCCTGGATATTTGCCAAGAGGGTTGATGTAGAGTTGGTAGTACGCCTGCGAGACTGATACCACTAGGATCTAGCCAGAGCACATTAGGATATTAGCGAGACTGGATTAATAGAAGAGAGGGATTAGGCGTACCAAAGCACCGATGACCGAGATATAGTGCTCATGAAGTAAACTTGAAGCGGATTGAAGAAACATCCTGGATTATGAGAAAGTTCGTCTGAGCTAAGTGAACGAATACGACGACAAGTAGAAAAGGCTTGGAATACTATATAAATCGAAAACTTCACCTTGTTATGTCCTTTTGGTTTTGAATTGTGCACACTGTTTCCTGCATAATCATAGTGGCACTAACTTAGCACATATTCTAGCGTAACATTACAAGGATTTATGCCACAGTCATAGTGCATTATGAGCGATAAATGTACAAGTTAAACTCGATTAGGAGTGATCTACACCCGTGTTTCTGCACAATCAATCTGGACGGTTAAGACGGGAGTGGCGTATGCGACGACTTCATGCATAACTCGGTCTCCATTTGGCATATCTTAACCCCTTATAGGTATGTGAATAGTCCTTGATACGCATAAAACTTGATTAGGGAGCGGGTTAAGCTTGGTATATATACTGTTGATTCATTCATAGGCTTCCGCACGACCCAGACGGAGTCAGGGTCGAAAGCTCATGACCCAGGCCCAACCAGACCCAGTGACAGCGGCCCCAGAAACCCCAGTTTAGGCCCAGTCTGACCTCTTTTTGCATAAAAGGGGGTCTTGGCGATCATAAACCAGCAAATCAGCTAAATTATGTACATAATTAGCGTGTTTGTATAGTTTGTACCCTCATTTGGGGGCCCCCAGACCCAGTATTCTGTTTAAGAATCTGGAGATCCAAATTGAAAATATTACTGCTATCTACACCAACGAGGATGGCAACTTGGATTGTTGGTAAAACAGCTTTGTATTTGTTGCGGACCTCGATGGTCTTACATGGGGTTTCTCCATCGGCACCACTAGCCGAAACAGGTTGCGTCATATTTAAAATAGAACTGATCCAGTTGAGGGGAATGTAGTATGTGGAAGTGTATCCTGGCCAGGGGTTGGAAACTAATTAACCATTGTCCAAGGGCTCTGTTATGGTAATTCAGGAATCTATATTCTCTGCCGGCAAGTATTCACGCATAGTAAGGAATCAACATTACTAATATTAGTTTCCAACCCCTGGCCACGATACACCTTCGCAATAGTATCATCGGAAAATGAGGTTATTGGGTGACACAAAAGTGTTGAGTGGAAGTGAAAAGGTTGGGGAATTCTTGAGCCTAAGCTATTATCATCTACAGGGCTCATATATAATTCAATGTACTGATGAAGTATATTGACAAAAACATAAATTACAACGTTGATTTTCCAATCAATGGTTGGCAGGGATGGTGCGCCAACCAGTCGCACAGCCAATAAGTAATACGTTCCAAGTAATTCGCAACGTTATGTACAGCTAAATTTGCTCTACATGGTCTGCTGCTGTGTTCCTTTCGCTAATTTCCTAGATTGTTTGTTCTTCAAAACGTGACAAGAGCACTAAAATCGAAAGAGAAACATCTCAAGTGCCAGGGATGTACATATCCAACGAGAAACATTTACATGAACTTGCTGGCAAGGCTCAAAAGCCCACCAGAACCGCTAGAGCCACCACCCTGGTTCTTCATGTACATCTTAAGCGCCATCTCGGCAGCAGAGTTGATGGCAGACTGCTTGTCACCGGACTATAAACAATCATTAGCATCACCATCATCCACAATCAAAAAGAAAAGAATAACATACCACATTACCACCAGATCCATTCTTCTCATCAAACAACTTTCCGGCCTGGGCCATAGCAAGTCCGATAAGCTTGTTCTTATCCATACCACCATCGCTGCTTCCACTGTTGCCACTGCTGCCACCGGAGAACATCTTCAAAGCCTGCATAGCAGCGCCGGCACCAATGGTGTTGGAATCGTGGTTCTGGTTGGAGTTACCAGATCCGTACATGGCCTGGTGGGCATTAGCCGCCTGCTTCTCGTCGAGGTCATCGCCGGAGGTCTTGCGGTCCTTGAGGAAGTTCAATGCAGTGCTGAACAGGGACTTGTCCTCGCTGCTGTGGTTTTCCTGTGCGTGCGAGACAGCGCTGCTGTAGTCGTCGTCATCGTTGTTGGAAGAGTGGTGGTTGGAAGAGGAGTTGCCATAGCCGGAGGAAGAGTTGCCATAGCCAGAGGAGGAGTTGCCATAGCCGGAGGAGTTGTTGTTGTTGTTGCCGTAGCCTCCACTACCGTGGGATTCCTGACGGCCGCCGTAGTTTCCTTGGCCCTGGTTCTGGTTCTGGTTGCTGTAGCCACCGCTAGATCCACCGTAGGAGTCGTTGTTGTTGTTTCCGTAGCCTCCGCTACCGTGGGATTCCTGACGGCCGCCGTAGTTACCCTGGCCTTGGTTTTGGTTGTTGTAGTTGTCCTGGCCTTGGTACTGGTTACCGTAGCCCTGGTTGGAACGGCCCTCGTTAGAGTTGCCGTAACCACCGCTGGATCCGCCGTAGGAGTTGTTGTTGTTGTTATTGTTGTTGTTGTTACGGCCGGAGAAGTCCTCGTCGTTGTTGTAGTAGCTGCTGCTGGCACCGCCGCCGCCGCCACCGCCACTGCCGTATTGCTGGTTATCGCGGTAAGACATGGTTGGAGTAGATAGATGGAGAATGAGAGCAAGGTAGAGATAGAGTGATTTGAGAAGAAAGTGGAAGTGGAAATGCTATAAATTTAATAGCAAAACTCAAAGAACAGAATGGAATGGAAGAGCTTCAGCTGAGGTTGGACGAGGAGGGGTTGCGGGGCACTTTTTGTTGATCTCGCTGATTTGGGCGATTCGTTGTTCGATCGGATGGGGTGGATCGGAGCTAAGGTGGCCAATTATTAACCTGCGGGCTTTTAAGTGGATGTTTTCGGGGATTAACTATTGATTTTTGATTGTTTTTTTTGGCTGGCTTTGGTGGTTTTAGTGTTTTTTAGGCGATATTTCGGAGTTTAATGACGAACTACGAACCTGAGCAGAAGTTGCAGCACCGCCCAGGTGGTGTACTCGCTATAATAGAGCGAATAAGATTTGGCACATACATGGGATATATTCACGAAGCAAGGCACCATGAAGTATCCACGGATACACCATTTGCCTTCACTACATGCTACATATCCTAGGTTTTACGAAATACATAGGATGTGCATCCATGCAGTCCGTAGATGTTGGTTCCTTAATATTGTCGGAATATATATACACCGAGCCCAGAAGTCATGTGACTCGCTTCTTCCATCCTGGGCTGGAGTATACATCATGTACACATAGAATAGAGTATTGATTAGATACGATAATAGCATTCAAAAACACTGTTATTATCTCCATTAAAGCGCATGAACATCCATTTGAATTGTAGAACAAGTCAATCACGTATAATCCTCTATATACCCATCACATAAACAAATATATCTTCCAACACCCTCACGACAAGATAATTACTTACAACAATATATCATCAACAAAATCAATATCCTCAACGTATCCCTTAATAGAGAGGCTTTGTACACCAAGTACATATATTCCTGCACTGAATAGTCTTTCAACCAAGACCTCAGACGCTGGGATTGCTAGATAATTTCTGGCAGCAGCAGCCATCCGAGCTGGTATCCAAACCTTGGAAGTACCTAGGGGGAAAACTGCACATTTAGAGACCATAACTTTGTAACCTTGACAAGGGTACAAAGAAACGCTGCACCAAATCAAACAGAGAGAGAGGGGGACATATATAGGCATATATATAAAAAACCAAGAAGCAATGCAAGCCCCTTCAGGGCTAGTCCTAAATATATTGTCTATCGTACATCAGTGGCACTCGTCATCTGATGGACATCCCGACCACTTTTGGACTTTATTGTTTGAATAGCATCGTGCGTTAGTCGCAATCGGTGAGTTGAATTTGGTTAGCCACTCATAACCATCGGAGTCTGGTTTGTCAAGGTATTTAAACCACCAGACTGTCAGTCCTAGACCGAAGCAGCGAGTGCTATTACCCCGGAGTGTCTTCTGACCCTTGTCCCAGGTGGCCCATCCGGCGCTCCGTATGTTGTAACGATGCCAATTGTAGTGATTAACACCCGTGTATTTAGCCGAGGACTTTTTGGGCACGGGGAATGGCCGGTTAGTCCGAATGGGGGCGATGTTATACGTGAATGGACCGTTGGCGTAGGTGCCACCAGATTTCCAGTTCATTGGGTTCTCGTCGTTGTTGGCATCACAGCCATCCAGAATACGATTCACGGCTGTGTTGCAAGTCTTCGAATCCACATCGGCAGTACCTGCGTCCTTGATTATGGTGAAAACCACATTATCGTGAGTGTTTCTGTTGTACCGTTTGTTGAAAAGCGTCCCAGTCTCCTTGCTGTTCATGTCTGGCACGACATCTTTGCAAAACTCTTCAGTGTGGTTGTAGGCACTGGCATAGCCTTTGGATCCTTTGCTCGAGTGACAAGTGATCTCATCGACGATTTGACAGGCAGGCGAGGGACCCCTTCGTGTTTGGATATGGCATTTCTAATCGTCCAGGGCACATAGGACACAATTGACTCATGGCCTAGGTTGGTAGGGTGGAAGATCCGTCCAATGGAATCAGGCAGGATTCCCGACCGGCGTTTCTATCGCAAACTCCAATCGTGAGGCTGTCTCGTTTGGATAGAAGTGAAGATATCCAGTCCATGAACTGGTCGAGTTCTGAATGTTTCTGCTCAGCTCCCTAAATTGACGTGATATTGGATGAGTATTCCAACATCGAGTCAGATGCCTATTCCGAGTCTCGTCGATAAACGGTCCCCGGATTGTAGACCTTAGTACGTCACTTTGCAGTACCCCGTTCGCTCAGTGAGTAAACTAACAGCATGCCAGACTGGAATGGTGTCCGGTTGTCTTCGATTCAATAATGTACAGAGCGGAAAGGGCTGCGCGTATATCACATCTCAGACAGGTGTTGCTCAAATGTAAGTCTCCCATTGCTCTAGGCTTCACAGTATACAGGTTAACTGACACTACGTAGGGACCTCTACAATTGGAACCCGGCTGTAGGGACGAACTGCGCCGGCTTGCAAGCCTCCGTCTTTGTCTGCATTGGAACTGCCAGCCCAATCACGACAATCACTAGTGGAACTCTAGTACCTATCATATCCAAGAGCTAGGACCGAATTGGGGAGCATAATTTAGACATAGAATAGGTCATAGAAATTTATATTGACCATGCCAAATCCGCGGGAGCGAGTGAGTGGTCAGACCATATAGTAGATACAAGCTCCAATCTGGCTAGCTCAGGCATGGATCCTTTGATTTCTTGAAACCAGTCGTGCCAATTGTACGGGACGCAAAGCTGCAGTCGCGTCCACTCCCGACCTCCCAAGAGTGTTTCCCATGGTTTGAGGAACACCTTCCCCTTTTCAGGGGTATATAGACTATCTTGAGCCTCACAGGGCGGCATTCGAAGTAGCACACGTAGCCGGAGCACGCCGCGGAAACTCTTCTCAAATAACCCAAAGAACGCGTAATAAGTTGCCATCCAGTCCTCCTCAGCTTGCCCCGGTTCCCAAAAGCCGACAACAAACGAGATGTCCAGAGATGTCATCAGAGATGCATAACGCGGTGCCAAAATTCTTGATATCAAAAAAGGGGTGTCCATAGTCTTGCTCATCACAAAGATATTCGTCCCATAAAGAACTTCCAATGCTTCTTCATATCTGTACACTAATAAGTCAATCTTCTGACAGTGGAAGAATACCAACTTACCCGATTTGACAACATCTCAGCCACTCCATGCTGCCAATTTTGGGCTTCACGATATCCATGGGCCCCTCGCTGCCCGAAATTGAACAGATATCCTCAACAGGAGGATCACCAATAAATCCATCACAATGGTCACAAACAGCATGCCACCAGCGCCAGCGAGGCTCGCTGTGCGGTTTTGCCGATGGCGTTCTCCAAAAATACCGAATATGCACTCGCCGATCGCCCATAAGCTCAAGGTATATCAGCCTCCTGATCTCAGCCGGGAGCCGAAAGAACGAACTTTGTTGTTGGGAGCTTTTCCGTCGAGCTCCAGGGCTGCGCGGGCGTTGCTCTGGTTGGATTGGCAGCTTCCATCGATTGAATATATCGCCGTTTATCTCACAGGTGGAATCCCAGATTCCTATAGCATTTGGAGACCATTCTCGCAATTTAAACCTGGGCTCTTTCAGTTCTTTCTTTTTGCGCTTGAAAAGTTTGTTGAAAAAATGGGGTGCCATGGTGGTGGTGGGGTCTGGAGGAGTAGGGGGAGCATCGACTTTATATATTCCTAGATGTGGGTGGATGTCCCCCGGTGCGTGGCAGCAGCACTTGCTCGAAATAATTGAGGGGAATGAGCTGATCCACAGGCCCTAAGCTCGGTGGGATTGCCAACGGGCTCCAAAGTTGAGATTTCATAAGACAGCACTCGGTTTACTAGATTGAATCTATTCCAAAAAGACAATGGAAACCCAGGAGGTATGTATGCTATGCAAGTGATCGAAGGTTTTCCTAGGTTCTCGAATATATATTCTATATCCTATTCATATGCTATATTGAATCCCGTAGAAGTCCCCCATTGTTACTGGAATGGGCAATAGATTGCATTCAAGTGTTGCTATTGGCCAGGAAAGCTATTCAAGTTCTTGTTCTTCTGCTTAATTTGGACTTGAAAATTGAAATTATTCGTGATAATTTGCGGATATACATAATCACCGAATATATCGAGCCAGTAAATAGTCGCTATATTGTGCTGTCACTCGCCATGACTCAAATAGACATGTGCAAGAAAGATATGGAAAGATAGCACTACCTATACCGTATTGGATGAAATAGTGGATATAACCGTTTCACACAGATCTTGCACTGAGCGAAGCTTTGCTATAAGGGTTTGGCCAGTACGATCCAGCAACTCATTTGGATCAGCCACAACAAGAGCATGTCCATTATCTGGGGAAATAGTATCAATATGTAACCCGCGAATTTTAATTGCGGCTGTGGCGACGCGACCTAAAATTTTATGTTAGAACAAAGGAAGAAAGAGAGCCAGAGCGAGAAAATATAGCGAGTGCACTGACCTAATGCCTGTTTCAATGCATGGTACTTGTGTATTTCACGAACAAGTCTTTCCACTTGTTTTATTTCCGGCATTCTCTCTGATATGTCAGTCCTAAAGCTGGATGGACTCAACGGTTGTTGCCCTTCGGAATAGTGTTAGTACCTGTGGTCAAATAGCACATGTCTACACAGCGTAGAAATATGGATAGACTCACCAACAGGAAAGGTAGATCTAAAATAGCTGGAAAAGACATTGTGAATTGCTATACCTGTCTCTGTATTTGGAGATCCAGAGCCAATTAGTGATGTGAAGTAAATAGCAAGAGGATATCTCCAGCTCGGTTCAAGATCTTGTACAATCTCTTTGACGGCCTCCAAACGGCCTTCCATCTCTTCTGGCGATAAATCTCGTATGTCGGCAGCGTGCCAAATAACATAACGAAGGCGGATAACTTCGCTTGCCCAAACCGGCTTCCCATCTTTGAATGGAAACCCATCGAATACACGAAAATGAGGCTGTAGACGGCGCAATCGATCACCCTCAAAAAGAGACGTGGCGGATATAATCTCTCGTTTGCCCTCAATATTCAGTGATCCTTGTGAAAGGTATTCTCCAAAATCATAGCTAGGTTTGTGGCGAAGGTTGCGGAAACTCTCTAAGTTACATCGTGATGGGCGATCATCGTATTGCCCGAATGCATTCATCAGATCCAAATCACGAAGAAATGTCCCCCTAGGGAACTGTGTCGTATCTATGACATATAACTTGATATCCTCTAAACTCGATCCGTCGTCGGGGCTCAGATGCCGGTAGTAGATGTACTGTATTGCGAAAGGCAACGAGCTGGTCCATGAAACAAACTTGTCGGGGTTTTTCGCCTGGTACCACCATCGAAGATGTAAGTTGAGTGTTCGAGCTATGGTCGTTCGTTTCTCGTCATCCAGGTTAAAGAAGATATCTTCCGTAAAGAAGTTCCGGTTCTGATAGGCTGACTCCGAACGCACCCACATCCCATTTGTTGTTCCACTGGAAAGGGGGAGGCGACCCGAAACAGATACCGGGGAATCTCATCCAAGGCCGTTGGCGCCAATCCACTTCCTGCTTGAGGTTTGAAGAGCAAGTGATTTGGATCTTCAGATGGATCACCTAAGCTAGCGTTCCTCATCTGGTCACTCAGATTTTCCATCTTGGGCCTGGTGATGCTTTATTGGTGCTTTCAGTCGAGAGGGTGTAGAGTAAAGGTTGAACGGATATGGTGAAACAAGGTTTTATATAGGAGGCTTCAGGATATCCAGCTTCGATAAACCACAATACAAAAGAGGGGGAAGAAATGAAAGAAGAACAAAGTACTGGGAGGGGTCGATGTCAGATTACTTGATCCTGCCTTCCTCCTAATCCCTGTCTAGATGTCTGCTTCTAAACAAAAGTACAGTATCTGAGCCACAGGGCGAGATTTTGAATTCTGCTATAGCCAAATCCAGGATTTTGTTGGATTGCATCTGTACTGTGAAGTTGAATGGAACTAAATAGAGCACATTATAAAGACAAGCCTACATATCATCATGAATCCACATCCAATACTCTAAAAACAAAAGAAACGAATATAAGCAACCTCCAACTCCGTAGCCCAGGGTATCAGATGCAGATGAAAAGGCGCAAAGTATACCAACCCAGAAGAAAAAAAAAGAAAAGAGAGACAGAAAACAGACAGACAAGAACAAGACGGTCATTCCATCAAGCATAAGAGGCAACAACATCCACAAAGATCACAGCATCAAAGAATGGAAGAATGAAAGCACAACGGGGAGTAAATCAAAGAATCAACTCATCATGCTCCTCATCCGACAAATTCCTCAAAAACCTCAAACCCCTCTCACGTTTACTCAAAACACACCTCGAATCAACCTCCAACTCATGCTCCGTAACCCACTCACACGGCAAATCCGTCAACCCAACACGCTGGCCCCACTGCCGACGCTCATACTGCATAAACCCACCAAAATGACGGTCAGTATTCGCAACCCAGATCTCCGCGCCATCAGGCGCGTAATCCGCACCGCCGATCTCCCCAAAGAAATCATGCACCTGTCTCGATCGGAAGAGCTGCGCATCAACAATAGAAATCCGATCCGCAGGCTCGGTGCATAGGAGAGTGCGCGGGCCACCGCCGACAGGGGAGAAGCGTAGCGAGCGGTATCCCGCGACGTCGGAGTCGATGGTTTCAAGTGGACGCCAAGTGCGCGCGTCCCAGATGATGACGGTTTTGTCTTGGTTGGATGTTGCTATATGGCGCATGTCTGGGGACCAGGCGCAGGCGAAGCCGAAGTCGCGGTGGCCGCGGAGGGGGTGGACTGGACGGCCTGTGTCGGATTCTATAACCCATGCGTCTGGTGAGTCGCCGATTACGATGCGGAGACGGCTGTCTGGGGATGTGGCGGTGCAGTTTATTGGTTGGGAGAGTTCTTGATCGGAAGTGAAGATGTTTGTTTCTGTGTCGAGGATGCGAAGGTGTTTGTCGTTTGAGGCGAAAACTCCAGTTGGAGAGGGGCCTGTTCGATTGGGGATGATATCGATGTGGTTGGTGATTCCGTCGTTGAAGTCCGGAGTTACGAGGCCCTTTATGCCGGGGTTGGAGCCGCTGGTGCTGCGTAGGGCGTATTCGCCGCAGAACCCGCCTGCGATTGTCAGGCCGTGGGCTGTTTTCATAGTGGAGATTTTGACAGGACCGAGGAAGCCTGATTCTGGGTCTGGTTGGCTCATGTCGATTATACAGCGTGCGTCGCCGGTTGTTGGGGTCCAGGAAAATACTTTGGAGCTGGAGGCGAAATGGACGGTATTCGATGCGGGAGTCGACATCAGATTCCGGAGTTGGAAGTGCTCGATAGACGCTTTGTGTGAAGTGTGCATGGAGCTCGCACGGAAAAACATTTCGTTTTGTGGAAGGCGCTTTGCATGGCTGATGTGGGAGTAATCCAAGTTGTGATACGAAGTATACCAGGCGTCGCGCACGGCTCGTGCATCGGACCGTGTCACTCGTAAAGTTTCTGTCCATGGGATCTGCTGCAGATCATAAAACTCACGTCTCCATCCAGACGGCCGTAAAACCTCCTGTGGGGGTTTCCAGCTAATCATCTTTGACAGCGGACGGAGCTGCGGTGGAATTCGACTTTCAGAATGGAAGCCATGTGGTATGACGTTTATTGAGACCATCCAGCGTTGAATGAATTCATCAATAGTGAAATTGCGCTCGTATGCTAGAGGGGAATTAGCTAAGGTCTCATCTCAAAAGTCATAGCGCCTTACTGGAAGTGTGGATGATAGATGCGGGGTGTGGTCCAGCGAATTCCATTTGATCGTCGGTGTAGTTTCCCAAAGGTTCTGTAATAGACAACCCGACAGTTTGGGGATCCACGTCAATATCATCATAACTGACACTGTTATAAAAATCATCCAGATCGCAGTCTGGCATTTCGGCTTCATACGTCGGCCGATCTTTGCGCTGGTAGTAATACTCCTCTTCGTCTGGATAGAATCGGAGAAAGTCCTCAAGCTCATCATCGGACGTCGACGATGGCGACGGATTATCTTCCATGGTAGCGGACTCGTAATCCCCAACCATATCCTTCTGAGGATCCTCCATGTCGCTGGCTGGAGTGATGGCGATATTTTGCCGGCCGGCGGTGCGGTGAATCAAGTTCCGGACAATCGTCTCCATATCGATGTCGCCACTCTGGTTCGCACCAAAGACGAATGCCGGTCCAGCCGCAGGGACACCTCCCATTCCCGATTGTTGAAAATGACCTCTGTGTGCCGGCAGTGACGAACCCGCCGAGTCTAAATATCGATAATCCGGAGGATTACCAGCACTCGTAACAGCGTTGACAACTTCCGACACCATGAAAGAGTCCCCGTGCGCATTATCCACCGCACGCGGGTATTGGGACACAGCAGCCAGAGCCGCAACGCCCACGTCATGTAAACGGCGATCGATGTCGGAAGACATATCCGTCGCCGAATTAAATCGATCCGCAGAAAATATATCCGAATTGAGGGTTGAGTTCAAGGCTGTCGCATCGTCTTCCCGACCAGACAGCCCCGTAGCAGAACGATGTGGAGAAGGATTCATGACTCGGTGTTGAATTGCAGGACCATCAATATCACATGACACATGGCGCGGCGATGCAGCGGGATCTCGCAAGCGGGCAGGGTAGTCAGAGGAGCGATTCGCAGAGTCACAGGTGCTAGAATGAAGCATCGCCCGCCATGGACTTCCGTCTTGAAATTCCGATAAGATGTACCTTCAACCGTAGAGTGGGAGGGTTAGTTGCCTATTCCAGGCACCGTGCAGCAAGGCGGGACGGATGATCACGTCCTAAATGGTCAAATGGGCAGGGATGGTCGATAGCGGCGGTCGCACAACCGGAGGAAAACGATCCAGTAATCAGATCAGAGTGCACCTACGATGACACTTTTCTAGATTCACACTGGGTTTTGCTGCAGCGATGTGTCTCGCAGATGACTGCTGACTCGGAGAGTTCAACCCCACACTGCAGGCGGTTGGTGTCCAAGCCCGCGTGTATGACGCGAGTAGGGAAAGGCGGAGAACGGAAAGCGGGCGAAACGGCAATGCCGAGTTCAACCGAGAAAGACTTAGGAGAGAAGCCGGGGAGGAAAGATGAGTTGAGATCAAAATTCCACAATGTAAATGTTGGAATGTTTGTAATATCGGCTTCCGCTATAACTACTAGTGGCGGGTGAAACGCCGATAGCTGTGGGCTGATCTAAAGGGAAATAGAGGGGGAGAACGGAAGAACCCATAGGACAGTGCGCGGTAGACTTTTCCGATGAACCTGCAAGGAAACAGAAATGGAAGAAAGGGATATATTGATTCTGATACTCTCATGCAGTCAGAACGTGGAGGGGAGAAACGTGAGAGTTGACATTCTCCGGCTCGGTGATCTCGGGGACGTGAAAAGGAAAAAAGAAAGCATACAGCTGGCAAAAGATGATACATCATAGAATACAGGGATAGTCAGCACTGATATTCAAGTCTACTATTTATCACACTTTTTGCATTAATTACTTGAGGATAGTAGAAGAATATATATAGTTCAGGGATTAAGCATGTAGAGTAGACTAATGAAATCTAAATGAAATCAAACAAAGCCATCTTCTTTACTGATCACAGATCACCTTGAGCCTCGCATATTTCGATAATGCAGGGAGTACATCTAGTACTTATAGTACATCCCACGCCTGCAGATCCAACCCGAATAGGCCCGGTGACTTGCGCTTTGATCCTGTTGGGCACGGCTTGGGCTGACAGCATGAGGCTGTGAAAAGCCAGACACCATATGATAGTTCATGTTGCTTTACAAGGCCCATCACACTATTTCAATTACGCTATGTCAAGTAGTATGACGATTTATTCACTAGATATGTATCGACAGGATAATGCGCCCGGTCCAAATCGCTGTACAAGAAGCATAAGTTCAGACAGACGCGATAATTAAAAAAAACACGAGAATGGATCAAGTAAGATATGAGCACACGTAAAAAATAATCAGCTCGTCAGTCGTACAACGCTCAGAACTATATTATAAGAATATTTGAACGCCGGTATGTAAATGGTACAATAAATCACGTCGAAACCAGATGCATCCGGGAGAAAGCGTAAACAACAAAGAATAAAAAGAATAGAAAAAAACAAACAAGCGCTATCGCTTTCGTTAATAATGAGAATATGTCTCGTACTGCGATGGATAAGGATCCGTCGAAGCCTGGGGCTGTGACCACGCACTGCGCAGGCGGCGTTCTGACAAGAATATTAGAATCGACACATCCATCAAATCATTCCAAGAGTATAGAGTAAGACATACCTTTTTCGAAATCCCGCCACCTCTTCATCGTGATCTTCGTACTATCAAACTCACCCTCGGCATCACCGTGTCCCTTATCCTTCTCGCCAGCCGTCTTACGGGTATCACCCCAACTGAAATCATCGAACTTCCAGAAGGCATACATCGGCAGGATGAAGTTCCACACTGGAAGCGAGAGGAGGTAAATCAGCATCCAGAGGACGTAGACGAATTTGTGTGCTGTGACGACGATCAAGACACCCGGTAGACCCAGGACCAGGGCAAGCAGGACCAGTGGGATGACCTGGACGGGCTTCTTGACAATGGA